CAAATATTTCTGTATGTGGTTGGTTGCAAACTGCCTAAGGACACAAGGACACAATCAGTGTGGGATATTAATGTGATATTTATCACCATGCTAAATGGTTGTGTTAGGGTTTGTTATATTCACTTACACTTATATGACTTCTTTATTTCAGGAATTATATCTTTGCATCTAAATTGTTTAAAACAAAAGTGCATGGTACCTACCAGGGTTCAAGTATTGAGTGTAAAATATGTCTGATTTGTTTACGTTTAAATACATGTTTTAGTGATCCATAATGCTAATTGGTCAGTTGATTGGTTGGTTGTTTTACGCCGCACTCAGCAATATTCCAGCTATATGGTGGCCGTCTGTAAATAATTGAGTTTGGACCAAACAATCCAGTGATCAACATCATGAGCATCGATCTTCGCAATTTGGATAGGATAACATGTGTCAACTAAGTCAGCGAGCCTGGCCACCCTATTCTGTTAGTCGCCTATTATGACAAGTATGGGTTGCTAAAGACCAGTTCTGATGTCTTCATGGGTGTGGTCAGTTGAGGCTATGTGACATTGCGCTCTGTTGTGTCACTGCAACGCAGTGACGTCATCCAAATGGACTACATATCTTCTTGAGTATAATGATCATTTTTCTTCCTAAAACACAGCTGTGTAGAGTTGGGGGCGCAATAGTTATGCCATAATGATATTGAGGTTTTTATCTCAATGCACAGTCATTACACATGAGCAAGTAACACCATACCAACTTTAACTTGTTAAAAGTCATATTTGTTGCAGTTTGAGTTAAATATGTAGTCTTGGGAACCTCAATGCTGCCTTGTCAAACAGTGCCCTACCTAAAAAATATCAGAGTACACAGAGCTCCAGATAAGATTAGCTCATGTGGGTACTGTACCCACTGTATTTTTTTTGAGTGGGTATTATGAATGTTGAGTGGCTATTTCATTTTCCGTTACCCACTGCTTTCAAATATGTGCATATTTCAGTCATTATACTCACCTAAGTATTATGTCATTAAGTAAGTTTACTAAGCAGGTATGTCCTGCCTTATGTCACACCTAATCAAAACCAACTTTAATATAATGGAAATGATTTCATAAAAAATCACTCATCCTATACTGAAAGTACAACACTTGTCCTATACTAACAGTACAACTTGATAGCAATCGATGACTTTTTCATTACGCAAGTGATTTTTATAAATATATTCTGTACGCATTTGTTTTAAACTTTTTGCATATCTAACATTTTAAATGCGTAATTGGTACGCAACAATTATTTTTCAATGCGTAATTGGAAATTTTCTATGCATATTTTACCCGGATACACAGCTTATCCGGGCCTCTGGTACAGACTGCTATAGCTGTAATATTGCTGAGTGCGGCATGAAGCAACAAACCAACCTCACTCTAAGCCAATACCATTCCTTCCTCAGAACTGACAATCTGTAAGTCCTTATACATTATTCTCTCTTTTGATTTTGGGGGCGGTGGGGTAGCCTAGTGGTTAAAGCGTTGGCTCGTCACGCCAAAGACCCGGGTTCGAATCCCCACATGGGCACAATGTGTGAAGCCCATTTCTGGTGTCCCCCGCCGTGATGTTGCTGGAATATTGCTAAAAGCGGCGTAAAAACCAATTTCAGTCAGTCTTTTGATTTTGATTTCAGACATACCAAACAAGCTTTCTTGCAGCTATATGTCTTATGCTTTTACATAGGTTATTTTGTGTTTTGCATATTGTACTCTGGTTTGTAATTGTTTTGTTACTTGAGCGGTTTAATGACATCATGATCACTAAATAAAATTGTGTCTTGTTTGAAGTATTGTAAATATGAACAAGTATGTTTTTTTAAAAAGAAGACAGTTGGGTAGCCTAGTGGTTAAAGCGTTCCCTCGTCACGCCAAGGACCTGGGTTCAATTCCCCACATGGGTACAATATGTGAAGCCCATTTCTGGTGTCCCCCGCCGTGATATTGCTGGAATATTGCTAAAAGTGGTGTAAAACTAAACTCACTCACTCACTCACTGTTTGAAAAGAACAAGAAAGATAACAGTTTTAGAAAGTTATTGCAACCTATACGCCAGCAAATTCATTGTAGATGCAAATAAATGAGGTTGCTGGTCCAGAGGGACTGTTGAATCGTTAAAACTAATCAACATTGTAGAAGGCATGTTACACTTAACTGATTTCTATTCTGATAAGAAATACTGACATACACACAAAGCTGATGGAGTCAGCGATTGATTGTCTTCATTCTAACTTTGAAATCCTTATCTCTAGTTGACTAAAGGCTTTTGAACATGTGCAATGACAGTAACATTCTTGGAGATGGAGGATAGTTATGCTGATGTTACCTGATTTGGTGCCTTACCATATAGACAGGTAAATCCCTTTCTTTATTGGTTCTGTGAAGAAAGTACCAACAAATTAATTACATTCTCACTGTGACTTATTGCACAGGTAGGCAAAACTTTATGATTTAAGATAAACATGAAATTTATTTTAGAAAACAACTATAATACAATTTAACAAGAAAGGTAAGATACTTTATGGATGACAACTTGTTTATTGTATTGGGGCGAGTGGGGTAGCCTAGTGGTTACAGCATCCCTCGTCACGCTGAAGATCCGGGTTCGATTCCCCACATGGGCACAATGTGTGAGGCCCATTTCTGGTGTCCCCTGCCAGGATATTGCTGGAATATTGCTAAAAGAAGCGTAAAACCATACTCACTCACTCTTTATTGTATTATGATGATATGTTTCGGTAATGATTTGTATGACTTACTGTCAGTACAGCTGTTTATACGAAGTGGTAATCACAAGTCTGGTAGGTGTTTGAACCAGTATAATTCTTGTTTTGCTTTCTTTTCTTTTTTTACATAAATTTGAGCCGGCCTTCAACACATGCCTTTGGACTTCTGGTGATTTGATCTGTGTTATGAAATGGACATTTCCAGCTGCTTCTTAAAGTATTGAATAGATCAAGTCGAAATGAGCAATATACTTCAGTTTTTATTTCACTTATACAGAGATGAAAACATTATTATTAGTTGTATGGACAAGTATTTGTCATATTTTGGAAATCTGTATCATAAAATGGACCTTTCCAGCTGCTTCTTAAAGTATTGCCTTTAGATCAAGACGAAATGAGCAATATACTTCAGATTTGATTTCACTTCTTAGAAAGGGATGAAGTAATTATTATTAGTTGTATGGAAAGGCATTTGTCATATTTCGCAACTGATTTAACACTGTCTATATCATCATGAATAATCATTGTCACTTTCAACATTGAATTCTATAATTAAAATCCTAAAGAATAATCTCAGTCAAATAAAGTATATCCATATATATGTATCTTTGAAAACCAGTACCTTATTGGTTCTTTCCCCGTCATACTTAAACTCCTGTAAAGTTCCAATTCATTTCTATTCAATTTATTTTCATAGCCGTGTAACACCGGCCTGTTGTGTTCTGAATAAGAGAGGTCAAAGGAAATGCATATTTTTTCGTACGATATTTGTATGTGAGCACAGCATAATGTAGAGTGTGTGTGAATGCCTAGCCCCTTAGCAACAACATTCACTGCACCCCTGCTACGTACGAGCGTCAATTACAGTCACAGACACACAGCCAATATTATAGCTGACATTGATTTCGCTATGTACGACATAGCAGCTGATTGTGAGAGCTTGTATACCATACACAAGAATGAACCGATAGAGCAAATGGCACAATGACTTGTGGAAAGGGAGGGTAGACTATGTACTTACTCTGTTGACAGAGTGATTATGGCGATACCAACAGTGTGTCGGTTTGGAGGCTGGTTTCCATGAACTCTTCCAACTCTCGTAATTCTTAAAATGATATTTATTCAACTTTTGTTTTGACAACCACTACCAGCTGGTGTAATTCAGGGATACCAGAATGGTTTACGCTTGAGCAAACATTCCGTGTCTACATGTAAGTAGAACAAGATGAGATCTATATCTTCATTTGCTGTATTAATATACTTTCCGTAGCTTTTGGATTTATTGGTTGGATATCTACATTTGGTATTAATTAACCTTCTTTTTCTTACTGTGTTTATGTTTTGTAGGAACTGACATGGTCATGTTTGATGTTATTTCAACCAGTATACACACAGAATTATGTACTGACAGTGAAATCCTCTGATAAAATCCAGTTTGGTTTTGTTTACCTTTGTTTACCTTTGTTTACCCAGCAAAAGTCAAACATGACTTGGTTATTCAAGTTGGGAATATGTTTTGTTACCTAGGAATCAGCACATGCTGAAAAACCTTTTTGCTCAGTTATCACAATTCTATGGGTAGCTTTTCCAATAAGTATAATCATTGAAGCTCTGTCACCGTGGAGTTACACTGGAGAGTGTTTGCTCATTTCATTGTTAACCTCGGCTTGATGATCTTATCAATAGTTTTTGTTTTTCATTAACAAACATTATGAAAATGTTCTAAATGGTTTGTACCTTCATTTTGTGTTAAATGTTTTTCCAATTAAACCTTAAAGACATCAAATGTAATTGTGTTTAGAAAGCACGAAATTTAAACCATTTGAGAAATGGCATCCTCAAGAGTTTTCACTGTGAATCTCATTGATTATCATTGATTCTGCATGTCCATTTCAGATGTTTGGGGTATTTCTCCTATAAGAAGGCACTGACATTTTTTTATGCCTTGTGTCAAACCAGTGTGAAGATGTGACCGGATTGACATCTTTTTTTTATGCCTTGTGTCAAACCAGTGTGAAGATGTCACATCTTTTCTGCTTTATATTATGAATAATGTTCTAAAAATGATCTTGATGTTGCTGCAGGGTGGTGGGGTAGCCTAGTGGTTTAAGCATTAGCTCGTCACGCTCGGGTTCAAATCCCCACATGGGTACCATGTGTGAAGCCCATTTCTGGTGTCCCCTGCTGTGATATTGCTGGAACATTGCTGATAGTGGCATAAAACTCACTCGCTCTTGATGTTGCAGAATCAGTGGGTGAGGAAATACCTTCCCCAAGTCAAGACAACACCAGAGACCCAAGAGAACATCTACCTAGACTAGAGTCCACAAGCAACTACAAGGAAAGTGGGGACAGTTCAAAGTCTCAGGATCTCAGTCCTACTACGCAGCTGGTGAACGCTACTATCCTTGAGAGTCTGTATGAGCTTCAGCTAGCTGGGGAAATCTCTCTGTATTCTTCTGACTCTGATTTGAACAGATCCCAGCTTGAACCTATCCTTGAAGAAGAGGGTTCTGTGGTCAGTGAGGATAATCTTGACAAGGAACAGAAGCAGAGTGTGTTGGAAGAGAGTTTAGTTCCTCCAATTACTGAACCTTCAGAGAGAGACAGGAAAACACGGATTGTGAATTCTGAGGATTGTGTAGATAAGAACCAGAACCACGTAGAAAAGGATAGTGTTTCGGGTTCAGAACCTGCAAGGGTTGATCGTGATAGTAAGAATCCTGAGGATACTGTACAGGATTCAGAACAAGCTGCAGGTGATCACAAGGAGGAAGATTTGGAAGTGAGTGAGAAAACCGAAAGTGGATTAGGCAGATCTGTTGAGACAAGTGATCATCTTGAGACAGCTACACCAGACCCTGACTCAGAAGCTACTCAGCCAAGTCAGGATCTTGAATCAGAAGCTAATGAAGTGGACAAAAGTGGAGGAGATAATTCTGGCGAATGTTGTCAGGCTGTAAAAAGTGATACATCTTTGAAAGGTGAACCAGCTGGTGATAGTCCAGCACCAAGAGCTGCATCACCACATCTCGTTGGAAGCAGCTTCAAGGAGGCAACTGAAACAGGTGATGGTGTGAATGGAAATCTACAAGGTGTAGAAAGGTTACCTGAGCCCAATTCGAAGGATACTACTAAAGAGGAGACTAGTGTTGAAGAGAAGGAGAATTATCCAGATGGAAAGGACAATGTGACAGGAGTTGAAACTGATTCTAAGGAGACTACACAAGCAGACAGCAAGAATCCTCCACCCAACACAATGGGGTCTGGAGCGTCCAAGGATGGGGAGTTTGTGGAGGATGGACAAGATGGCCAGTATGCCCAGAGGTCAATGGCTCCCATACATTCAAGGATGTCGCCTTCAGGGAGCCAGATCACACAGAGGTCAGGGTCACCGCTGAAGAGGAAGATGTCATCCCTTAGTCGGCACCTGTCAAAGTCGCAGCTGGGGATATCAGGGCTTCCCCCATCAGCCTCCCACTTCAGCACTTCAGTTTCAAAGTTTATAGGTGAGTAATGACATGTAATGTATGATCGTTTTTCTCCTAACTCTTGTAATAGATCAGCAGAATTTCTGCAAGTTCAAAACTGTAGGTTTCAGTAATTATTGTTTCCACTCCAGTAAATTTTTGGATGACGTCACTCGTACAAGGAATCAAATGTATGTATGAGAGTTGACTGATAAGTCAATCTGAAATTTTAATATTATCTTTTTAATATTAATTTTTGCCTGCCTGCCAACCAAGATATTTCAAACTCAAAAACAAGAAACTGAGAGCAATTCCAATTTGGAAATGAAATTTTCTGTCTCGGCAAGTGAACATGGAAATATTCTTTTCACACCCAACCTCTTATATACTTTTATCACGTTCATGACAATATATATATTATTATTGTTATTATGATGATCTGAGGTTGTAGTTGCTACAGTTATTCATTTATTCAAGTGTAACTTCCTGTTGCTCCAAGTTCCCTGTACATTTGGTTACCATGACCTGTAACCATGTCAATATTATGATCAACATGAAGTAATAATAATTAATTAGGTCTCATACAACTCTCCAGAGAGCAGGCATAATCAATACATCACAATCTGTTGTACTGTTCCACCATCTTACAATACTCCTCAGATGGGAGATACAGGTTGCTCGCAGGAACAGCGCCAAGGGCGCTCTTGTCAGTTATTCCACCTAATGATGATCTTTGTCGATGTTATCCATAAAAACAGTTGTAAATGTTTTATGAATGTCCCTGGCGGGTTTATTACACTTTATTGACATTTATCAATTTGTTGGCCATTTGGTGTGTTCCGACAGTTGTAATAGACAATTGGAGAACTGTTGCTCGAGGACATATAGAGGATCATATGGCAGGGCTTGTTACGGGATAGTGTTCAATATTTTGTTGAAATATAGAATGTATTTGAGTTAAAAATATCCCCACATGTGCCTGATTATCACAAAGAAGATGTTTTGACTATTCATTGATGGCTATTCTTTGTTTCTTTGTGTGATTGATTCCATAAAGGATGTGATTTTTTGACTATATATGACGTTAAAAACATCCCCAAACTTTCCTGATTATTACAATAAGAAGATGTTTTGAGTATTCACCCATGACTATTCTTTGTTGCTAGGTGTGGTTGGTTGCATAAAAGATCTGATTTTCTGACTTTTTGATTGGGATAATTTTTTCTCTCTATTACATGTCTTGAAAGCAATCCAAACCCCAACTTGGTATACATGTTCCTTTAAGAAAACTATTTATTAGATGACATTTACAAATTCTGTATTTTATTCTATTTTAGATCAAAAGTATAAATGTTATCAACAAATTCAAGAAAAAAATGCAACAAATTTGCGATAAAAAATGTGTTCATTTTAGGATGTAAAACAGTTTTAGAATTCCAATTATTTTTTCTTATTTGTGTTTTCCTCCATCTTTGCTGGTCATAGGCTCTGGTGAGTACATGCCATCACAAGTCTGCTAACACAAAGTTGCATGCTGTACTTGAACTGACCCACGTGGAAAAGACCAGCATGCTTCTGGTCAATCAGGACTTGCTGCTATGCAGATAATACCTGAGAAACATGTTTGACATATTAACCTGCACAGCATTTCACGTGTTGCATAATTTCCACTGTTTTGTTTCCATGGTTACTGTTCAGTAATCACAATTGTGTGTTCACAAGCTACAAGGTCCTGTAGTGTAGAAATGTAGATACACGCTTCCATTGACGTTAATCTGCACAGCACATGCATTGCACAATTTCCACAGTTGTGTTTCCATGGTTACTACTGTTCAATATGCATGTCCATGAAGTGTCTTATTCAGACTTATGGATTTTGCCGAACAGAGACTGTTTGGAACTTGTGAAACATGTCCCTTAAAATTAATTTAAATTAAAAAAACAAAATATCCTTTTTTTCAGAAGTTCAAAAGATTTTGAAAGTGTCCCAATACCTTTTTCTCCAGCATATTTTTGATGATCTAATACATTGTCTATAACTGATGTTATTATGTTGAAATATTCTTGGGAGAATAAAATAGAAGATTTGTTATCAATCATCTAAAAAGTGTTCAAATTGGTCCAACTAGCTAAGGGGACGGTGGGGTATCCCATTGGTTAAAGCGTTCACCCGTCACGCCTAAGACCCGGGTTCAATTCCCTACATTGGAATAAAGTGCAAAGCCCATTTCTGGTGTCCCCTGACGCGATATTGCTTGAATATTGCTTAAAGTGGTGTAAAACTAAACTTACTCACTCCAACTATCTAAAGAAAAGTATTTTGTATTTTGGTGTTGAAGCAGGAACTGTGGTGTTACTCACGTTGCTTGAAAAAAATTGCAGTGATTATGTGAAAACATCTGGAGAGGTAAAACATGTGACAGTAACACTGAAGTCTCCTATTGTGTGTTAATGAGCCAGGCCCCATTATTCTATTACAGTTCTTTACAAAAACCTTAGCCTAAAATTCAATTCAAATTTTGAATTTCCTGATTAGTGTTGCTGCTAATGAATGAAAGAAAGTTCGTTGCTTTCTGTCTTGTATGTTATAGACATTCAGTACAAATGAATAGTCACATGGAATCACAACAGTTATAATTCAGGTCCACAGTTGCAAGCAATGTAATTTATCCTATTCACCGTTGCATTGATGTAACTAGCCCTGTTCACAGTATCAACACTGTAGTTTTCCCTGATCACAGTTGCAACAAGGTTGTTACCCTGTTCACAGTTGCAACAATGTAGTTTTCCCTGATCACAGTTGCAACAATTTAGTTTAACCTGATCACAGTTGTAACAAAATAGTTTATCTTGATCACAGTTGCAAAAATGTAGTTTACCTTGATTAGTTTCTGCTGTGTACTTTACCCTGAGCACAGTTGCTGCAATGTAGTTTATCTTGATCACAGTTGCAGCAATGTAGATTTTTCCTTATCCTGACTCATGCTCTTTTTGCTTGTCTTCTTCTTCTTGCGAACATAGTGGAACACTTGTATCTCCCTAATTGAAGCTCCCTTCAATTTAAAATCACTAATTAGTATTCACCACGAGTTACCTCCTTTCCACAAGCGCGGGAACGAGGGCGCCACCTCTACCCATGTGCCTCACTCTCTCCTTCTTCGCCCAGTGAGCTGGACGTGAGAGCGTCTGTGTCTCCCGACACACTATATCCTTTGATTTATATTTAGTTAGTTACCTCGTATAGACATCTATAGAGGTTTAGCTAGTATCCTTCAACGATTATATATTGATATTTAGTCGTTTTTCTACAGATTTATTCACGGACGCCGTGGTTTGTTTTCAGTGCATTACGTTGATGAAAATTCTGTACTATTGCAGATTACGTTTTTATGCTGCTGCTGATCCGCTTCTTTAATATGATGTACTGGGCCATGTTTATTATATTCACACTGCAGTTGCGGTACTAATTTATCCAATTCTACCTTTTATTAATATTTGCTTTGCGTTTGGCACGCACAGCAGATAGGTCGCTGCATTATGCAGAGTCTAGTATGACTGATACACGGAACCCTCGCCAGTCTACTGCTGTTGGCCGACTTCCTCCGCGTGGTGTTCGGCTAGAGTGGTGGAGAGGTGTGGGACGTGAGTCCGCCATCTCCAAGAAGCATTCTGCTTCCCCAGACATCCCATCGCCGCGCAGCAGAAGACTAGAGGTTTTTCTACTACATCTCAACAACCGAGACCGCTCCTATCGCTTTGGGCCTGTATGATGATCAGCCGGTCATCATACCGTTGTAACATCAAAGATTGACCCGATGTCGGCACAGATCAGCATGCAGCCTGATGTACCAACGCGATATGCGATGATCGCCCTGAGGGTCCCATCATTACCAACACTCAACGCCAGACGCCGCACACCCAGGGCAGTGTGGAGCCTCTGAGGGAAAATCAACGGGTCTACTAGGACTTTCTCAACCGAGATTGTTCCAACCGATGACCTGGACTCTACGATGATCAGCTGATCATCATCCCGGCGACGCATTTCACAAGAAACGACCGGTGACAGCTACAGCGACATCAGCAGAGATCACCATGCAGCCTGATGCCTCTACACTGATGTCGGACGATTTTCCTCGTGGACCCCTCCATTAACACCGCAGATAAAGCACCGGCGCACTGCCGCCAGACCATCCCAGAAGACATGATGCGACAAATTATGAACATCATGGAGGACCAATATCTCGCGTAGCAGGGTCCGAGTTTTCGCCAGCGAAGGCTCCAACGTGACAGCACCCCAGAGCACCCCCGTCAGCGTAGCAGCCAGGGCGATGTCACCTTCGGCGCGAAGTCACGGACCACCTTGACGAAGGACCTAGATGTACAGCTCTTCGCGAAGGCCTTAGCCAGCGAAAGGACCTAGATGTACAGCCTTCGCGAAGGCGGAAAGAACCTAGATGTACAGCCTTCGCGAGGGACGGCGAAGGCAGGATATAGATCATCACCTTATCGCGGTTTCATCCTAGATGTGGACTCGGACCATCAGACATCACGGAAGCCTCTCGAAGGTCATATCGTCGTTGCCTCCGGACGGGACGCAGAGGAAGCAGCGAAGGCATGCCGAAGGACACCTGAATCCAGATCATCATCATCATCAGAAGGACATCGAGGACTATACAAGAGCTTCACGAAACTATCAACGTTCCCCTCACAAGTCTCCCAGAAGATCAACCCATAGACAAGCTGATCATCGATATCAAGTATAAGAACTACAACGTGTATATTGGTTCTGTTGAATCCATGACGCAGGCGGTATGTTCGCTGGGCCTAAATAGATTCAGAACGATCAATTAGACACTTATCACCAGACTTAAGTAACCACCGACTTCTGAATATGATAAGATGATCCATGCGGCCCTACTTAGGGGCAAGCGCCACGATCCCACATCCTGTTAAACACAGAGGCTGTTCACGCGAAGCAAGCTCATATATATATATATATATATATATATATACTAATCGGCTTTTTGATTCTCGACACCTTCAGCGATGGTCGCGAAGGCTAAGTTGGCTCCAAGTCTACTTCACCCAGAAGATCTAGAAGGGATACTTGAGAACTTAGCGAAGTCTCCCGGGCGCTCACCGAGGGAAGTCTCCTCCAAGGTTTCCATATACTAGCCACTCGTCATATAGCTACTCGCCAGTCCGTTCAAGGCGTCGCATAAGTTGATTATCAACTGTATGCCAGATGTCGAATCTATAAGCCCTACGCGAAGATAATTGCTTAGGCTATTTTACAACACAGAACGCCGCTGTATTATTAGTCAGCGACATTTCATAGATCTTCACAGAAATCAACTATTCATTATAAATTGCTAATATACAATCCCGATGACGATCACGATTATCTACATGTGACCATTACGCATATCTGCAGACAATTCAATATCGAAATTGAACAGCAGCCTTGTTACAGCGAGTATAACTCTTAATCGGTCAAAGTTTCTGAGAGAAGAAATATGTACAACAAGTTCAACGTTAATTCTACAATTATGACGCATACATTCATGTATACAGTCTACAAGCTCACAACTTGCAAGTTGTTTATACCCTATATATAAGGAAGTCGGAATTATATTCAAAACTGAAATTATTTTCCGACAACCAGGAAAATAACCTACCCAGCATAAAATTACAGAGCCGCAGATATTTGGCAAATGGAGGTTTCGCTACTGGTTACCATTAACCCTCAAAGCTGCGTGGTCACTCGGATAACTTGCCGGGGAAGCTACGGTGAAGACCGGCGTTTATGCTAATATCAACGAACATTTACAAGAATTTATTCAAGGTGGGTTTTTCCCCGCTACACCGTGACATCACAGCGGGTATTTATACAGAATCAAAATGCCTTGTTCTGATTGGACCGCTGAGGACAACGACCACACAGAGGTCGATCTCTGTTCACAGTTCAAGACTTACGCCTGAAGTGACAACTATATATCAGTGAAGCGAGCAAGCCTCATTACAGTCCAGTTAACCTGAACATTCGATTAGACTGCCTTTCTTCAAGTTAGAGACCTCCCCTGTCAAGTTAAGACGAGGGATCGGCAGTCAGAAGCGATTTTACATAAAGTTCAACGAGGACAGACACACCTGGTTGTGCACCTACATCGCCAAGGACTTCGCGAGCGAATTACCTAGGCAGAAAGATACAAGTGGATCTAAACCACAGCGTTTCAGACTACAGCTGAATTTCATCAGTTTAATTAACACAACTAGATGGTTAGTAAACCTACTAAACTTCTGTTTGGAGAATAAAACGGAAATTTCACGGCCCAACCTGGGGATATGAATATAGTGACCTCCAACACCTCACAAGTGAGGTTTATGAACGCCTGGATGACATACTTGGACCCCATGATAACGATAGATTCTATCAAGATGGCCAGCAAGAGCACTGTAAATTTATCTCCACCAAACCAAAAACAGGAGAAAAAAAAAAATGCAACAGATTATTTCCTCTATCATCAACTTACATGAGAGTGAAGTCTCATGTACTATATCTCCATTTGGATCAGAACTGTCATACTCATGGTGCATATGGATGGACCTATTCGACCCTCCATGAGCTTAATACTCATGATATTATAGCTTAACTTCTAGAATTGTTCTACACAAATGTGATTGAAATAATGGAGGGTTTATTTCTGGAAATCTGATATGGTGGTTGCAAACCATTATCTGAGAGATATCACCACCGAGGACGTCTCAGGTATACACCATTCGATCCCATGGTCCTCAGCCACAACAGCTGACAGTTCCTCGGAGAAGATAAGTCAATCTAACAGATTTTTACTTATCTTATAACAATACTAAATAGCTTCATGCTATATATAATTTACTTAAGTTCCTTTTATCATCACAGTACTATGATTATTACATCATACAATATATAAGTTAACAACTCTACAGAGTTTGTTATTATATATATTTACCTTAAGTTATTCATATCTTAAGAGTAATACTATGGTTACATGATAAATGCATTAGCTAACAAACTCTACAGAGTTCTTGGCATATTTTATACATAGCTTAAGTTAATTAAGCTAACAAACTCTAACGGAGTTTTACTATTATATAGGTAACTTAAGCTAATTATACCTTAAGCATAGTACTATACTCATATTATTAAAATATATTGGCTAACAAACTCTAAGGAGTTTTGCTATTATATAGGTAGCTTAAGCTTATTCATATCTTAAGCTTAGTACTATGTTTATATCATATAAGTAGATTAGCTAACAAACTCTAAAGAGTTTTTTGCTATTTGGCTTAAGTATCATCATATTTCTAAGCAATATGGTTATATTATAACATGTATTAGCTTAACAAACTCTACAGAGTTTTAGCTATTATATATGTAACTTAAGCTTATTCATATCTTAAGCAGTACTATGTTTATATCATATAGGTATATTAGCTATCAAAACTCTAAAAAGAGGGTTTTGCTATTATATATTTCGCTTTAAGTTTCATCATATTTTAAGCTTTATGGTTACATTATAACATGTATTAGCTAACAAACTCTCTAACGGAGTTCTTGCTATTATATATGTAGCTTAAGTTTTCCTTCATAAGCTCAATACTAGGTTTATATCATAGCTAACAAACTCTAAAGGATTGTTTTCAGCTTATTATACAATTAGCTTAAGTTTTCATCATATCTTAAGCAGTATGTTTACATTATAAAGGATAGCTAACAAAACTTCGACGGAGTTTTGTTATTATATATATAGCTTAAGTTTCATCATAACTTAAGCTCAGTACTATGTTTTTAACATAAAAGTATATTAGTTAATAAACTCTAAGGAGTTTATTTTGCTATATCACATTTAGCTTAAGTCTAATCTTATCTTAAGCTTAGTACTATGGTTACACTATAAACATATTAGCTAATAAACTCTACAGAGTTTTTGGCTATTATATATATGTAGCTTAAGTTAATATCTTAAGCACAATACTATACTCATATTGTAAAATATGTTAGCTAACAAACTCTCACGGAGTTCTATTGCTATTATATATGTAGCTTAAGTTCATTATATCTTAAGCACACTACTATACTCATATTGTAAAATATATTAGCTAACAAACTCTAATGAGTTGTGCTATTATATATGTAGCTTAAGTTAATTATATCTTAAGCACACTACTATACTCATATTGTAAAAATATATTAGCTAACAAAACCCTACAGAGTTTTGCTATATATATGTAGCTTAAGTTAATTATATCTTAAGCTCAGTACTATACTAATATTATAATATATATTAGCTAACAAACTCTACAGAGTTTGGCTATTATATATGTAGCTTGCTAATTATAGCTTAAGCACAGTACTATACTCATATTATAAAAATATATTAGCTAACAAACTCTACAGAGTTTGGCTATTATATATGTAGCTTAAGTTAATTATAGCTTAAGCACAGTACTATACTCATATTATAAAAATATATTAGCTAACAAACTCTACAGAGTTTTGCTATTATATATATAGCTAAAGCTTATTCATATCTTAAGCTCAGCATTATATCTATATCATATAAGTATATTAACTAACAAACTCTAAAGAGTTTGCTATTATATAATTAGCTTAAGTTTAATCATATCTTAAGCTTAGTACTATGTTATATCTTAAAGTATTTTAGCTAACAAACTCTAAGGAGTTTATACTAGCATATTAACAAGCTTAAGTCTATTAGTCTTAAGCATTGTATTAATGTTATATATACTTTATCATAATAAGTACATGGTAATAACCTTTTATATGGCAGCTGATAAGTTAGCAGCAGGAATTCATCAGTTCAGTGCCTTTATGAAGTTCCCATAGGGTTATTACAATCATCACAGTTCAAATCACTAATTATTAAAAATCCAAAGTATTAGTATTCCCACCTCCGTTCCGTAGGATGCTACAAACAAAAGAGCATGAGTCAGGATAAGGAAAAAATATGTAATTTTGGAGTAAAATTGATATTTTATACTTATCCTGACTCATGAGGTCAGCCCTCCCATCCTCCCCAAATAACACTTTGGATTTCCCTGTAAATTCAAATGTTGGGCTCAGTATATGAGGAGAGAGTGAGGCACATGGGTAGAGGTGGCGGCCCTCGTTCCCGCGCTTGTGGAAAGGAGGTAACTCGTGGTGAATACTAATTAGTGATTTTAAATTGAAGGGAGCTTCAATTAGGGAGATACAAGTGTTCCACTATGTTCGCAAGAAGAAGAAGACAAGCAAAAAGAGCATGAGTCAGGATAAGTATAAAATATCAATTTTACTCCAAAAATTACATTTTTCCAAGATCACAGTTGCAACATTGTAGTTTTCCCTGTCCATGGTTGCAACAATGTAGTTTTCCCTGATCACAGTTGCAAGAATGTAGTTTTCCCTGATCACAGGTGCAACAATGTAGTTTACCCTGATAACAGTTGCTGCAATGTAGTTTATCTTGATCACACTTGCAGCAATGTAGTTATCCCTGATCACACTTGCAGCAATGTAGTTATCCCCATTGTAACAAAGTAGTTTATCTTGATTACACTTGCAACAATGTAGTTTCCCCTGATTACAGTTGCAACAATGTAGTTTTCCCTGTCTACAGTTGCAGCAATGTAATTTTCCCAATCACAGTTGCAACATTGTAGTTTTCCCTGATCACAGGTGCAACAATGTAGTTTCCCCTGATCACAGTTGCAACAATGTAGTTTCCCCTGATCACAGTTGCAACAATGTAGTTTCCCTGTCCATGGTTGCAACAATGTAGTTTCCCCTGATCACAGTTGCAACAATGTAGTTTTCCCTGTCCATGGTTGCAACAATGTTGTTTACCCTGATCACATTCCTGCTTGACAACGGTACAAGAATCTGTATCAAAACGTCACACTCTCGTAATAAAAAAGTTGTTATCCATAAAGTTTGACAATTTTGAATTTCCCTGATCACAGTTGCAACAATGTAGTTTTTCCTGTTCACAGTTGCAACAATGTAGTTTTCCCTGATCACAGTTGCAACAATTTAGTTTAACCTGATCACAGTTGTAGCAAAGTAGTTTTCCCTGATTACAGTTGCAACAATGTAGTTTCTGTCCATGGTTGCAACAATTTAGTTCTCTCAGATCACAATTTAGTTTCCCCTGATCACAGTTGCAACAATGTAGTTTCCCTGTCCATGGTTGCAACAATGTAGTTTTCCCTGTTCACAGTTGCAAATATAGTAGTTTTCCCTGATCACAGTTGCAACAATTTAGTTTAACCTGATCACAGTTGTAGCAAAGTAGTTTTCCCTGATTACAGTTGCAACAATGTAGTTTTTCCTGATCACAGTTGCAACAATGTAGTTTTCCCTGATCACAGTTGCAACTATTTAGTTCTCTCAGATCACAATTTAGTTTAACCTGATCACAGTTGTAGCAAAGTAGTTTATCTTGATCTTAGTTGCAATAATGTAGTTTACCTTGATCAGTTTCTGCAATGTATTTTACCCTGAGCACAGTTGGAAGAATGTGTTTTACCCTGATCAACGTTCCAACATGGTAGTTATCCAGATCAGAGTTGTTTAATATGATACCAGTTGGAGCAACATAGTTTATCCTGATCAAGGTTGCAACAACATGTTAGCACAGAGATCACAAATGCAACAGGTAGTTATCATCTTTATTCAGGTGCAACTTTGATGTTATCCAGATTACAGATCCATCTGTCTAAACATCTGTCAATGTCTTTCTTCTTAATTCAGATTCAACAGCCTGGACACTTTTCAACTCACAGATTTAACAATGTTGTCTCTCTTCAACTCAGCAATTAAACAATGTATTCACTTTTCAGTTAACCAATTCATCAGTGTAGCCATATTTCATCTCACAAGTTCAATAATGTAGTTACCTTTCTACTCACAGATTCAACAATGTAGTCATTTTTTCATTACAGATTCAACATTGTATATAGTCAATTTCCATGTAACTCATTCAACAATGTACTCATTATTCTGCTCAGATTCATCAAGGTAGTTATTTTTCAACAGTGTTGTTTTCAAGAACATAGATTCAAACAATGTTGTCACTTTTTATTTACAGATTCAACAATGTATATAGTCAATTTTCATGTCACAGATTCAACAATGTAGTCCTTTTACAACTTTCAGATTCAACAATGTAGCCATTACCCAGTAAACATTTTTGTTTTCAGATGGATATGAAGAGGCTATTGTCAAAATCACAAAAGTTGGATTTAGTCTGCCAGAGATTACAATAATGGAAGGCCAAGTAAGTAATGACTTAAAATATGAAAATCAATAGTACTTCTGCTGATCTGTTCGCATAGCAGAGAGTAGCTGAGACCTCTGCAAAAGTAAATTACCATAGCCAAATGCTTGCCATCTATTCTATCTATTCCAAAAGATTTGCCTCCAGACTGGGGTGAGCTACAGTATTATTATTATTATTATTATAGGATATTTATATAGTGCACATATCCAGGCAACTAGTGCATGCTCAAGGCGCTGGTATTTTCCCCTCAATCATTTGATGTCAATCTCAACGGCACATCGTATTATCAATCTCAACTCCCTGGGGAGTATACAAGTCTTGTAGCCACTAGGAGCACCGAGTTATTGTGGCTTTCTTATCCTAACAAGGTACCAATTCACTGCTGGGTGGACTGGGACACGCAGTCACAGTACTTTGTCCAAGTTCACTGCATGTTGCTGTACCCGCAACTAAGTGTTTGCACGTATTCATGTGGCCACCATCTGGTCATATACCAACGGATTTGTGGGTTCTTTTAAGAGCACAGGGTTGTGTCCTTTACACAAAGGGTTGTGACAACACTGAAAGAGTCTGCACACAAAGTTGACTCCAAGGTTTTTACACCCGGTCACAGGTGGGCTCGATCCTGACACCTCAACCTAGCTGGATCACTAGCCTGGCGCCTTAGCCAGCTCGCCCATCGCACCCCCAGTATACCTCCACTACATGTGTTCTTCAACATATGTTATATTTGGGATACACTTTCTCATCCCATCCTAATCGCCAGCACAAAAAGTCAGATGCCTAACCTGCTCAGCCACCGCGGCTTCCACGGGTTAGGCGACTGACTTTGTGTGCTAGCGATTAGTTGCCTGACTCTGAGGGTGTGACTTCGAATCCCAGATGGGACTCAACCCAACAAAGTACTAGAATCTGTACTTTACTGAGAAAGTGTAATCCCAAATATAACATATGTTACATTTGACCACTTTCTAAATGACATTGTGTATTTATGTGATGTGAGTACCTGACATGTGAATTTTTATCATCACAATTCCCCATGGCCACTTGTGATGGTGAAGTTGATTTCTTCTTGTATTCTCAGTCCAAGTAGTGTAGGACCCAACTCACTCACTCACTGACTCACTCACTCCAACATTTGTCTGTGTTAGCATGAACCATATTGTGAGGCTTAACATACACGAATGTAAACAGCATCACACTGATCAGATGTCCTTATTGTCAGTTCCGTATCTCACCAAGTTCCCATCTAGGGCCAGATAGGCATTGGGGTAGCCTAGTGGTTAAAGCATTCCCTTATCCAGATAAAGACCTGGGTTTGATTTCGCAGATGGGTTCAATGCTTAAAGCCCATTTCTGGTGTCACCCACCATGATATTGCTTAACACGGAGTAAATCCCAACTCACTCACTCACTCATCCAATCTGTACTTAGGTATCATCAGATTCATAGAAATGTTCAATAGGAGAGTGAATTTCACAAACAGATACCACAACAATGCTTTAATGAGCATTGCCTGCATACAGCATTGATGTTTAATGTGAATCGTGTTGAACAGTGGGAGAATGTTATTCATTATACCATACAATATTCTTGCAAGGCTTTAATAGCCTGGTGATGTACACACTGATTGCTATAGCCTGTGGACATAGAGGCAGGTAATTTGTTCGCTGTCAGTTGAACTGGCAGGCTCCAAGTAGATTTTTCGAGCAGACCATCATCCTCTTGTCAGTCAGATATCTCTCGCCATCACTCATTGATTCCAGGCATTAATGACAATAAAACTGATACATTCATAGGGGGAAATAGATTGTTTCCTAAACAAGTATTTGATGACAGAGATATAATACAGCCCCAACTCAAATGGCTTCTAAAAATCTCTTGTAAGGTGTTTTCATGTCAGGAAAATCAACAGAGCCTGGGCCTAGATTTTCGAAGCTCTCTTAGCGCTAAGATAGTCGGAAATTAATGTTAATGTATGGCACTTACGACTGTCTTAGCGCTAAGAGAGCTTCAAAAATCTAGGCCCTGGTGTATGTATACAGCTTATCAGAACTTATTTAAAACTAGATATTCAAGATACTGTACAATTGTTTTGAAAGATAATATAATTATATTTTCCTAAATCTCTGATCGGATGGGGCACAGGTGGCTCAGTTGTCTCAGAGTTGCATCCCCTTGGTGTGCCAGGAGCTGATGGGTTGAATCCCAGTTTACCTATGTTTCAGGTTTATCACTGCCATACCAGATATGTGGGGTTTTACCAGAGGGGTAGTCTTTTGTGGCCAAAATTAAGCTGACAAAACATGATATGGCTGAAATACTATTCAAAGCAGCGATTATCCCAAGATAAGAGTGATAAGGTTTTCTGTTGTAATGACCCTAGTGTTAAAGGCTGAAATTAAGGGATCACTTCATGATGAAGACCCATGATTGATTCCCCACATGGATACAATATGTGGCCCTTTTCTGGAATCCTCCAATTGCTGGAACTCACTAAAATATCCTACCAATAAACTCCAGGGGCCTAAGGTCCCCCGTAATTCCTAACATTGGCTGTGATGAAATATGGTAATTTCACAGTAAAATGAAATAACTGTGCACCTGATAAAGGCTTTTAGCATTTTTTACTGATGGCTTAGTCGGAGACACTACAGTGTGCTGTACGATGGCCTAGTCGGAGACACTACAGTGTGCTGTACGATGGCCTAGTCGGAGACACTACAGTGTGCTGTACGATGGCCTAGTCGGAGACACTACAGTGTGCTGTACGATGGCCTAGTCGGAGACACTACAGTGTGCTGTACGATGGCCTAGTCGGAGACACTACAGTGTGCTGTACGATGGCCTAGTCGGAGACACTACAGTGTGCTGTACGATGGCCTAGTCGGAGACACTACAGTGTGCTGTACGATGGCCTAGTCGGAGACACTACAGTGTGCTGTACAGTTATGTCCTTTAGTCACACGAGAAACCCATGTTTTGGGGTTGAATCATGGTTTCTCTTGATTATGATGCAGGTTTGGCAGCTCCATATACCTGCTCATAGGTTTCACCAAACGGATAAACGATTTCAGGCACATCAAACAAACTAGGGGCGGTGGGGTAGCGTAGTCATTAAAGCATTCACTTGTCACGCTGAAGACCCAGGTTCGATTCCCCACACGGGCACAATGTGTGAAGCCCATTTCTGGTGTCCCCTGTCATGAATATTGCTGGAATATTGCTAAAGGCAGCGTACAACCATATTCACTAATTCAACTTGACACGCCATGATATAACTGGAATATTGTTAAAACCCAACACGTTCTCTCACTGTTGCAAACTCATGAGTCCCATAATTCAGCCAGTTTTTATGGAAGACTAATCTGACTGTCCTGCATATCAATATATGATGAGCCAGTCTGTGTGCTGGATCACACTAGGGCCCATAGAGTGATTCATAGGAGAGATTTTCCTGTCAGTTCCACAGCAAGCCTCAACTAAGCTGCTTACTGAATGAAAGGCCCTGAAGGCAGCATGGTTAAGCTGTACTTAAATACGGCAAACTTGCCAATAAGCTGGATTAGTCTCGCATAATCTGTATTTGTTTGCATACTCATATCTATGTCCAACTGAACTGAAAATTAGCAGACACAGACGCTGGTTGTGTGGCGATTTAGATGAGCAGTCAAGTTTTAATATTACTGGTGTGAGATATAACTGCTTTGTTATTTGTCAGGAAAATAGGATGTCGTTATGAAACCAATAACAAACCAATAATACACAGTGTTATTGTGGTCCTGGCCCCTGTTCCACAAAGCAGTCGTAGAGCTATGTTGATCCTAACTCCTTGGCTGTAAGACCCGTGAAGATCCCGGTTAAAACTGGTCTTCAGCAACCCATGTTTTGGTGTAAGAGGCGACTAACGTGACTTGCATAGATCGATGCTCATGATTTTGATCACTGGTTTGTCTGAGAGCGTTGACCAAACAAAACCAACCCATACTGTAACACAGACTTTACGCTATTGTAGTACAACAATTGTTTTGTGGACTGAGGTCCTGTGGTCCAGGAAATGTCACTGTGACCTGTAAATGTAGAAACAGCTAGAACTCTATAAGGTAACATCAATATAGAAGAAAGACCCTTCACAATGATGCTGAAGGGTTACATTTATCAATCTTGGGAAGGGATCAAGGACAAAATAGGCGATATTTACAACCATAGTCATCACAATTACTTTGATAGATAAAAACTGTTGGTGATATGCCCACTAAAGTGGCACGTCAAATACATAAACAACAAATGCAACTATGGGTAATCTCTGTGTAGAAAGTAGAATAGTGTTATCCAGCACACTCCACTTCCTTATTTCCTGTGTAAATCCTCGCACCTTAAATTGTCCTAGGGCGCTCTGTCGTATAAGGCTCCAAAACTCTATGCAGAGAGTAGCATCCCTTTGAGTGTGCCAGAAGCCAGTGATCAGGAGTTCTGAACTTATTTTGTCCTGATTTGATTGGTAGATTTGTCAGAAGCATCCCTGCAGTACTTTTATAAAATGATGAATTTTATATAACCAAACTTACTTAATTTCTTCCATCAGCCATCAGTTTGATTGTTGTTTAATCCTGCACTCAGCAATATTCCATCTATATGAGGTGGATCTGGACCAGACAATCCAGTGATCAACACCAAGTCAGCAAACCTGGCCAACCAGTCCATGAAATAAGGTTTCCACTGAGGTGTTGAAAGTATATACAAAGTTGTTCTGTTCTGGCTAGTAATGGGGGTAATTATTTGGAGTTGGTAAAATCATAACAGGGCCAATTTTCACAACTGTTGATCTCCATCACAGTAGATGTGATACATTTGAACTCAATGAATAGGTAAATTGCTACCTATCTACCAGACAGTGGTCAAGTTGTAGTGTCAGGGATTACAGTGACAGATTTGTCGCTGAAAGTACTGAATATATATTTACAATGGTGTTTCTGTTTCCAGTCAGTCACATTTGTATGGGAGGAAAGAGTATCCATGATACAGGTAGGTCAATATGGAACAGTTGGTGTCACTCACCTTGAAACAGTGCCAAAGAGCCTTTAGTCTTCGATAACAATATTGTTAAACTAAGTTGACAGTTTTTTACTAACAATATTTGAGATATTTTTAGCTTGCTTTATCTGAATATATGTGATGTTAAGCCCACATTTTGATGTTTAAATGGTTTACAGATTTTTGTAGTCATTTTGCTTTGATTGGTGGAAATAAATTTATATTTGCATAATGATAGTCACTTTGATGAAAAACTTATGCTGTTAAAATTACTTCTCTTTATGAAAGGGTTTCATTGGCAAGAGACTTTTTCAAAATACATCTTCATATCTGTGTATTGAATATTTATTTAGGTATTTAGGTCTATTTTGTATGTCTGTCTGGTATGTGTGCATATTGTGTATGTCTGTATGGTATATATGTGTGTATCTGCAGGTTGTATATGATGGAGAGAAGCTGCGACCTGTGTATGTCTGTATGGTATATATGTGTGTATCTGCAGGTTGTCTATGATGGAGAGAAGCTGCGACCTGTGTATGTCTGTATGGTATATATGTGTGTATCTGCAGGTTGTATATGATGGAGAGAAGCTGCGACCTGTGTATGTCTGTATGGTATATATGTGTGTATCTGCAGGTTGTATATGATGGAGAGAAGCTGCGACCTGTGTATGTCTGTATGGTATATGTGTGTATCTGCAGGTTGTATATGATGGAGAGAAGCTGCGACCTGTGTATGTCTGTATGGTATATATGTGTGTATCTGCAGGTTGTATATGATGGAGAGAAGCTGCGACCTGTGATTGGTGGGTATCAGGCCAGTCCTGATGAAACAGACGGACAGTATGAGCTGCAGTTCAACCTGGAGGGAGAGTACAAGTTTGCCTTGTAAGTCCAGTTGTAGATCCTATCTCAGTATACAATCTCAGTAAAATCACATATGTTAATCTTATACAATACCTTTATGCATGAAAAGACCCGCTAAAGATGCGGGTTAGAATTGATCTTCAGTAGCCCATGCTTGTTGTAACGAGGCGACTAACAGAATCGGGTGGTCAGGCTCACTGATTTGGTTGACACATATGCGTCCGGACTTGATTATTTACTGGCTGCCACCATATAGCTGGGAAAATGCTTAGTGCAGTGTAAAACTGAACTCACTCACTCACTTATGCATTAAAAACTGAGCTCTTTTATGGAGGTTAATTGAGTTTGTGGCAGGAATCATTACAAAATTAGTCCAGGTGTAGGTATCTGTATATGAAGAGGAGGACTGCTACTTTTCATAATGGAAAGTTCTAGCCCTATGGACTTTTTCTTGTAACCAGAGCTAATCTTTATTGAATGCCTCTAGAAAGTAGCACTGTGTGTGGGGATAAACCTGACTGAGAGTACAAATGATTTGAACCAAGAACTTCTGCATTCAGCAAAGATGACTTAGTCTGGGTAAAGATGTGTTCTGTATGCTATAATCACAATTGAGTCAAAAGGATTGCTAATGGAATATGTTCATGTGTCTGTTATCTAGGAATGGAGTTCGCTGTACCCCTCTGGCTGTGCTGGTGCGGCGACGGATGGACCTTCAGGCTGTTGTAACAGATGAAGGGTTTTCTCCAGACATTATTGAGATCTTCCAGGGTCACACAGTGAAGTGGTCATGGAAGCAATGTGCTGTACCCCACACCATCAAGGAAGTCATCCTCTGCATGGACAGGGGCTCCTTCAGGAAGCAGCCCACAAACTCCAGGTTGGTCAGGAGTTATGAAACACTCCTCAGAGTAGACACATCCAGTGCTCAAGGAACTTTGTCATCAGTCATGAATCTGCCACATAGAAAATGGAGTCTTTCTCAACCCCTAACCCCCAATGCCCTTCTAACCCCCAATGCCCTTCTAACCCCCAATGCCCTTCTAACCCCAGATGCCCTTCTAACCCCAATACCCTTCTAAGCCCCAATGCCCTTCTAACCCCAATACCCTTCTAACCCCAATGCCCTTCTAACCCCAATACCCTTCTAACCCCCAATGCCCTTCTAACCCCAATGCCCTTCTAGCCCCCAATGCCCTTCTAGCCCCCAATCCCCTTCTAACCCCCAATGCCCTTCTAACCCCCAATGCCCTTCTAACCCCCAATGCCCTTCTAGCCCCCAATGCCCTTCTAACCCCCAATGCCCTTCTAACCCCCAATGCCCCTCTAACCCCAATGCCCTTCTAACCCCCAATGCCCTTCTAGCCCCTAATGCCCTTCTAACCCCCAATGCCTTTCTAACCCCCAATGCCCTTCTAACCCCCAATACCCTTCTAACCCCAATACCCTTCTAGCCCCCAATGCCCTTCTAACCCCCCAATGCCCTTCTAACCCCCAATACCCTTCTAACCCCCAATGCCCTTCTAACCCCCAATACCCTCTTATTACTGACGCCTTACACGTTAACTGTCTTCGTGTCTTCGTTCTTATGTGCAGGCCTGTTTTCAAATCCTGGATCTTTGTTTTAATAATAGTGGTCAACAGTAGAATTAATAGGGTATGTCATCCCTCTGGGTCTGTTGCAGTTACTGTCATTGAGTGGGTCAACCATGACATCAATGTTGTATCTGAATACCGTGGACATAGAGTTGTTTACTGTTATGAGTTACTGAGTTATGTATCAGGCAAAGAGCTTGGTAGTTCGAATCTGAATTTATCAGCTCCCAACTGTTTTGTCCCATTTATGTCAGCTTTTTGTGTTTTGTAAAATCAGATCTGTTGTCCTTTGTGTTCCAGTGTGGTGGCCACGGTGTCAGGAAGCTACAGACACACCTTCCAGTGAGTACACAGCCATCTAGCTATGGATGGAATCCTATAGCATCAGTACTGTAGCTATAGATTACTGACTGGAAGTCGGGAGAATATCCAGATCCTAAGAATATCTGCTGATGATTTAGCATATTATTGGAAGGTGCAGTTGGTAGAAACTCCTCATCTATTGCCTGGAAGCATGTTACTATTGTGTTTGTCTTGTTCCAGACGTCCAGGCCTGTACTACTTCCAGACGGAGAGCTTGGAACTAGGACGAACTCACCTGTGTGTGGTGCAGGTCAGAGAGGCACCCAGGTGAGAAGGAACAAGGGGGCTTGGCCGGACACACCTAGGTTTGGTTACTGGGAAGGGGACAGGGCCTGAAGCACCAGTTTGGTGCAAGTCAGGGACGTAGCTTAATTACAGTAAATAATATAAACATGGTTTCATTAAAGACATGGTTGGGCTGTGAAATGACTAGACTTGACATGGTTAGACTTGGACTTGACTGAAATTGACATGGTTCAGCTGGGACTTCACTTAGACTTGACAAGCTTGAGCTGGGACTTGACATGGACTTGACATGGTTCAGCTGGGACTTGACATGGACTTGACAAGCTTGAGCTGGGACTTGATGTGGCTGCGACTTCACTTGGACTTGATTTTGTTAGGGTGAGACAGGATTAGAATTGATATGGTTAGACTTCGTCTTGACTTAGATTGACATGGTTGAGCTGGGACGTGACATGGTTGAGCTGGGACTTGACATAAACTTTACATTGTTGAGCTGGGACTTGACATGGTTCAGCAGGGACTTGACATGGACTTGACATAGTTCAGCTGGGACTTGACATGGACTTGATGTGGCTGCGACTTCACTTGGACTTGATTTTGTTGGGCTGGGATGGGACTCTGATTAACATAGTTGAACTTGGACTATGTAGGTCATGTGTCCACTGCTTGTCTAGAGCTGCCCTGTTGTTTCAGAGAGCATAAGATCGAGATCCTGGACCGCTCCTTCCAGCCCATGATCCTGCTGATAGAGGAGGGAGACAGAGTGTGGTTCCACTGGGACAAACACAAGGTAGCAACCCAAGCCAAACCACTCTTTGAAGTACTGTAGAGTGTACAAATGTATGGATTGGTTGTACAAGATTTTCTGGAAATAATTTCCCTGTTATATAAATAGATCCCTGTCATAGTTATCTGATCATACAATCTGATCAAGATTAGCAGATACTCAAACTGCTGACTGGTGTTGCTGTGCCAAGCCTGTGCTTCTGTGCTACCTACCTTACGTCACCTGAAATATTGATGAGCTCATTGTAAACCTTTCTCCCTGTCATCACCTGGTTATATTTTATGGCACTTCAGTAAATGTTAATCCAGAGTCAGTACGCAAAAGAATTAAGTGGGAAACCAACAGACAACAAAGAAATGTGTTGTAAGTAACAATTGTATTGTAAAATTTCCAAATCAATACAATGGTCTCACTAATGCAGTATAAAATTGTGTAGCAGTACAAATTCTAGAGGTACAATATAGAACAAACTTTATGGATAACAACTTCTTTTTATTGCACTCACAAATAAAGAGTAAAAACAAATTGTTATCCATAAAGTTTGTTCTATATTGTATTTCCCAACTTCTAAAATGCCAGCACTCACGAATAAAAAGAAGTTGTTTTCCATAAAGTTTCTTCTATATTGTACTTCCCAACTTCTAAAATGCCACTCAAAGAAATTTAGAGGTAATATAATACAAGAGCATCAATGAAAGCAATGATAGTAATATATATTTTCTTTCTGCTCTGTCCAGGGCCCACTTGCACAGAGCAATCTTAGTTACAATCAATCTTAGGGCCTTACAATCAACTTTACAATCACCATACAATTGCCCTAATCCACTTGCACAAAGCCGATCTTAGAGCGATTGTAAGACGACATGTATTTAAGATCGCGATCTTAGCTAAGATCGAACTCTTCAACGATGGAGGTACGAATTTCTTAAACTCGACTCCCGTCTACAGTTGTCTGAAAGTGCGCATAGCATGCTGCGCAAATAAAAAGTAATACTGGTCCCTGCACACAATACATACCTCCCTCAATCGCACCTTGCAGAATTTTCATGAAAAAATCCCAGAAATCTTAGAAGGAACCGATAACGTGGACGATAGCATATATATTTCTACATTCTAACTGTCTTGATTTATGAACTGAGAATGTGATATTTCAACCACGGAAATACCTACCCATGTTTTATGAAAATATTGAACTGAGAAAAAATACATTCATAAATTTTGGTCTAGATTTAGTGACTTAATAATTATGAAAATTGTAATAATATATCAAATATCGACAATATTTACTTATGATATAACACCTACATGCATGATTTGCCACTGGTTGTCAATGAGACATTGTTTAATGCACAGCTGTTTTTTTTCCTTTTTTTGGGTGTAAAATCCAAAATATACCCTAGAAGTATTGGTTTTCTCACAATATAACCAGAAAATGTAATATTGCTACAGAAGTGTTGTAAAGAATTGATGACAGGGAAATACGAATATCAAATAATATATCGAGAGAGCAGTTGTTAAATACTCATTCATAGTATATTAATGATATGACCCTATTGCGTTGATAAATATTTTTCTAAAAGTGAAATTAAAATTGAATCTTGATTTTGCACGTTAACTTGATTACTTTAATGATTAACTAAGCCAAATCACTCCATCACCGAAAAGAAAATATCTTGAGCTCTGCGATTTGGCATGACAGACTCTACGGCAACGGCATAGGCCAGGGGAAACCACTCCCATCTTGCCCATAAACTAAAATTATCTGCTCTTGAGTTAATGAAAAGGTCACGGCCATTGTTAATCGCACGCGGACACCATTTGCTAGTATCCTTCCTTGATTATCAAAAAGGTATGTTGTTTCACACTTATTCCAACATTGAATCGGGTGGGAATAGTACTTTGTGATGTCGACTCAATAGTTCTGTGGTTCACTACAGCAAATAACAATGTACCCGACGTTAAATCGGTTGTGCATTCTCCGTGTTGTTGAAGTGTCGAGGCGAATCATACAGTACAAAAGCAATCTCCAAACATAAAGCTGATTATTTGCGTGAAACTTGAACACCATTTTGTCACAGACTACAATGATCTTAGCTCCTTACAATTGGTCCGGACCAATTGTAAGTTTCGATTGTAACTTACAACGATCTTAGCCTACAATCGCTTTGTGCAAGTCGATGGCAATTGTAGCCGAAGCCTAAGATCGCGATCTTATGGATTTACAATAATTGTAGCGCTAAGATCGTTCTGTGCAAGTGGGCCCAGGCCTGTTATACTGAGGTGTCTGTGTGTACATGTATGTGAATGTTGTTTCCAGTGTAAGAAGCACCACAGCATCTACCAAGTGGAAGCTCCAGCCGTGGACCTGGAGGAAGACGAACCGTACATTGTGAGTAGAATATCTCTTGGATTTATTGTACAGGCTTACATGGAAATGGTTTGTGTTTTCAATACTGTTTCCCACTTTTGATGACCAATGGCATGAATGCAGATAAGAAGTAGATATCTATTAAGTTAAAGGAAAGAGCCTGTAACTTCTGTTATGGACATATGTATTTATCATCCAAAACTGTGTTCCACAGGAAAACTGTGTTGATCAGGAGATCTCCTATGAGATATCGCTTTGACAGTAGATTTTGTACAATGCCTGACAATGCTATGACATCATGAACTTGATGACATCGCTGCACTGCAAGTCTAATGGTAGTACAGTGTTCAGAGATGTACATTTTTCATTGAAAACTAATGAAGAATGATTTTTGATGATAAATAGAATCTCACCCTCGTGTCTACTGATATCAATTATATCAACACTTGTTGATAAAGCTAAAAATATTCTCGGCAAGTCTCGGATATTTGTAACTTTATCAACTCGTGTTGATATAATTGATATCAGTAGACACTTGGGTGAGATTCTCTATGTATTACCCACTGCCTGTTTCTCTGCCAGCCGATCAAGGAAGGGTTCCGATGGACTGTCCCCAGCAAGCAGGGGATGTTGTCACATGAGTTCCATAAGACAGGGGTGTACTATTTCTCCGACCAGAACTTTGAGGAGGCAGCCGAGTATCTAGGCACCATCATTGTCAAGCCTCGTCCCAAGGAACACTACATAGAACTCAGGGAAAAGGGCTTTGCACCTGGTGAGCATTAAGATTGAAATTAACTTAAAACGTATTCTGTTCTATTTTCTGTTGAAATGTCATCCAGTGTTCATGGAGGAAATTTCCTCCCATCTTATCAAACACTTGTTTTTGTTTCAAATTGAAAGTTTGGAATTTTTGTGATCCTTATGACAGTGTATGAAATGAGGTCCATCTGACATTGCACTGCGTTGACGTATATTATCACTAAAACAGCGACACCCATCGATGCACCCATCGAAGTCTCTTACGGAGCAGTTTCTTTGAAAATGTTGTGAATAGACTGTTCAAAAGAAAATACATGTCTCAAGTTCATTGAATTATTCATTGTAACGAAAAATTGAGTTGTTTTCTTTGGATCCTCTGGTCTGGTTAAATCCATTTTGGGCTGGTAACATTTTGAAGTTACCATCATTGATGTCTGGCAGGATTTTTGGCTTACTTCATACACTGCTTATGATCCCGTGATCCCTGCTAGTAGTGATGGTGTGAGGATACATCTGGGTTACGATGATAGGTCTTGTGGATGTGTGCTTCCAGATCTGCTGTTTGCCAACACTGGAGACAGGATCTGGTGGACGTGGGATGGAGAGAGGTATCGTCAACGTCAATGAAACTCTCCTGGTCCTGGAGGAAGATAAGTGTCTCAACCCCATCGCTCGGCGCCCATCAGCTGAAACTGAAGGTATACAAGTCATAACTCAGGGATGAAAATTTTCTGCGAATCTGCAGAATTCTGCGGATTTGAGCGTGCTAAGGTCATTCTTGTGAATCGTCTAAACCTGCAGCCCCCAAGACCCATGGCTTATTTACCTCTTTTTTCACTCATACCCATTCTCATCCCTGATAGCTTGCTTGTACATCACTATGACTACATCAATGTAGCGACAACCATGTTCATTAACATCATTGTAGCTACTATGTCACTGTAGCGACAACCATGTTCATTAACATCATTGTAGCTACTACATCACTGTAGCGACAACCATGTTCATTAACATCATTGTAGCTACTATGTCACTGTAGCGACAACCATGTTCATTAACATCATTGTAGCTACTATGTCACTGTAGCGACAACCATGTTCATTAACATCATTGTAGCTACTATGTCACTGTAGCAGCAACCATGTTCTGGATCCTGCTGATAGTTCAACAATCTGTAATCGTGAAATTTTAAGTGGTATTCCTTTGATACAATTTAATTGAAGTACTTAATGAACGTTCTGGTTGAAAATTCTTGTCAGTGTTCATTCAAAATTTAATCAACAAATTTAACAGTGGCATTCTATGAACAGGTGATAAATCAGTATATACAATTAAACACTTAACTGTTAGAATTTCCCACCTTACAACAACCCATGTTACAGCTTTACAGTGCAGAAATGTACATGGATCTGGACGAAGCGTCGATGAAGCTGCTGACACGTGTTGGTCATGCAACGTATCACTTCACAACAATCGGTGTGTACAACTTTCGCGTGGCGGACACAGGTGACAGCTTCACCACCTGCTCTGTTGTGGTCAATCCAGGGTCTCGGGTAAGTTCATGGGATGCAGTTAGTGCTTGTATAAGATTTGTCACCATTCATTATCATGCATGAAACTTTTCTTTACTGTAAAGAAAACTGTCAAATTTTTAAAACAACTGTTAATGCCGACATTTGTACCAGAGTTACTAGGAAACTAAAGAATTAAGGTTAATAGGCACTTACAACTATCTTTTTCTAAGCCCTTTTAGCTAAGATAGTCTTCGTCAGTAAGTGGTGGTTAATGTTAATGTATGGCAACCACAACTATCTGACAGACAATGGGTTTAAGAGAGCTGATCAAATTCTAGGCCCAGGTTTTGAGTAAAAGCACAGTCTTCTTAAAGAGAGTATCAAATCAAGTGGTGGTCAAATATATCCCCATACAGGTTGTGTCTTGTTGTAGAACCACACAGTCCATCTGACAGACAATGGGTTTGAGCCGAAGGTGATCACAATCCGGCCTAATGACCGAGTGTGGTGGGTGTGGCAGAGTGGCAAGAAACAGCATAACATTATTCAGGTATGAAATCTTGAGTAGCTCTTACAAAGAGACTATCAAATCATACAGGTAAAGAGACTATCAAATCATACAGGTAAAGAGTATCATAAAAATCATACAGGTAAAGAGAGTATCATACAGGTAAAGAGACTATCAAATCATACAGGTAAAGAGACTATCAAATCATACAGGTAAAGAGACTATCAAATCAAACAGGTACATCTCACAGAAAGGGCTTTGTATTGGCAGATAAATTGTGTTGCACTCTATTGCGATTCAGGTACCCATATTACAATATATTACTAGCTTAATTGTTTGAGAGTAAGTGACTCTGATTCTAGATGCAGATCCTATTTTGTACATACAAAGGCCCTAAAATTAAATGAAATTTAGGAATTTGTGCTGAGGATGTACATATTTAGTCAGATTTTCAGTGTGTTCACTGCTTTGTTAGATAAGTGTTGTTAAACATGAGGTTTGATAGATGTGTTTTTAATCTTGCAGTCTTTCATTGATGGTACACTGTTTCTGTGTGATATATCCTCAAAATATTTGTTCTAGCTCTGTTACACGTGTCAGTATACACACCTGAGATAACGAGTTTACTCCCCTACCTGACAGGTATCCCACCAAGGTGTGCCTATCACCAATGGTTTCTGCAGTGGCCAGACACGAGACTCTCCATCAGCATTCACTCACCAGTTCATCATGCCAGGAGTCTTCTACTTCATCAGTAAAAACCTGCCTAAAGTGTTCGGGGCTGTCGTCGTGTCCACACAACCTCAGGTGAGCTGCATGATAGGGCTAGCTATTGTAGACTGCAGTTGTGATTCTTACAGTCTTACACACATTGTTATGCATTGCTGCATGTTGTTGGCTCAATGAGAAGAATTTTGAAAATTTTCCATTTGAAAATGGATAATGGTAGTGGTAGTGAATAACAGAACTGTGATATACTTAAAACATAGGTATTGTATGTAGTATGTTACCTGTGAATATTTCATTGAGCATCTTCTCGAAATTATAGATCACACTTTCACTGTCCCAAAACGGGTTCTCAATACAAAAAGTTCCTGTCAAACTGTTTGTAATGCAGTTCTGTATTTTATTGTATGGCTTAGTATAATAAGCAATATTATGAAAGGGTAAGTATTGTACCAATTAAGCTGTGAATATTTCATCATGCATCCTCTTAAAGTCTTGGTATTCCTCACTTCTGAATACAAAAATGTAGGGCAGTTGTTATTTTCCCTGTAAGACTGTTGTATATGTTATTGGTGGTGTTTTCTCTGTATGCAGGTCCATGAAATCAGCGTCACTTCCTCTGAAATCAAGCCAGACCCAGTTGTGATCCAGGTGAACGACATTGTGGCGTGGACGTTCCGCAACCCACGGACATTTGATGTGGCGCTGGTGGAGACCGTGGACCAAGTGCTGGATGCCCAGTTCTCTGAGAAGGTCCTGGCTCCCAGGTACGTATTTAGGTGAGGTGAGGTGACATGGAGTTTAACGTCGTACTTGAGAATAATTCGCTCATATGACGACATGCTTGCGTGTGTATGTGTATGTGCGGCTGCTTGTATTAGCCCAGACTGAAGCTGGTTTTATAGTGCTAACTCTCTGAGATACCATACCGCAGTTAAGCATGAATACCCCACTCAGGCAGGGACCAACAAGTACCACATTTTAGCGTCTTTTGGTATGACGCGGCCGGGGATCGAACCTGCGACCTTCCGCTCTCCGGGCGGACACTTTAACCACTACACCATGGAAGCGGTCTACATACTTAGGATTGACCGTAGAGTCAATAGGTCTGACCCCGAGTAGGAACTTGCTGGGCGACAGATGGACTGATTATTATAGGACCACTGATGACCCTAATGATCCTTACGACTTCCATAACTGTTTCATTGTGATAGAACTAGTTTATCATTGCATTCCATGCCTGATGTTTTGTAAAGGTGATTATTCCTCAGGATGCTATTGATAAGAGCAATATTCATGAATGTAGTTCTCACCAAGAATTCTCACAAGTTACTAAGTCAAGTGATCACTGCATGTTTGGAGTAACTCGTTATCCCCCGGCACACGTTTAGCGCAAAGCGGGGGATATAGTATTAGGCTTGTCAGCAAGAATCAAGAACCGTTCACTGGATTTTCTTCATATTTGATACCCAAGCTTGATCTAGGGGAGGCGCGAGCCCAGTCGATTCTGGTGACCTTCACAAAAATTTAAGGTCACAGCGACACTTTGAAGATTTCAGCATGTTACCCTGCATGTTAAGCTTATCAGCGAGATACCTCAAGAACCATTCACTGGATTTTCTTCATATTTGACATCAAGCTTCGTCTAAGGACGGTGCTGAACCCAGTTGATTTTGGTGACTTTCACTTAATTTTCAAGGTCACAGCAACACTTTGAAGATTTCAGCATGTTAACCTGCATGTTAAGCTTGTCAGCAAGATACCTCAAGAACCATTCACTGGATTTTGTTCATATTTGACACCAAGCTTTATCTAGGGCTCAGGGCTCAGTTAATTTTGGTGACCTTCAAGTAATTTTCAAGGTCACGGTGACACTTTGAAGATTTCAGCATGTTAACCTGCATGTTTAGCTTGTAGGCAAGATACATCAAGGATGGTTCACTGGATTTTATTCATAGACTTTCAAGGCTTCTCTTGAATGTTTTTTGATAAGCAGTTTCTTTATTACTACTTTTGCATATTTCATACACCATGACATTCATGTCAAGGTCAAAGTGAGTCTTGAAAATGTTTGTGTGTTTGAACAACTAAGAGCAAGATATCGAGAGAGGTTGACTAGTCATGTTTGTCTTGACATTTAACTTCATCTTAAACTATGACCTTCACTTTCATTACTTTTTAAGTTTGATTTGATCAATTGCGGCGGGGGATTATGTCACCTCAGTGACAATGCTTGTTATGACAGATTTCATTTTCCGTGAGAAAGTAAGGCTTTACCTGACATTGATTTGCATTGTATTTGCGTTTATCTTCATCTTCACTTAAAATGATACCTTCTGCATCTCCTTTCTCCAAGCTGAGAAGCAATTTACCATTAAAACTATTTGTAAAGGATTTTGATGACGAACAGAAGATGGTCCTATGCCCAAGTCATTGCATTAACTCATTAAGGCCGAGAGACGCATATATGGGGCAAATTAATCAGCTCCTCACAGCGAGTGACATGTTTATGGGGCAGGTAATTAGCAGTTTCTCACAGCGAGAGCCACATACAGTCGTCAACAGAAAGCACCTCTTATTCAGCGAGAGACGCACATGTGTGTTGTACTTTTAAAAATCGCACTGTACCTATTATTTCAACCAATTTAGCAGTACTGAGCAAATGTTAGCTTTTCTTACGAGAGATCCCACCTTTAGTATCAATCAGAAGAAGTATTTAAAGTGTTTTGATAACAATTGCTAATCATTATCATAGGCTTGTACAGCGTTTAGCAAATGAACGCATGTTGGTGAGAAAGGGGATTATGATGTTTTTACAGAGGTAAGTGCCTGGTACTCTTCCTTGGGAATGGATACTAAAATACTTAGTATGCACCTTGATTAGATGTAATGGTTTAGAGGTTACTAAAAATTATATTTCCTTCAACTACCTAATAAATAGGAAAAAATATACGAAATTTCAAGGACATACAAAGAATTCAAACACAATAGAATAGTTTGAATTTACTTTTAGGCATCATTACGTTGTCATGTTTCATATACTGAAACATAATGTATAAACACAAGTAATTATACATCCAAGCTCGAATAGATTAAACATAATTGAACTTACTAATTTGAAGTTTACTGAATTGTAACTAGTTGTTTTCCATAATCTAAAGTTAAGTAATGTTACCTAAGCGAATATAAAGTGATAAGTCGCCTTTGCATCGAATACATATATACATGTCAGTGTTATTACAACAATGAAATCTTTTACTACGTTTGTTACAAAAGACAGTAAGTTGGTAATTCAAAACATTGTCACACATGGACAGAAGTAATATCATAAGTTATTACATGTAATCCATACAAAGGTATTTCAAGCATTTTTGTTCAAGCTGTTGAAAGTTTCATGTTGATTTGAATTGTCAGTTTTCTATGCAATTTACATGAGCATTCTGTAAAAACGTTTGTATTTGATCTGTGTAATTATCAAATCCGGTGCAATTATCACGTGTATCAATCAACTCAGTCTCTATTGATCCAACGTCAATAAAAGCTGGATAGTATATCAGTATCGATATCGTATACATACATGCGATATAATCATTCAAGCAGATTACAGTAATGAGATAATTGAAAACCTTGAAATAACAGCCTCGGTAGAATGCATATGTAGTTTCCTTGTTGAAAGGTTTGTCCCCTTGTAAAATAAACAGATGCTGTTATATCATTGGACATCTTGCTTTATGGACCTCTCTGTGATGTTTATACATGCATGCACATCTGTAATCCAGTAAAGAGGAGCGCTTCCACCTTCATAAATATTGGGGGTGGGGATAGTTATACACTATAATAATTCAGTATAGTGTCACCTCGTGAATTCTGTAATCAAGTTTGATAGTCATTCAGTATCAAGGTGAAGATTATATTTACATGTACAGCAAACCATTATGTTTTATGTACTAGTTGTGTGCATAAAATGTATATGAAAATAAATACTACCTCTACTCAGTGGTTGGATTTCAATCGCTTTGTTTTACTTATCGAAAAACACTAAAATGAGGACAAATAAACTCGCCAAAGTGACTATCTACTCCTATTTGTCTTATGTGTATATTTCATACATCGTTACCAGTGTGTATGTTTACAATACACAAGCTGTTACATGATAGCTTGAGTTGATAAAGCTGAAACCCAGCATATCGACTGGTCAAGGATATAGCCAATAACCAATATCTATCCAAGCTGCTGAGTGACCAAAGCGTGCTCTTCAGAAATTTCGCCCACGCCCATCACCTGTCCTTTCCTCTGTGACAGGTATCTCATGATACATGATTCGTGCCAGATAACATATGACCAGCCACTATACTGAACAGTTGAGATACCAGTGTGTATGTTTACAATACACAAACTGTTACATGATAGCTTGAGTTGATAAAGCCGAAAACCCAGCATATTGACTGGTCAAGGATATAGCCAATAACCAATCTCTATCCAAGCTGCTGAGTGACTAAACGTGCTCTTCAGAAATTTCGCCTTGCATATCACCTGTCCTTTCCTCTGTGACAGGTATCTCATGATACGATTGGTCGCAGATAACATATGACCAGCCACTACATTGAACAGTTGAGATACCGAACGTTCTATTCGGGAAATTTGATGATGCCCTATCACGTGACTCTTTGTTTTATGTCTATGCAAGGAATATGTAGTAAACATTTTGTATATGTATGTTTTATGTATGGTCATTAAATCTGTATGAAATAAAGTGCAATGCTATTTTTGTGCATTAAATAGCGTTATGTACTTTCATTAAAAAATTGTACTGAAATGTCGGCAAATTATGTTTTCTGCATTATAAAGTATGAAAGTAAATTCTTCTTTACAGTATGTCATTGTCATAGATGTTTTGTAAATTTAAACCTCACACAATGATATAAGAGAGAGAATTTGTTAACGTGTGTCTCATCTGTTACATACAAAGAATACATGTGTATGCATATTGTGATAAAATATAAATGTACAAGCCGACAAAAGGTCTACAAGAGAAACTTGCAATAAAATTACATAAAGCTTGCAATACATGACATGTATTCACACCTGATTTCTTTCAACATATATTTTTACGACACAATTAAACAATCAGGACTTGTTTGTACGACTAGACAGTTTCCTGTGATCCCCGAAACCTGCCAGGGAAATCAGGTGTGACTAGCACTAATTAGTCTCGGCACAGAGAGTGGGCAATCAGCGAGGGCTTCCAGGTGTTGAGTAGTGATGGGGCTCTCGGGCTTAATGAGTTAAGGGTTACACTCCACGAGGCCTAAAATCCACACTCGAATAAATATTTCACAATCATATTTGCTTTTTGTTGTTTCTTATGATTCACCCCTTCTGTGGTCAATAATGGACCAGTCCAGCAATAATCCGCCGTAATCCCATAAAACCAGTGAGGCATGAAATCCCACATAGCCTAATGAACTGTACCTACCTAACTGAATAATTTTAGGCCTTGTGGGACGACACCGCATTAAGGTAGGTTGGAGCAACCACTGTAGGCACATCGGGCCATGATGTGGGTGGAAGTGTTTAAACCAGAAGGACTATTTCCTTAGCACGAGGATAACTTAGTCAGTGAAAGTTACAATATGTGACTTGAGAGATATGTGAATTGAGAGATATGTGAAACGGTTTTGGGAAAATGCTATGGTTTGTTATCATTTAAAGTATTATTGTTAAAGTAATAATGAGCAGGCAACATGGAGGTATATTTGGCCAGTTATACACTATAATTGACAAAGTTGTATTTGGTTTTATCATTGTTTTCTAATCAATAAAGACAAATGTTCCTTGTGAGGATGACATTTTAATCAGTGTCAGGTACCTACAATTATCAGGCTCGATATCAGTATTGATTTTTAGGACCCACACAGTAGACTTTCCAGATGTAAGTATTCTCATTTAGAAGAATGTTTAATGCAGTGATGCAGGGACTGTAGCCATGGATTAAATGTTATGCTTGACTTACTGTTTATTTCCTGTAATGATCCCTTGAGACTGTAGGCAACACACTTATATCTTGCTAACCTGAGCTGCTATGTGCAGGTGCCTGTGACTTAGTTGCACACATGACAGTGGTCGCTCTTTATGTAGAGTCAGTGTATATGCCTGTAGTAGTATCACGTACAGTGCTGAGTTGACAGGATTTATAGGAAACCGGACAGTATGCCTGTGTTGTGTACAATTTGATATTGTGGGATTATTTGTTTTCGGACATCAAACGTTTTTGTTTTCATTGGCATTTTCACAAGGTGTGGTGCATCATCCAGACATTGTAAATACTCACATTGTGGCTTGTCATGAGATGTAGTTGTCTTGTTTAAGTTAACGACATGGTTTACAGTTGTTCAGCTAGGTGATTAGCAGGAAAACAATGAATGTTTCTTAAGCATCTAAAAACTGATAATATGATGATACTGTGATCATTCTAGGCCACACCATTCGCACACTAATATTTAACATGGTGCACTGTACAGGTATGGGCAGGTCGTGTTGGTGTATCCATACATGTAAACCTGAAACACATCACAAGTTTGTTTTCGCTTTGCAAGTCAAGCAAAACTCAAGTACGTCTTTGGTTTCTCTTGTTGACCTCACCTTGATTGAAAGTTTGAAAAAGGAAGTGAACTCATACTAGTAACTGTAGATGTATGGCTAAAACATCACAGCAATTTGACATGACCCAGAATATTTACTAACTGAGGGCTGGTGGGCCATGGGCTCACTTTTTAGAATGGCTTGAATAACACTTATGATAATAGCATTCTTATTATAGATAACTTTCTCTTTCCAATATTTATGTCACTGTTAATGTCATTATTTTTTGCAAGTAATTGACATCTTTCATTCATTGTTTACTTGGTTACATAATACAGTAACTAACTATTGATTTAAAATCAATAAACAAGATAGTGTAACAAAACAATCAATTGTGTTTGCTTAGAGAGAGTGTCAGTGTTAATGTCCCTGGAACTAAGACATGTGACATCCCAGTGAACCGAAGAAGACTCTGAGAGCAGTTGCCAGGGAAACGTGGTGACAACACGCAGCCGAGTTAGATACAGTGTCTGAGTTAGTCATGGACCAGAGACAATGTGTTGTCAGTCATGTAGTATTATTGTGGGATGTTATCATTTGGAGTGATTTTATGATAATCTCTATAGTGTGTGAGTTTTTAGTGACTTTTTATATATTTCTGTATGAATTATCTCCCTTTATTTTCGAAAATTTGTCAAATGTTTTGTCTTATTTTGTGCTGCTTATGCATCTGTTGAGCTTGGGTTGTTTGTGAACAACCTTCTCATTCAGTGTTTTGATGATTAAGCGTTTTATTTGTTTCTTTTTTTTTTAATGAGCACACAGCAATATTCCAGCTATATGAAAATGGTCTTGACATAATCTGGATCAGACAATCCTATGACTGACATCATGAGCATCAATCTACTCATTTGGGATACGATGACATGCATCAATCAGTGACCCCAAGCACCCGATCCTGTTTGTTTTCTTTTACGACAAGCATGTGTAGCTGAAGACCAATTCTAACCCGGATCTTGTATAAATGTAAATGAGCATTATGACTTGGATATATAATTTCGATTTTTTTGTTCTCTTGTCTGATTCAAGTGAATTTTGACCCTTATGACATTCCATCACAGGATGTTGTCAGAAAGCGGTATCCGGCTATGTTCTGATATGATGTGTTGTTTCAGACGGTGTATTCCCCGAGCTCTGACGACCACAGGGATAAAACACTACCACAGCAAGTCCTTCCAGAAGCAGAAAAGCAACCAGAAAGTAAGCATAGTAACAAACAGCTAGTCAGAAACACAGTGTAGCCTTCCTCGAGGAATAATTCGTGAAATGAATCTAGAGACAGAAACTATAGACTGAAACCTGATGTTTTTACATCCCCACATTTTGTAAGGCATCACATTTTGGAAGACAGGTTAATCTGATTAAAAACTTAAATTTGGGGTTTCCTAAATGTTGGAAACCACAGACTGTGACTGCACAGTGCCATTAAGAATTCGATCAAGTGCAACACATGTTATATTTGGGACTACACTTTCCTAGTAAGAATGCATTCCAGTGATTTTTGGGTACGTTTGACTCCCATCCAGGATTCAAACCCAACTTTCAGAGTGAGGCAGCCAATCATCAGCACTCAGTCAGCAATCTATGCCACTCAGCCATCACAGCTTCCAAAAAAATATAACAGCTAGTAGTCTAGATCACCTGACTTGTGTAACGCTCTATGTTTTAACATCTAAATATTGGATAAGGCAGAACCTCTTGTGAGGCTAGTCTCCACAAAACCTGTGTATTCTGCCAGTTGTGAAGGCTAGTTTGACAAGTGTTAGTTAACCATGAAAAGGTTTTGTTCCACTCAGGTATCTATATCACTGACATCTGTGATAAAGTTTGTTTGACAACTTTTGTAGCAGTTTATGGCCGAAACCAAACTGAGCAGTGTGATAGCAGACGAGAGATACGACAACGAAGTGATCCGTGTAGATAACCAAGGCTTCCATCCAGCGAAACTCTTCCTACAAAAGGTAAGCTGGACAGCTTGTCATGATGTACAGGGATGCTTCTTGGCCACAAGATTGCTGGATATATACAGTGTCATTACTTCTGCTAATTGAAAACTCAAGGCGCTGAATGTCATGAGGATAAAGTTTAGTTGACTTAGTGCCATTTATAATTTAGAAAAAAATATCAATGTAAACAACACTTTAGTAATTTCCATAGCAGTCATGTGGTGTGACTTGTATCTATCAAAAACAATACTCACCACTAATCATCGTAATATCCCAAGGTATCTTTGGTCAAATTGAAACGTTCCAGTTGCTTCCTTGGAAATCATGAGTGAGCATGATCATGTGACTCCCTTTTCCTGGAGTGCTCAAATAGCGAGGTCTTACACATGTTAAAAGTAATAAAACATGCTGGCCCTTGTTCAGATAGGTCCACTTTGTGAAATCAGTGGGCCAATTGACCAAGTTCTGTGAATAGCTGGCTGCATCTTTGCAGTTGTATATTGTTTAAGTCCTTACTATCATCACACAGAGATCAGGAATGGATTCTATGGAAAACACATTCCGAGGCATATCACGTTTCAGAAATTGAGAATAGCTAGATATTCAGCTTCTTGAACACTTGTTTACTTAATGAGTCAGCATTCTTAGGGTTAAGATATGCTTGAGAGACTTGATGTCTGTATACTGGATGCCTTTGTTCTTGATCACTGGAACGTGTTGGATGTAATGAACTATTTCATGAGGAGGAGGAGGAGGATCTGATGGGTGAGTGTTTCCACTGTTATGCAAGAATAAACTGACTGCTTGTCTGTACAGGGCCAGAGTGTGTTGTGGACGTGGAAGGGCAGCGACATCCCGCACAACATCATCCATGTCAACTCCCCCGACAGTGATGTAAGCTTTCTTTCTCTTGTTCTCTTGTCTATAGTGTATAGCACAAATCACCTCATTGTTGTATCTTCTCTTGCTTTATTGATCTAAAAGTCTAAGAGTGGGTATTTTGTTGACATATGAGTGTTTGTGTCCGTTTTGAATCAGTTCCTAGATCATTTATTTTTTGTTTGTTGTTTAACGAGAGGCACTTAGTATTATTCCAGCTATGTTACATATTATTAATCAAGTATGGACCAGACGTTCAAGAGATTGATGTAATGATCATCGATCAAAGCAAATGGAATGTGATATGGACCAGACAATCCAGTGATCAGCATCATGTGCATCAATCTACACAATTGAGATATGATGACATGTGTCAATCTAGTCAGCAAGCCTGACCACTCAATCCTGTTAATCGCCTTTTATGACAAACATGGGTCACTGAAGACCAATTCTAACCAGAATCTTGACAGATCCAGTTCATAGTATATTCATTCATATGAAAGACTTTTTCAAAAGAACTTGTTTTAAAGATTATTTCCTGTTGTAGAATCCTCTGAATGTGATTCAAGGAGCCCAGTCTTTCAATAGTGGCAAGCCAGTCGCAAACAACAGCTTCCTGTACACATTTGACGAGGAGGGTAACTACACAGTTGCCTCCCAGGGGGCGCCAGGTTTCGCCTGCACCATCGTAGTCATGGATGTCGGTACGTGCTCCGACCTGGCCTTTCTTTAAAGAATCAGAGTGAGTGAGTGAGATTAGTTTTACGCCGCACTCAGCAATATTCCAGCTATATGGTGGCAGTCTGTAAATAATCAAGTTTGGACCAGACAATCCAGTGATCAACAGCATGAGCATCGATCTACGCAGTTGGGAACTGATGACGTGTGTCAACCAAGTCAGCGAGCCTGACCACCCGATCCCATTAGTCACCACTTACTTCAAGCATGGGTTACTGAAGATCAATTCTAACCCAGACCTTCATATGGGTCTTAAAGAATCGGAACATGTTGAGGCCAAGGCTGTGTGGCGTTGGCGAAGTCATAACACGTCTTTTAAGACAAGCACAAACATTATGGATGAACATTGAACATAATGAATATTATGACTTCTTTATTCAGATTGTTGTTCATCCATAAAGTTTGTGCTTATCTTAATCTCAAACTTCTAAAAATGCCACTCAAAGAAGACGTTTTAATTCCATTTTGAGTGAGCAAATTAGCAGCCGTTACAAAGTTCATATTCAATAAAATTAAATCAATAGTTGATTAGCGACAACAAACATGATCTGCTTAAACAGCACATACTTGTCTTCCCATTGAAAGGATATCCTGATACAACTTTAAAAGTACATTTCCTTTTGGCGTTCAATCCTATTTGTAAGAATTATTTGAGTTTGTTTGATGAAATCTTTTAATAATAGACATATTCATTGATTGAGTTCAGCTGACAGCAGACATGCACTCTTCCATATGCTTCATTGGTTTTCACATCATTGACAGCTCATTATGTATTGATCGTCCAAAGGTTCTGATGTTGTACATAGATCACATCCTTTTTAATCAATTGATTTGTCAGGAACACAAAAGTCAATTGATGGTTAATCAATGAACTTGACTTTTTGATTCTGATAATTCATCATGTCTAATATCTTCATTATAGCACCAAGGTGCCCGGAGCCTCGCATCACATCCGAGTCCAATGGTGGCACGGTGAACCGCTACAGTATTGTGAAACTAGCGTGTCCGTTGGACGGTACTACTATTCACTACACCACAGATGGGTCTCTACCAGCCCTGCATTCTGACTCAACAAAGGTGAGGGACACAGTCTCCGTGTTTTGTGGAGGGGGTTGATATTGGAAGGGGGTTTGGTTGTGTAGGGGGTGAGGTTAGAGAGAGGTGGGCAGCGCTTTAGGGGGTGAGTCCCATGGTGGTACGGTGAACCGCAACAGTATTGTGAGACTAGCGTGTCCGTTGGACGGTACTACTATTCACTACACCACAGATGGGTCTCTACCAGCCCTGCATTCTGACTCAACAAAGGTGAGGGACACAGTCTCCGTGTTTGTGGAGGGGGGGGTGATATTGGAAGGGGGTTTGGTTGTGTAGGGGGTGAGGTTAGAGAGAGGGGGGCAGCGCTTTAGGAGGTGAGTCCCATGGTGGTACGGTGAACTGCAACAGTATTGTGAGACTGGCATGTCCGTTGGATGGTGCTACCATCCACTACACCACAGATGGGTCTCTACCAGCCCTGCATTCTGACTCAACAAAGGTGGGGGTGAGGGTGATGGTGGTGTAGGGGGTGAGACTTAAGTTTTGGGGACAGTACTGTAGGGGGTGAGGCTTGAGAGAGAAGGATGGCAGTGTAATGAGTGAGGCTGAAGTTTTGGGGACGGTGATGTAGAGGTGAGACTGAAGAAAGGAGGATATCGCCATGGGGGATGAGGTTGAAGAGGAGCGACAGCGGTGGAGGGGGTAAGGTTAAGAAGGGGAACAAGGAAGAGTAGTGTGGGTGAGGTTATCTCTAAGGATACTTCATGCTAATTTAGATCAGCCTGAGAATTAGTTTTTATTCAGCACTAGTCAACTAAATTGTAAAAATAAATTGTTTTGAATAATACTTGGTATGTCCTGACTTGTTTCAATGTTTGGTTTATCATTGCTGTGTTTCCTGTGTACAGAGGTACAAGCCAGATCAGGGGGTTATTCTGAGGGACTCTGGGCTGAGCTTTGTCCGAGCCATGGCAGTTACTGACGGCTACCTCAACAGTCACATCTTCACTTCCAGGTAGGTTCCACAGCTCTCTTCTGGTTATCTCTTGGCTCTGAGAAAGAATCTGTATTGAAATGTCGCATGAAATAGAAGAAGTTGTTAGCCATAAAGTTAGTCAATACTGAAGAGCATATTGTTAATGAAAGGACTTTTGTCCTTGATGTTTTAGATGAAACTTTACTATGGCATGTGTTTCATGCACCTTGTTTACCATTGATAGTGTTATGTTGTTAATGTAAGTGATACTTACTTTGTGAGTATGGAAGATTCCCAGAAGAGCCTTCACAGGAGTCTGCTTTCAGGATACTTACTGACTTTGTCCTGTATATGCCCTGTATGTTCCAGTCGGTTCTGGGTGCTGACAAGAGGAGAGGATGGAGAGGCTGTTCCAGAAGATTCCGTGACAGATGATATCCAGGACAAGCAGGAGACATCGGTCAGTTGTCAGGTGCCACCAGGGATAGATAGATAGATAGGACCATGAGACATTGGTCTGTTGTCAGGGGCAACCAGGCATAGATAGTGAACAGGAGACATTGGTCTGTTGTCAGGGTCAGCTGGCTAGAGATACTGAGCAGGAGGCATTGGCCTGTTGTCAGGGGCAACTGGGAGAGATAGTGAGCAGGAGACATTGGTCTGTTGTCAGGGGCAACTGGGGAGAGATAGTAAGCAGTAGACAATGGTCTGTTGTCAGGGGCAACCAGGGAGAGATAGTAAGCAGGAGACATTGGTCTGTTGTCAAGGGCAACCAGGGATAGATAGTGGGCAGGAGACATTGGTCTGTTGTCAGGGGCAACCAGGGATAGATAGTGAGCAGGAGACATTGGTCTGTTGTCAGGGGCAACCAGGAAGAGATAGTGGGCAGGAGACATTGGTCTGTTGTCAGGGGCAACCAGGGATAGATAGTGAGCAGGAGACATTGGTCTGTTGTCAGGGGCAACCAGGAAGAGATAGTGAGCAGGAGACATTGGTCTGTTGTCAGGGGCAACTGAGGATAGATCTCGACAAGAGACATCTCCCAGTTGTAAGGAGCTACCTGGGTTTAGTAGTTAGATGGGGATATCACTGACTTGGCAAGGCCAACTTTGGTATAAATAGTGAACAGAACACCAGACAGTTGGGGTAGATAACTACAAGCTAACTAACTAGCGGGAGACACTGGTCAGGATAACATTGAGTTGCAGGAGAAGAAGAACGTCTCTGATAATAGCATATACTACTGTTAGTATGTTTCCATGTATTTACCAAAGTGTGTTGTCTGCAGACAAGTACCTGGAACTGGTGGAACTGCTGCCCCACCATCAAGGGGTGCTTCACGTCCCCAGGGGTCATGGAGCTGTACTGGGAGAAGCCATCAGAAGGGGCACAGCATCTTGTCAAGGGATACCAGGTAGGTGCAGCAGTGGGTTCACTAACAGTTGGCCTTCTGATGTTACACAGTGATGTGCCTTGACACATACAAATGTGTATTCACAGCTTGTTTAAACTTTATTTAAGCAGAAATTGTCGCAGCCATTGATGTATTTCTTCCTGTAATGTTTGCATCCATCTCCTGTCTCCAGGTGTACCTGAACGGCGTGACATACTGTGAAATGTTCCCCAGGGACAACAACAGCATCAACATCAGCGGCATGGCTGGCAACCGTCTGTATGAAGTCTATGTGGAGGTCTATCCTAAACGCTCAACCGAAGAACCTCAGAAGTCGAACAAACTGGTGAGTTCAATATGTTCGTAAAATTTCCCAAATTTGAATAAAAAATTCCCAGTTCTTGCCATACATTTGCAACTGATGCTTCGTAAAAGCAACTTGTTACCATAGCCAAAACAGAGGAACAGGCTTTAATGCCTAGTTGAACATTATTTCATGGAAAGCAATGGTTCAATTCCATGTTGCATTTCTCTGAATGGAGGAAGATGTGAAAATGTTAAAAAACAAGGATTTTTCCTCATTTGTCTGCTAAGGGTGTTTAGTTTGGAATCGTAGATACACCATGTCACCTTACCTGTGACATCAGGTAAAATAATGGTGAATGTGTTTGTCGATTATGACTGCATATTCATCTAGCATACAGTGCAGTCACACAGTTCATGCTGCTGTCTATCCTTATGTCCCAAGAACCATTGTATGGACAAAACAGAACTTGCAGACATGTTATGTGTGGTCTCTTGTTGCCAGCGTATGCGATGTCCATCCACGACGCCAGAGGGCGGCCCAGTCATCTCTGTTGAGGTGTCCGAGAAGTCCGATGCCCTGACCATCGTGTGGATGTCCATGGACACTCCAGAAGTCCCCATTGATGGCTACCTTGTCTTCCTAGATGACCAGCAGTGTGGACCCAAGGTAGGTCATGATAGATATCTAGTGGGCAGGGGAATAGCATCATTGTTGATATATGATCTTTTCATGTTACAGCATCTGTGGTAGTGTATCATAGCTCATCTTCTTTACCACTACAATGGGTTACTGTTGCTTGATAGTGCTGCAGCTTCCAGAATCTGTTTAATACAAGTCATGGCTATATTATCCTGAAGACAGGGGTTGAGGATGGCACCGAGAGTGAAACATGTACCCAGTACCTCATTCTTGTTGCAAGATATCATTGCAATCAGTATGGCTGCTAGGTGATTTGGCCGACTGGGTGAATTCTTGCTCATTACATGCCGGGGATATAGTCAACGCCTCGTCTGTCAGTCCCTCCGTCCATTCGTTCGTCTGTAATAATTTTGTTTCCGGAGCTTAATTTAAATACCATTCAATTTTTTTCAACAAAACTTGGTATATATATCAAACAGAACCTAAAGTGGTGCCTTTTGCTATTTACAGATTTTTGGCATTATTATTTTGGTTTTTGTCTCGGTTTCCGTGGAAACGATTTGGACTTAGTCTCAAAAGGGAGGGGTGGGCTTCAATATCTTTCAGCAAAACTTGGCAGATATATGAGACAGATCTCAAATTGGTGCCTTTTGTTATTAACAGATTTTTTTATTTATTTTTTTATTGCAACGATTTGGACTTAGTCTAAAAATATCAAGTTGGACTTTAAGTAACTGTCAGATGATTTGTTCTTTCAAATATGTGGGGGCCAGGGCTATTCGTCATCCTGTGATGTTTTATCAAACCTTATCAGTTTATAGGTCACCCTGATATGGCTGGAATATGACCAAGTACTTGCAGTGTCTTTCACTGCATTATGTAGGATGTTAACTGCATGTATGAGAGAATATATTTTAAACATTTCAAAGACCTGTTCTTCCGTGTATCATGATGTCAGAAGTGTTTTGACACAATAGACCATTCAAAGTGATATACAATTGGCTTGTGTGAAAACACACACTTATTTTTATGACGTCTTACAAACCGTTGAAAGTCCTTGGTTACATTAAGTACTCATAATCAGAGAGGATATCTATCAGACGTGCCTCAGACTTCCTCAGACACCGTTTAGTCCTCACCAGAGAAAGATAAATCTCAGGCAAACATATCTATTGATTTTACTGATAGTAAAATACTACGATCCAGCCTCAGTGTGTCCCATGGACACTAGTGAGTGGGTTCTTATCTGTCGTGCAGCAGAAAACATTTATCTTGGAGATTGGGAAGGCCCTTGAAGGTTCATTGATTCTAGGATTGTATTTGTTGAGACGTGAGAACCAGCTGAACTGCGATGGTGATATATCAGTGGAGTTGTGACAGTTATATCTTTCCTGTGGTTACATGTGTACAGGAGTTGCAACTGTACTTGATGGTGTTCTTTGTCACCAGGAGACATGGGCTTGTGTGACTTGGGTGTCTCTTGTAGTGTTACACAGGCTGGTAACTGGTGAGCTCTTGTTGCACGTTGTTCGCAGGTTAGGGTCCTGCTATTTGATGCTGTTGTTTTAGTCTGTTGTCTGATGACTTCAATAGCAAGTAGGTACAACATTGGTGTGGATGTATTTTACAAATTCTGGTTTGTTTTTTATTATTTTTCATGATCCTGTATGGAATACACTGTAGGTAATATGTTGTTGTGTTGTAGATGATATCTGTTGTAGATGATATCTGTTGGTAGACGATATCTGTTGTTAGTTGTTTCCGTGTGATATGTGGGGCCGTGGGGTAGCCTAGTGGGTAAAGCGTTGGCTTGCCAGGCCAAATACCTGGGTTCTATTCCCCATATGGGTACAATGTGTGAAGCCTATTTCTGTTGTCCCCTGCCATGATATTGCTGGAATATTGCTAAAAGCAGCGTAAAGCTAAACTCTCTCACTCACACATTGTGTGATATGTTACTTATGTTAGTTATGCCACAATGGGTGTTTCATCTGACTGAGCTGGACATTGCAATGTTTGTGTGTCAACTGCATCCTCTCTGTCGGTTGCAGCTGGTACCGGATGAGGATTCTAACAGATGTAAAGTGATTGTGGGCAGCTGTGAACTAGACAAGACCTACAAGATATACGTCCTGGCGCTGCTCAAAGGTAGGACATCACACAGCACAGTGTCACGTGTCATTGGGTACCTTCGAACACCCACTCTGTATGCAGATGTTGATACATTATCATCCTTCCTTTGTCTAACCTATCACCCACTACAGGTGTAGCCCCACCCTCAGGCCTTGTCTGACCTATTCTTCTATGTGTACAGCTGTTGGAACCCCCACCTCAAGGCCTGGTTCAACCTATCCCTCTATGTGTACACCAGTAAATACCCCCACCCCCAGGCCTTATCTGACCTATTCTTCTGTGTGTACAGCTGTTGGAACCACCACCTCAAGGCCTTGTTCAACCTATCCCTCTATGTGTACACCAGTAAATATCTGACCTATTCTTCTGTGTGTACCCCACCCCCAGGCCTTATCTGACCTGACCTATTCTTGTGTGTGTACAGCTGTTGTGACCCCCACCCCCAGGCCTTGTCTGCCCTCTCTCCCTCTGTGTACAGCTGTTGGGGCCCCCACCTCAAGGCCTTGTTCAACCTATCCCTCCATGTGTACACCAGTAAATTCCCCCACCTCTTAGCCTAATCTGACCAACCCCCTTACCTGTGTAGAGCTGTTGGGATCCGCAACCCTCAGGGCTTGTCTGTCCTATCTACCTCTGCATACAACTGTTGGGACCCCCACCTCAAGGCCCTCCTCGACCTATCCCTCCATGTGTACAGTAATAAATACCCCCACCCCTAGGCCTAATCTGACCTACACCCTTACTCATGTACAACTGTTGGGACCCCCACCCCCAAGTCTTGTCAGACCTATCCTTCCAAGTGTACAGTAATAAATACCCCCACCCCTAGGCTTAATCTGACCTACACCCTTACTCGTGTACAACTGTTGGGACCCCCACCCCCAAGTCTTGTCAGACCTATCCCTCCATGTGTACAGTAGTAAATAGCCCCACCCCTAGGCCTAATCTGACCTACACCCTTACCTGTGTACAAGTGTTTGGACCCCCACCCCTAGGCCTTGTCAGACCTATCCCTTCATGTGTACAACAGTTAATACCCCCACCCCTAGGCCTAATCTGACCTACCCCCTCTCTGTGTGTGCAGGATCCGATGAGACGCGGATGTCCAACATCCTGGAGGTGGAGCTGCCCCTGGACAAGACGCAGATCATCTTGCCAGGGGAGGACCAGAGGCTGGAGGATGACGAGGTGTACCAGGAGTACCTGGAGATCCACGAGGGCTCGGGATACCTCCCTGAGATGGACAGTGAGTAGCACCCTCCGTCAGTGTTCACAGTGCACAATGCTTGCTATGCATGTTGTTTATACTGAATTATGAAGACATGTATGTGTCTGAACATGACACTTAGGACCCTCAATATATACTTTGCCTCATGGTAGTGTAATAACATGAAAGAGCTACATGCAAGCAGAGTGGGATGGGCAATGCTGGGCTGAGATTTATGAAGCTCTCTTAGCGCTAAGATAGTCGTAAGGGCCATGCATTAACATTAACTTACGACTATCTTAGCGTTAAGAAAGCTTCGAAAATCTAGACCCTGTTGCAATAGTGCCATGCTTTGGTCTTCAGTTATGTCCCTTTACTGTGTCTGGATCCAATGAACATGAAAATGAATCCCAGATTTACCCTGGCTATGATGCTTCCATGCTTCTATATGAAAACATGTGCCTCCCAGGGTTTTTGTTGAAAAAGTAAAACCTGACTTGAAGAGGAAGGGAGGAACAGCATGATGACTGAAGGTGCTTTGAAACCCAGAGATTTACATTTTGAACCAAAACTGAGAAGTGATTTCTCTGATATGTATACTGCTTGAACATATCTGTAGTTTGATGTTATACATAAGTGGGTGTTCAACAGTAAAGAAACACTTGTATGATTTCTGACCATTAATATCCGGTAAACATGGTACCTATCTTCGACCATCTCTGCGACCTAATGGTTAGAGTGATTAACTACTCATCCAGAGGTTCTGCTTTTTGATTCCCAACAATGTAACAATGTCAATTCTTGTATATGATTTATGACCATTTGACATTCAAAACACTAAATGTCTAATCTTCATCTTACTTAGAAAACCTCATTGTAGGAGGAGGTTTTGCTTGGTAAAAGTAAAACCTCATATTGGTCTTGCTTGGACCAAGTAAATCTCCAACCCAAGGTTTTACTGTCTGTGGAATGAATAGTTTGGTTCTTCCTTAAGTACCAACATGGAGGTTTATGATATTAGAACATCACTGGTTCCACCAAATGGTGCAGAATAAATTGACATACCATGATATAACTGAAATATTGTTTAAGTAGATGTGAAACCCAAGTCACTCGCTTTGATTTGCCTTCCGTTTGATGAAATATTGTCAATAGCGGCATAAAACCCAAATCACTCACTCACTTTGAGTTGGTCCTCTGTGATGTTGCTGGAATATTGTTCATAGAGGCATAAAACCCAACTCACTCACTCGCCCTCTTTGATTTGGACATATTTTCTTTTAACAAATATTTCAGCTCAATTTCAGATGTATCACAAGAACTTTTTTACCTTTTGCACTTTCATTCTTATGTATTCAGTTTTACAATCCTAGTAGACTGCATGACCATCTGTATTGTTCTACACCATTTTGTTATATTTCCATGCACATGTCACTCTGACTCCTCCTCCTCCCTGTAGAGTCTGCGAAGGAGGACGTGGACGGCCAGGACGGGCAGAAAGTGGACACCTCACCACCTGTCATGCTCGATGCTTCCACTCTAGGTACACATGCACTCTATATCTTGGTGAGAGGTAGCACCTACAGCATGAACCTCTCTGCACTTACTCTCAGGGATCAGCATCAGTTCACTCAGGAAAACTGCTGTGATCCACGAAACTTAATACCAATCTATTTTCATCCACTGTATAACAGTGAAGGCTATTTTCATCTCTTACCATAGAATGATAAAAGAACAATCTGAAATATTCCTTGATCACCAGTATTTTCTGCTGGCCTGTATTTATTAACGTTCAATTTGTTTTAACCTGTCCCAGTGAGGCAGTAGCCATGATAATTTATATCATTTAAAGATTCTGTAGTGACAGATGTTAGACATGCAGCGACACCTGACATTAGTTTGATTAGTGTTTCTTATGTCAGTGTTTACTCTTAGTAGTTACAAAGTAGGTTAGTATATGTTGAAATTCTTTAGTCACTTACCCATAAAGGTTTCGGTTAGAAGTGGTCTTCAGTAACCCATGCTTGTCGTAAGAGGTGACACACCTGTGAAGATCTGGGTTAGAATTGGAACCAGGTCAGGTCTTCTGTAAGGTCTTCAGTAACCCATGCTTGTCGTAAGAGGTGAAACACCTGTGAAGATCTGGGTTAGAATTGGAACCAGGTTAGGTCTTCAGTATGGTCTTCAGTAACCCATGCTTGTCGTAAGAGGTGAAACACCTGTGAAGATCTGGGTTAGAATTGGAACCAGGTTAGGTCTTCAGTAACCCATGCTTGTCGTAAGAGGTGAAACACCTGTGAAGATCTGGGTTAGAATTGGAACCAGGTTAGGTCTTCAGTAACCCATGCTTGTAAGGTGACCATGCTTGTCGTAAGAGGTGAACACACCTGTGAAGATCTGGGTTAGAATTGGAACCAGGTTAGGTCTTCAGTAACCCATGCTTGTCGTAAGAGGTGACACACCTGTGAAGATCTGGGTTAGAATTGGAACCAGGTCAGGTCTTCAGTAACCCATGCTTGTCGTAAGAGGTGACACACCTGTGAAGATCTGGGTTAGAATTGGAACCAGGTTCAGGTCTTCTGTAGTAACCCATGCTTGTCGTAAGAGGTGACACACCTGTGAAGATCTGGGTTAGAACTGGAACCAGGTCAGGTCTTCAGTATGGTCTTCAGTAACCCATGCTTGTCGTAAGAGGTGACACACCTGTGAAGATCTGGGTTAGAACTGGAACCAGGTCAGGTCTTCAGTATGGTCTTCAGTAACCCATGCTTGTCGTCTTCCGTAAAGCACACCCTGTCGGAAGTGGCAACTAACAGGATTGGGTGGTTAGGCTCGCTGAAATGGTTGATGAATGTTGTCGTATACCAGTTACGTAAATCGATGCTTGTGATGTTTGTCACTGAATTGTCTAGTCCAGACTTCATATTTAACAGACAGCTTTCATATAGCTGGAATATTGTGAAGTGCACTATTAAACAACAAACAGATCTTAAGTTACTTATATTTTTCAAGAATCAGTGGATCTGGAATCAATTGAATAAGCAGTATTCAGAGTTCAACATAAGAATCAAAGGGTCCCTGATACAGCTGCAGGGCTAAAAGTGAAAGATATCTGGGGGTCCTAGATTAAAATGTCATTGACTAAGATAACCATCACTCCAGCCACCCTTCCTTTTCTTGAACACTAAGACTTATGATGGATATTTTATGAATGCTTCTTTGAGTTTGCCAAATTCATTGTCACATATGTATCTTGGGAAGTATTAAAAGTTGAAACACAATTAAGCATATACACAAGCAAATCAGAATATTTTATGCTAAACTTATAAAATCAAGTACTACTTGCAACGTCTGTATTTGGCCTACCTGTACTGACACAGATGGTATGCATTATATAACAACAGGCGATGCATGGCCCATTGTCAGGGCACGTAGCTCTGGTGAAGGGCTTCAGATGGCGCTAATTACATGGTCTTCATCATTAGGTTATGTCAGGTTTTGGTGTCACAGAGTAGATAGTTCAGAAAATACTGCCAGTTTGTCTTTGCTTGATTTGAGAAAACATGACAAATTAATCAAAATTACATTCTCAAAAGAATCTATTTGTAGTCCTTACAGTCACATGATGAATTACTTTTCATTAATGGGAAATTAAGAATTAAATAATGTTTGGAAACTACTGGACAACTCATGATGAAGAATTTATTGGCAAAAAAGTACTTAATTAGTCCAAATGTATACTGAGGAAAACAAATAAGGGAAGACCACTTCCTGGCAGTGTTCCTTTATGTATTCTCAGACTTCCTCCTACAGCGCTATTCAAAGCTGGTGATGAAAACTGGAAAATATTAAGGAACACTTGAATTTTCCTGTGTTCCTTTATTTGTTTCTCTCAGTATATTAAAATTAAGCCATTTGTAGTCCTCACAGTCTGATATAGGATTACATTTAATTCTTAATTTGCCATTAAAGAAAATTGTTTTTGAGATGGGCATTAAGGCATTATGAGGTTAGGAATAATTTTGTGCTGCAAGTTTCAAATTTTGATCTGATATGGAAAAGGACTGTGTTAAATGGGGTTTCAGGTGTAGCAAGTTTTGTTTACTTGTTAGCAACATGACTGTTAATGTAGACAAGTCCAGCGATGGGAAACTCATCAACGTTCATAAAACTTGCATAGTGGTACCTTGCATGGGAGGGTTAATTAACTGGCGATCTGTCTTGACTCCTCACGTCAATTTCAAGCCTGATGAAATATACATGATGGTTGTTGATTGTGAGTGGGTAACTAGGCAACTTGCCCACCTGAAACTGGCGCTTCTCAGTTCGCCATCGACAGGCCCTCCCTGTAACACTGGGACTAACCACAGTGCCATTTCGTGGTAGATACCACAATGGATTCTGATATGGACAGCCCTTGTGAGCTCTGTCAGGTAATGGGCAGTTGTATGCGATAGCAGCAGTTACAGAATATACCCCTGAATTTCAGTCACATTGATTTTTTCTGGTTTAGAAGTTTAATGAAACAATGAGTCATTTTGTGACTTGCTTGTGGTTTTTAAGAACTGAAACATTTTCAGCAAATGATAGATGTCTTAGATGCATGAAATATCAAATCAGCCCATAATCACACAGTCAGGATACTTTCTATCATATGAGTATATAAGCAGTTGTACAAACTCTCAAATGTCTCTTTCTACCCTCGTGCATGATCTATATTGATTATGTGTATTGGTATGATATGTTTATATGTTTGTGATTATAATCTGAATCCATCTGAATATCACCATCATCTCTGTTGTAAACAAGCACTTGACAAATGCTAACTGTAAGTTGTTATTTCAGAAGAGAAGAATCAACATGCTAGTGCACTTCCGCCCAAGGTTATTGAAGTTGAAACAAGAGGTCAGTGTAAACTTGTTGTCCTTCTACACTTGTTACCAGATAGATGTCTGATTTGTGTCTTAGATATTAAGTAGTTTAATTCTACTAACACCATTCTATGGATATATGTGTAGCTAATCATTGCTTGATAACTTCTTTATTATTATAACGTTTAGATTGTAGCTACTAACATCATTGCTTGATAACGGTGTTAGTAGCTACACCAAAACGTCACTCATAATAATAATAAAGAAGTTGTATATCCATAGTACTCTCCCTGTTGTCCAAAACACCAACTACTATTTGCCACTCAAAGAAAATTTTGTAATATTTAACTTCATGCTGGCTATCCTAATTACGGTTGCCATTATTTGTTTCCTATGTTTTGCTACCAGTTGTGGAGGTGATCTCCCTGATCTGTTGAGCAGCAACCCTTGTATAAATGTCTCAAGTATGTTAGTTCTCTGTGGGAATATATCAGTTACATTGATTCTTGTCTGAGGAACTGAGGGATCCAAAAGTGATCCAAACAGTGGCTTGTTGATTGTACTGAAGTAGTTGATGACCTTACATGTGGCCTGAATGCTTTGATTTAACTTTCAACTCATCTACTCTTCCCAAAAGGACAGTTACGCTATAAACCATCATCTACCATTTTCATCCTGATGTTTTATTCCATGATATATCTTGCACTGTGCATGGTATTATCTGCTCACAATGTTCACGACATGTTCTAAGCATGAAGATGTTCCTGCATGTTCAAAGATGTTGCTACAAATCGTTTACTGAAATCTCAGACTGATGTTGCATGATCAGCCAGGTTTGGCAACACCTTCACACAGGATGGATCCAGCCACAGGCAGCTTGACAGGAAAAGGAGGGAAGGGTATCACTGTGATGCAGAAGTTATGAATGTTTGTGTCTAAGATCTGCATGATGCGCCCACTGGAAGAATCACAGCCTTGTACATCCACTTAGTTTTCCATTTGATGATAACCTTGTTCACTTCTGCAACTGCAAGATGATTGTATTGATCCAGAATGAGAGTTTGTTCCAGTATGCAAAGTAACACAAGGGGTCATTGTTGTCTTCTCTAACTGAAATTGGAATGCACAAATGTACCCTTGCTTGGCAGTCTACAGTGCTGGAGATCCTCTATTCTACAATGCACCAAACCAGTTCCTGTGCACACTTTGCTTCCAAGCTGGGATACACTTGTGTGTTCTAAATTCAGTAATAGCTGTAGTACTGAAGGCAATGATGACCCCTTCATTGGGCATGCTGCATGTGTTGTACACTGTTATGGATCTGGACAGATATAAATTTTAATCTCATGGGTATGATTCACTTCTTCACTATGTCCACACAAGTGAGTTTCTGGATGACAGTGTCTTGACACAATTCACATTTTGATGTCCACCACATCCACCTCATGGAATGGCTTCACACTGGCACTTCAAAAATGTTTCTACCTCCATTGATGGTTCTGTCTTTTTGTCACAACCAGGCCCACCATTGTTTCCCCACAAGAAGAGGCGACTGAGGAGCTATGCCAACATATACGTGTATCAGCGAGTCAAACAGGATGCTGTTGAACCCAAGAAGAGTAGCCTTTCCCGTTTCAAGAAGTCCATAGCAGCATCAAGACATGCCAATACATTTGGGAGGAGACTGTCACAGGCCGCTCCACCAGAACCACCTCCAGAACCAGAGCCGAGATCTGATCCCAGGTTCAGGAGGCAGGCTTCAAGAATTGCTAATTTGGGAAGACTTGGTTTGAAGAAGAGACATCAACCCTTAGAAGAAGAACCACAACCAGAACCAAGATCCAAATTTAGTTTCAAGTCAGTTGCTTCTACTGTTCTTGAGTTTGTGTCAAAGCAGCGTAAGATCCAAAGAGCTGTTGCTCCCAATTCCACAGGTCGGGTTCATATAGACTTTGCCCGTCTGAAGAGTTTCGTAGGCAGCATGATGCCCAAATTAGCTGCAGTAGCTGCAGCAGCTAAGATGTCTCCCCCAAAGCTGGAGGAACCAGAGAGTCAGAGAGACTATGATGACGAGCGGGAGGGCAGGAGGTACAGGGATGACTATCGGAGGCAAGGCAGTTATGACAGGTCACCCCAGAGGTATGACCCTGAGTATGATGACCACCGCAGAGATGACCATTACTCCAGATCTCGACACAGAGATGAATATAGGCAGGGGAGCTTTGAGAGGTCTCCACACAGAATGGACGGATATCGTCAGAATAGTTATGATTCTCCGTCTCAAAGGGGAGACAGGTTCCGTCAGGCCAGTTTTGATCGGCCGTCTCGGGATAGACAGGGGAGTTTTGATCGATCACCTAACCGGTTTGATTCCAGGTATGATGACAGACGAGGAGGATATGAGCAGCCGCCAAGTCGATCAGATTATGATCAGGATGATTATAGACATTCCTACGATCGCTCACCTCACAGGTCAGATTATGATGATGACCCAAGACGATACAGACGATCACCTGTCCCACCAGATTCTGACTACAGCAGACGGTCGTATGATCGGTCGCCTGCACAGAGTGACAAACATGACTGGTACAGACGGGAGCACTTCCGTCGCTCGTCAGACTACGAATCTGATGACTATATGCAGCCGCCAACAAACAGTAGGGAATATGACTGGCACATGTATAACGCTCACAAGCAACGTTCAAGAGACAAGGGGCATCTGAGAAGATACAATTCAGATCCTAGGGCAGACTCTAAGAAGCTGTCTGTGCCTGTGTACCGTGGTGACGAGGACTCGGATGACTTCGGTGATGAGGAGGCCGAGCATATTTACCAAGTCAATCGCTACAAGATGCGCAGGAAGTCGGCTGCTGAGGAAAAGAGGCCAAAAGAAGTCCAGTTCATGTTTGGTCCAGGCGAACATGGTGGTGATTCAGAAAGTGGAGACACTTTGACACCATCTCCGAGGGTGTTTAACAGAGATCTTTTCTCACCTCGCATTGATCAGCAAAAACGACCTTCAGATGGTCATTCAAGGTCATCTCATCGGTCAAACACCAATCTGAAGTCTATCTTAAAGCACAGTGACTTCTTCCAAGATCCATCGGATAATATTGACATTCGAGGGACGAAGATGAAGGGGCCATAACTCCTCCTGGAGAATATGGAGGAATGCTTCATCGGTATCTGGAAATATTTGAGAATTCTCCCAAAAGAGAAGATTCAGACTCCTGTTCTGATGAAGGTATTCTTGCATGTTGGACCTCTCTTCCAGTAGAGGTTTTGTTGGTGTTCATTATATTGGTCACAAGGTGATTACTTGTTCACATTATTTTTCCATTAGATCATTAGTTTTACAATCTCCTTCGTTTGAAAGTGTGTCCCAATGATTTCCAGTCTTGGTAGTAAGTGTGATGTTTTACTTCAGAGTTTGTGATGAGATTTTTGTTTTCAGCATGTGAATATTTCTGTCAGTTTCTATTCATATATGTTAATCTGTGTTTCCAGATGATTCTGATGGTAAGTGGAACAATCTGAACCAGATTCTCAGAAATATTTGCTGTTTCTTGTCAGACGCAACTGACTACTTGTTTAGTTTATTTAGTTTCCAGCCTAGATGCTTCCAACATGGTCAGCGTAAACTGAAACTCTCGCATCAAATAAACTTAGGCTCAGTATTATTCGTTACACTGCTATACTGAGTCTAACAAAACCTTGTGGAAGGTCGCGTCAGATAACCCTTTGAATTGACCAATCAGAACACAGCTTACCAAATCGCGAAAGTTGACATTTGCACATACCTTTTGAACTTTTACCTCCAAAAAGTTTGTACCGAACGATTCCGAATGCTCTTTTCCATACGATTGGTTCCTAGTGAGGCACGCCACAAGGGTGAGTAAACAGTCGCTGAAAATAGCATTTTGTCAGTATTCAAGCATGTCAGCTTGCTGAAATATTAGCTAATGATAGGGTTGATAGCCATGTCACCAGAAACCCCAAAGCATATATACTGCAGGGCAAATATCTGTGTTTTATGTAATTTTCATTTGTTGGGAGATCAGTGTTGGCGAACGGGGAAGAGAAAATCCATTTTGTAAGTCTCGCCGAACCCTAAATAGTAGCTGTTGTCTGATTGGTTAAATCCGTTCGGCCGTCTTGCGTTTGATTGAACGGTCATAGGTCGCTCAAAGGTTAGCTGACGCGACCTTCCACAAGGTTTTGTTAGACACAGTATAGCAGTGTAACGAATAATACTGAGTCTAAGTTTACTTAGACTGCAAATAAATGCTGAAACATATATGTTATCAGTGAAAATGGGCAATATTTCGAAACCTTTTAGCTAGTGTACAGCTTCTTAGTCTAATAATGAGAATCTAGATAGGCAAAATTCTTGAACACTGACACATTTTGCAATCTTGGGTGGAATCAATGAGTTATGTATGTTTGGTAGAAACCTTTGACATCAGTGTCATGAACAGAATCACGGCAGTGGGGTAGCCTTGTGGTTAAAGAGGTAGCTTATCACGCTGAAGACCTGGGTTTGATTCCCGTCATGGATACACGGGATGAAGCACATTTCTAGTGTCCCCAGTTGTGATTTTGCTGGATTATTGATAAGAACAGCCTAAAGCATTACTCACTTTGAAAAGTATCACGAAATGGGTATCAATTAAGGTAGGAAGGGAAACCAGGTCTTAATATTTAGGTACTGCCTTAAGTTGTCTTCTCTGTAACACGACACAGTTCTTTGCAGTGAAACTTCTCACAACATCTTCATTCATTTTTAATGCCATTTTCACAGATCGTTCCTGTTACACAGTTATGGCACATTCAGTTTCAAGCCTCTGTTTTCAGTATTCTGACTGCATGTATTTGTGTAAATATATTAAAAAAATCATATATTGAATAGACACATAACCTATGAAGACCTAGGTTAGAATTGCTTGTTGTAAGAGGCGACTAACAGGATCGGTTTGTCAGACTAGTTGACTTGGTTAACACATGTCATCGTATCCCATTTGTGTAGATTGAAGCTAATGCTGTTGATCACTGGATTGTCTGGTCCAGTGCAATTTACAGACCATTGCCATATAGCTGGAATATTGCTGAGTGTGGTGTTAAACAACAAACCAACAAGATAAACACATAGGATTGTTTTGGTGTTCTCATATAATGTAATGAATCTAGAATCAAGACGACACCTTGGATGAAGCCAACAATATTTCAGTTTAGTGTTAAAATTCTGTTTTCATCTGTTCTGACAAGATTAAAAGTGAAATATTAAATGCTTATTCTGGTTATTTTCAAAATTATGAAATAGTTGTTAATTATGCTCATTGTGGTCATCCAGGTATTAATCAATATCATCAGTGGCATGACGTGATCTTAATTCACTAACAGAAACAGGAATAACACTGATGCTGACTGAAGCAGTGAGCCTAAATACCTGTCTCAGCTAACATGGGGTGCCATGGTAGCCCACTGGCTTGCTGTGCATAGTTCTGTTCCTTGACACTCCCTTGAATATGATCCTTGGCGTGACAGCACCATGAGCCTGCAGCACAACAGGACAACCTAGGTCACATGGGTTTCCTCAGACGCCTGGGCTGACAGCCATGACATGACTGAAATACTGAAAAAAATGGCTGTTTAGCCCTAATCACTTACTCACTGTAATCATTAACCTGTTCCTGAGGTCGTATGATTTTGTGGTCACGAATGATAAAATGTAAATAGTAGTTTTTGTAAGGTAAACAAGATCATTAACAAGTTCTTCATGTCTGTTAAGAGTTTATCATGATCATTACTAGCTGAAAATATTACCTACAGTTTTCAAATTATGACCAGTTTTACTATTGTAATTGTTTATCTTTGCAATCAGACTGCATGGTTCCACACATTGATTGAACAACATTGATCCAATAATGAAGCATTTAACTTTGTGGATAACAACTTCTTGTTTATTGCATAGAGTGACATTATTGACTCACCAACTATGATGCTAATAAAACAATCACATTGATCCAGATATTGGTATTCGAGACATGTCGACAAAAATCTGTGTAATGAGCAGATTTCTTCCAATATATCGGATGGTTAGTGAAACAATTATGAGAAGAATTGGACCTGGTTTGACATTCAGTGTATTTGTGTATGTTATTTTTCTGTGTCTGTAACCTGAGATGTCTGTTCTCCCCAGACCAAGGGGTCATGACTGACGACAACATGGAGAAATCCACTCAGACACGACGAGGGCGCAGTAAGCAAGGCCGACGGCTTGACGACAGCCCCCTTCCTCAGAGTCTGATTGATCAAAGTGAGTCCGAGTCTGAGAGCGAGTCCGAGTTTGAGTCTGAGGAAGAAGATTTTCCTGGCAACAATGTTGTCATCCTGGATGCAACCAAAAACCAAGCTACCGACTCCGGCAGGACTGAGAAGAAGCACACTTCCAGACGACGCAGACCTGGAGATTCTAAACACTCGTCCCCACGGAAACGCTTTTCTCCACGAGATGGGAAGTATATAGAACCGGAGGATGATTTGATGGTGACCCACGCCAACGACAGGGAGCCGAAGCGGAAACGCACCATGGCCATTGTGGAAGTGCAGCAACAGGTGGAACTGGACGTGGACAGGATGGCGGTCCAGGGCAGCTCGGAAAGAGCAGACCGCAAAGTGGCAGTTCCAGGAGCACGCGACGGGGCCAGCATGATGCAGATCGGAGAGGGAGAGGTGAGAGACGAACGACCATGTGAAAGCTCACATCTCTTGGAGTTCAGACCCGCTTCTCAAAACAAAGGATAGGAAAGTTCTGTTGTAGCACATGAATATGTGAGAATGGTAACTTCTGGCGCTTAGATTTGTTTGTGAAACAAGGCCCTTGTTATCATTTTCTTTTCTGACGATGCGATTTTAAAATTTTCTTTCTCTATGTCTATGTCTGTGACTGTCTATGGAGAAAATACTGAATTCACAGAATACCATCCACTCTTCATTAAGTATAACTCATTACAACAATGTAGCTTGTTAATATGTTGCCATATAAGTAAAAACGATGCTAATTAAGCACTGGTAACACAGTATAAATGTGAGCAGAAGTTCTATGCTATACCTGTTGAGTACAAGACATCACTTTCCTGGCTGTTGACACTGCTGGTGTTGTTGCAGTTCATCCTCGGCGATGGGGATGGTATCCTGCCAGCTCCTTCCATCATGGTGGAGTCCCGGGGCAAAAACGGGGTGAAAGTCGTGTGGGAGCTTCCAAAGTCGGTCGACTCCCAGTACAAGCTGCTGTTGTATGTCGTCAATGTCGTTGGAACAAAGTTCACCAGCGATATCAACAGTGATATCAGGTAGGAGGCCTTGACTCTAGGTACAACCAAATACAGAATGCATACTCTGCTGATATCAACTCTAGGTACAACCAAATACAGAATGCATACACCGCTGATATCAATTAAATAAGTAACTTTGATGTTTTTAATCTATAGTGACCTAACAAAAATGTATTCTTCTCCTGAATGGTCTGCTTCTATGATAAGAAGAAAGTGTATCAAACTTTATGTTTCCTAGAATTATGTAAGTGATATCAGTGCTGTGTTAATGTTTTGAGATACCACATGGTACCTGAAGGAACAGGAGTTGCATCCGTGGTAGTATATCATTGACTCAAGAAAGTCGCAGTGTTTTCCTGTTGAACTCACTGCTTTTCCTGGCATTATATAAGTGATATCAGTGCTTACAAGGTTCTGTGTGTTGCAGCTTTGAGTGTAACCTGGTTGAAAAGGGGAAGCCAGTGCGGGGTGTTCAACATTGCTGGAACATCTCCGACAAGCAGAAGTGTACCATCAAGGGGCTGGTGCCTGGACTCACCTACAGGTAGGAACCATCTCAGACGTTGTCCCAGCATCTCACCTGATGTTTGTTGTTTGCCTCACCCAGCTATGTACAAGGTATATGGTGGCAGTCTGTACATAATTGTGTCTGGACCTGACCATCAACTAAACCAACCCGTGTACAACTACAATTGAATGGTTTCTTGAAAGAACAGTTTCAGTCCATCAATTCACATTTGTTTGTCAGAGTGAGATCTTTCCTTGCATGCTTTTCTAGAGAAGAACGATTTAACAAATAACCCTTACGTTTCATGTTTCTATGATATGAGAGATCTGTTCCCCATGACTGTTTGTGTGTATTGCAGAGTATATGTGATTGCCAACTACTCAATGGTGCATGGGCAGCAGGCATGTGAGATTCAGACAACATCTTCAGTCCTCTACTACACCACCATGGGCCCACCAAAACCTCCCAAGATCAAGATCATCAGTGTGGACCTCTACCAGGTGGGTCAACTATAAGACTTCTTCTTTGTGCCTTTATAATTTGTTCATTTTATATACGAAGTCTGAGTAATGGTAGGTAGTTTTGTTGTGTATGGAAGAGACCAAGTCCAAGCTGCGATCACTCATGTAAAGCTGGCGGTAGTAACCTGAAAGTTGCCTCACTCATCTTCCAGGCTGTTGCTGAGTGGGACCCGCCCTCGGTGCACCCTGACCTCAAGCTGAAGGGCTACCAGATCTATGTGGACAATAAACCTCTCGGTGGTGTCCGGTCAAGCGATGTCCGGCAGATGGTCATCAACAACTTGATACCAGGTGGGTGGATAGAGTTATTTGTTTTTTGTTTAATCCCACACTCAGTAATATTTCAGTTAAATAATTGTGTAAGGACCACACAATCCAGTGACCAACAGCATGAGCATCAATTTACGCATTCGGGATACGATAACATGTCAACCAAGTCATTGATTCTGACCTCCCGATCCAGTTAGTTACCTCTTACAACAAGCATCGATTGCTGAAGACCAATTCTAACCCCGAACTTCACAGGTGGCAGGGTAGGAATACAAGGTTGTTTGAGAACATAGAAATGGGTTCTTGAGTTCCGAGCTATTGAAAAATTACTTACATAGATACTCAGTGTTCCCACTGTGACAGCTACTGAACTCAAAGATTTATGCTTAATAACAGAAACAGTTGTTGAATCAGAAGGGCTTAGGGTATTGATAGGTCACTCTAGAACATGCCACATCATAAGATGTCTCTGTGCTAACAGATGAACAAGGACACGTCAGTTCCATAAACACTTCATTCCATCTGATAAAGTATGTGTTTCTGTGTTGCAGGCAAGACTCTCAGTGTGTATGTGGTTGCCATTACGTCACGGGCGAGTCAGGAGAGTGAGCCGTCACGGACGATGCACATCACATGTCCGCGCCGACCGCCAGCAGTGGTCATTAGCCAGCAGCCGTCTTACAAGAAGGGGTGTGTGCTGGTGGCCTGGGACAAGCCCAGATACACACATGCTTCCAACGATGAGGAGATCTCACTGTACAGGTCTGTATGAACAATCTGGCCATAATGCTGTGCCCTGAATAACAATTCATGCTATGTGCTCCACTAGAAGAATATACTTAAAAAGTGTCTCATTTATGATGTGTTTAAATCGTCTTCTCAGAGATGTTAAAAACTGGACAAAGTTTAAGGCGTCATGGGAATTATATTTTAGCCTAGAGTAGTTAAGTGTGTCATTGCCCTATATATGTCACAACTAACAACCAAAATAGAATCGGAAGCAGCTTGTGCATGGATAAATGACTAACTGAAAGGGCTGGCAGACCTTAGAATATTGCAGACTTTGGGCCATCGTCATATTTCTACCTTGGTAGAATATTGCAGACTTTGGGTCATCATCATATTTCTACCTTGGTAGAATATTGCAGACTTTGGGTCGTCATCATATTTCTACCTTGGTAGAATATTGCAGACTTTGGGTCATCATCATATTTCTACCTTGGTAGAATATTGCAGACTTTGGGTCATCATCATATTTCTACCTTGGTAGAATATTGCAGACTTTGGGTCATCATCATATTTCTACCTTGGTAGAATATTGCAGACTTTGGGTCATTCATATTTCTACCTTGGTAGAATATTGCAGACTTTGGGTCATCATCATATTTCTACCTTGGTAGAATATTGCAGACTTTGGGTCATCATCATATTTCTACCTTGGTAGAATATTGCAGACTTTGGGTCATCATCATATTTCTACCTTGGTAGAATATTGGACTTTGGTGTCATCATATTTCTACCTTGGTAGAATATTGCACATCATCATACCTTGCAGTCTTTGGGTCATCATCATATTTCTACTTCGTAGAATATTGCAGACTTTAGGTGGAGAAATATTACAGAATACCGTACTGAAATCCAATTCAATCATTCATGCTAATCTGAAGGTAGATCCCATCTGCTTAAAATATATACTGAATATAACAATTATTTGCACAGTATCTACATAGACGGTCACTGGCATGGTGAAGTGAAGGCCAACAAGATGAGTGACAAACAGGGCTACCAATTCTTCCTAACCGATCTCTCTCCAGAGCAGCCCTATGACATCTCCATCAGGGTAGGTACAGGTTGATCATAGATACACACGTCATAGACTTGATGAATACTGGTAGAGGCAGCTAACTGCTTTGTCATGGTGTAGTCAAATGAAGTGTGTGCTGCAATGTGATTGCTGGGAAGACATTCTTGCTTGGGATTTCAACTCTGGAAGCTTTCTTTGGTTGTCGGAAAAAGTATGACACATGGTCCCCTGGTAGTGACAAAGTTGAACACCATCAGTTGTTGAAAGTGTTTGGATGTGTGGCTGCTTTGACATGTTAATGTTTCCACGTTTCAGGCAATCTGTGGCACTCGGCGAGTGGACTCTGATGCCCAGCACATTTACTGCCTCAGTGACAGCAGCATGTCCAACATCGTCCCCGTGATGGCGCCAGCGGCACCCAAGTCGCCCAAGCTGAGGCTGGAGGGACTCCACCCTGGTGGTATTGACTGCACATGGCAGGTGCCCCAACAGTTCGGAGATGCTTCTATATCAGTAAGTAGAAGGAATAAGATGGGGGTTCTTGCTGCACCAAACTAATGTTGTAGAAATCCTTGATGAGATACTTCAGTCCTGTCCCAGAACGAAGCTCATGTGAAACTTTTGGTCTCACCTTAGGCAAGTGAGTTTGTTCAAGATTGCCTCTGTTCACCCAGCAGTGAATGGGTACCCGGTGGGATGAGATGGTCGTATGACTGTTGATCGTCTAGCATCTGACAGGCAGCTTGGGTTAATATAATAATGTCTTTGTCCTTGGCGCCTCTGAGCATCTAATGTTAGGTGCTTTATAAATGCATGTATGTCAAGTCTCTGAAATTATTGAGAAGTTGGATTTATTTATTGTATTGCGCATGAATATCTATTGCCAGGGAACAATATTTTTGGATCAGGAAAATTGATATTGAGTACTCAGACTTCACTACAAAAATGTTTCCAAAGTTATTTTCATGATCCATCATGATATGGCTGAAATATTGCCGATGTGACGTTAAATAATAACTCACTCACTATTTTCATGATCCCAACTCGTTCATTTCAGAATATTATCCAGTAAATGCTAGTGGCAGCTTATGCTGTTTTGAACTTGTTTTTAGTTATATATAGTGAGTTTATTGGTGCCATACCCAAGGGATCAGTTTTCTTCCTAATGACCAGTGTGGTCCATCATCTTGGCTCCAATCTGCCATGCATGCTTGTTGTGTATGTGTCATGAGTAACTCGTGTCTCTCCTTGTACAGGGCTACCAGATGTTGAAGAACGGCAAGCTGTACGGCTCCATCATCCCTCCAGACGTGAACAGCCTCCGTATCCGGGACATGATGCTTGGGGAGAAGGTGGAGCTGAAGCTGATCGAGCTCACCGAGCACCCCGTCGGGAAGGACACACGCAAGTGTTTGGATGGCGACTCGGGGATCGAGGGGGGACTCAGTCAGCCAGACGAGAGAATCACAGGTACGCAGACATACCCCAATGACGATAGTTTGTGTAATCCTCATCATTAACAGTTTATTTGCTGTTTGATTTGAGTAATGCTGATGAGAATTTAACTTGTTGAGTTTGTTGTAGTGTGAGTTGTCTAACCTTGTATTATCTGCACTTAAAGTAAACAGTTTGTTAGTATTCATAGTTAGTTATATGTAGTGATACCTCACATCTCTCTTATGTAGTAGTTATTGTTGTGTAACATGTTAGTGTGTACAAGGATAGGATAAATAGTATTGTGGTCACGTTCAGTCTCGTTGTCCTTCACTGATCTGTAGTAAGACTGTTCAGCTGTGTACCTTTTTAGACGATAAGCTTTGCATTAACACTTCTTCCTGAGCAGACACAACTGTTTAAATCAGCTTCTTGCAAGAGTTGACTGCGATGATGAGTAGAGAGACCTGTTTGATTAGGGGCATCCTGTGCCATGGAACAATGTCAAGCAAGTGTAGCATGGTATAACCGATGACATATTTACCTGCTGAAAAGGTTAAAAAAATTGGGTTTATGGACAAGGTATTTGACCTTTGTTCGACCTTTGTTTGATTCCAATCCCAGACTCAGAAATGTTCTGGCAGTTGCATAAGCACCACTGGTTGCCTGGTCCAGACTTGACTATTTTGAACTCGGACAGTTTGGGTTCTGCTGTTTGAGACATAGAACAGCATGTACTCTCTCCCCTTCGTAGTCTCAGCCTAGAAAGCCAGTGTGAATATTGATAGTCTGTTGCACTCACCAGATACTAACCTGACCATGTTGCACAGTGTAGTTGGCCTACAGAGCCTCTCAGTTCTTTTTGCACATCAGTCTGATAGCATTGAGAAAGATCTTCTGAAGCTTTTAGTCCACAGGTTTGAGTATGTAACCTTAGACCTGTGTAGCTTTGATGAGTGTTTTGCTATTCAGCCACCATGCCAGAGCCACATAAACTTATTTTCCACGCACATGACGATCCTACGGCAGATCTGCCATCATCTGTTAAGGGTAACTATAGACACAGAGTGGGCATTGCTAAACATTAGCTTCATGCAGGCAAGTGCAAATACCAGACACAAGTTCAGATATTGTATCAAAAGAGTTGAATTAATTTATTTTATTGTTTTTTCAAAATTCAAGCTGTGCAAGTATGACATTATGAAAATATGATATTGTAGGTCAACGGTATTTCAACGTATTTAACTTTGTGTTCTGAATATTGCACTTGTTTGTTGACAATATCAGCTTCTGACCTGCTGTTATGTATCAAGGATGGGTGCCTCAGTAGAGTAGTCACTAGAATCTGTTCTTCAAAGCAGTCACAAGCTATGTCAGTAAGTCTGTGTTAAGGGATTTACTACACAGTACTGGCATTGCTTTGTGGCTTTAGCAGTAGTAGTTTTTTCTCTTTCTTTCTGTGATGGCTTAGCTGCTTATCTGCCCTTGTAGTTCAGTCTACAGGAATACCTAGGACCTGACGACACTGTGTATTTCTGGTAACACTGAAACAGAATATAACAGCATGAAGGAGCTAAGTTTGTGTGTGCCGTGAAGTGTGTATCTGACTGCGAGTGGCATTCACCTGGTGTGTTGTATAATCCTTATATCCAGCCATTAACTCTATTCTCCTCAGGACCACAGCCAACTCAAGCTGTCTCACACGTGCTGTCTCAACATTTGTATTACATACAGTGTTCATCTAAATGTCATTTTCTCATGGTGAAGGAATCACTTTGACTATACAAATTTGAAACATGAAATTCCTATTTCTCAAATTAACCATTCATGGCAGGGATTGGGACAGGCAGGGGTCATGGGCCATTTTGCACATTCTCCGGAGCGGTATTCGTATAAGCTTATGCTTGTTTACCAGTGCGTTCCTTTCTTTGGAAATAAATATGTGTAAATAAAAAAATGGCCCATTAAAATTTTGACGTTTACTATTGATACAAGGGCAGTGGCCCATTTTATGTTCAGAAAATGGCTAATAATCTTGAAAATGGTTCATTGTCAAAGCTCTCTGTCCCAATCCCTGCATGGATAAACTTTAGAAGTGTCATATTGTTGGATTGTCCATGTGAAGATATCCTGAGTTGTCTCTATGGCCTGAAGGTCCATCTGATGATCATATCACAATATGCTCAGTTACATTTATGATGTTCCAGGTATCACAAAAACTACAAATATCATATCATCTTTTGACAGAATGTGATGTTTTAATGGAAGGGTTTGTAGCAATGCAACTTTCATAACCTACTAACCTCTTGTTATAACTATATTCACTAAACTATTGTGTAATTAATATTACATTGTTAGTCTTTTAGAACAAGTATGAGGTGAAAGTGTACAATTTGTTGAAATTTACATCACTGTCAGGAATACTTATGTATTGATCTCATTTTAGTGACAAATTATTGTATTTGGATATGATGATGTACATTTTCCAGTCTAAGTAAACTTAGGCTCAGTATTATTCGTTACACTGCTATACTGAGACTAAGAAAACCTAGTAGAAGGTCGCGACCTATGACCATCCAATCAAACGCGAGATGGCTGAACAGATTTAACCAATCAGACAACGACTACTTGTTAGGGTTCGGCAGGACTTACAAAACGGTTTTGGGATTTTCTCTTCCCTGGTCGCTGACACTGATCTATCAACAAACGAAAATCTGCATAAAACACAGATATTTGACATGCAGTATGTACGTTTAGGGGTTTCTAATTACATGGTTACTATTTGCTTATATTTTTGAAAGATGACATCCTTGAATATTGACAAAAACGCTATTTTCAGCGACTGTCTACTACTCATTGCGTGTATCACTCGGAAATGATCGTGCGGAAAATAGCATTCGTGTTTTTTAGGTAAAGGTTCAAACGGTATGTAAGAATGTTAACTTTTGTGATTTGGTAAGCTGTGTTCTGATTGGTCAGTCCAAAAGGTTAGCTGACACAACCTTCTACAAGGTTTTCTTAGACTCAGTATAGCAGTGTAACGAATAATACTGAGCCTAAGTTTACTTAGACTGTACATTTTCAGTTATGCGATCCAACTCAAAAGCCACAAAGTGAAGTCCTCATTGACCATCATCACTGTTTGAGGTTACAGAATCAAAGTAGCAAATCGTCATTTTACCAGAACATTATCACACTAACTCGTCCATGTTACTTCAAGAAATATAACATACATTGATCTCTTAAAACATGTGGTAGCGGTGAAATATACTATACAGATACATTTGTTGTTGACGTTCTGCAGATGTAAATGTGATATGTTCCAGGCATCAACCTTTAGGCGAATATACCTCAAAATGGGAACAGTTCTTTTCTTGTGTTGTTTTTATTAAAAAAGTGAAATTCATTTATTCCACGTACTGAACATATTTTAAAAATTTGAAACAAAATGCTACCCTGCTGCAGAAATTTGTTCATGTTTTTTTTGTCTTCAGTAATAATCATGATTTGTTGTTCAAATACATCATGTGCCTGTGTCTAAGGCTGATGTTACATTGTAGATGTTTTCATTGGCGACCGTTACTCTGGGTGTGCCCCTGGTCCGGAGCTGGTGGTGCACTACACGGGTCTCGTTCAGCCCCCGAGGGAGGTGTGGTGTGAGCAGGTCACAGGACACTCAGCACTCATTGTCTGGAATACAGGTATGTACCTCATTCTTATTGCTGTGTTGCATCTGTCACAAGTTTTGTAATGTGAAGTTTACATGATTTTCAGCTTCTCCATTGGATGTCGGTCACATGACTAAAACTGACTTTCGTTTGTGTCAGTATCATACACACAACACAATTTTACTTCACACGTTCTTAACGAGACTATTTGAATGATATAGAAGGAAAGAGTGATGGAAACATGAAGTCACTCGTACTACAGGAAATTGTGTAAAACAATGACATGCATACACTTTGACCCAGATTCTATGTAGGTTGGTAGGTTTGAGCTCTAACATTCATATAGTTTCGTCATGATTCTATAAAGGTGCATAGTATCGAGCTCTGACTTTCCTACAGTTTGGCCCTCACTCAGAGAAGGTACATAGTTTCGAGCTCAGACTTTCGTACACTTTGGCCTTCTCTCAGAGAATGTTCCTACTCCAACGAATGCACACAAACCTGACAGTCAGTACTTCAATCAACATGACTGGACACCAAGATGTTCCTCTTCTGTCTTGGAGCAGTGTTGTTTTGAGACAAATCATGTTTTATTGATTTACTTGGTTTTTTACCTGTAGTCTAGATTGGGAATGAACAAGCTTTTCATTCACAATGTCGATGATAATCCATGTTGATAAATTACAAACAATAAGCTTTTGAAGTAATGGCTTTTCCTATCAGTGTTATTTCAAGCTTGCAGTAGCATTTGTGTCCACTGGTATTATACCTATCTATTGCCTGTCTCTGAGTGCTTCTTGATTGATAATCAAATGATGTTGCTACTGGAACAGTTGTTGGCAGAGAGAGAAGCAGAATTTCTGCATCCATCGTGTATCGTGTATGTAATGTCCAGGACCTACAAACCGATCTTGGTGCTTAGGAATCATAACCACAGTTATTTTGCTAACATCACAGTGTAAACATGATCCTCATTCATCAAAGCATCCTAATATTTGGTTTATCATCATTAATGTTAAAGCATTGGTATTAAAGAGCAATTATATCACATTAGTGGTCTCACTGCTTGTGTTGTAATCAATGTAGAGGTGTTATGGTGTTTATGATTGTTTCACTCAGTGTACCGGTAGGTGGTTCCTTCTCAGAATGCCTACGTTGTAACATTTTAAACATAACCATAAACTATGATATTCCTCATGTTCATATGTAGCCATTATAACTAAACCACCAAAAAATATTTGTAAAAAATCAGTCATAGACTTGTCAATGGTTTGTGCAATTCTTTGACTTAATGACCTTTGCCTGTTTAAAACGGGTTATAATCATGAGATATTTCTGCTTTCTTAAGGATAAAGACATTCACACTACATGAACATTTTCACAAAACATACATCCTGTTTCTTCAGTAAAAACAAAGCATAATCTTCCCATAAAGTCCATTTTTATTTCAATGTCTCTCTCAGTTACTGGTGGGTAGATCACCTTCAACATGAACATCAGCATTATGTCTTGATGAATGGGTATGCTACATGCAGATCTGTAGACTCGTGGTATAGTGCATTGTTCAGGGCAAGCTCTGTTGGACCCCCACAAACTGTTAAAAGCTATTGTCATACATACAGTTGCCCTTATTGGCTGTCCAAGTCAAATTTGTGTCAGTTATTAGTGGGTCTATTAACAAAGTCTCCCTTGGGTAGGTTCCATTGTTAGGGGTGTATATGGGATAGCAATACACACAATTAGACTCCTGTTGGTATTGCTGGTTGACCACACTCGTCTCAGTGGGAAGGGAACGATAGATTGCGGGAGTTATTTATGTGAAGGAGTTATTGGAAGATATTTAATTTGGTTATTAAAATTTGGTTCTATATTTTGCTGAAGAGTTTAGGTATGACAGTGTTTTAAAAAAGAACTTACTTTAATGTTAACATTTCATGACTTTCTTATTAATTCAGGATATCTCATGGACCAAACTGACCTTGTCTTTAATGAAGCAATATTCAATATTCAATTTTTTAACACACAGAGAAAATTCCACTTTACTGTTCTGTTTCAGAAAGAAGATGGCAATATGTTTTCTAGTCATAGTATAAAAATTTCCAATATCATGTCGCACAGATGTTTGCAAATAACTTCTAGTTTATGAATATGAAAAGCCCATAGTTTCTGGTTTATGAATATGAAGAGCCCATAGTTTCTGGTTTATGAATATGAAAAGCCCATAGTTTCTGGTTTATGAATATGAAAAGCCCATAGTTTCTGGTTTATGAATATGAAAAGCCCATAGTTTCTGGTTTATGAATATGAAGAGCCCATAGTTTCTGGTTTATGAATATGAAGAGCCCATAGTTTCTGGTTTATGAATATGAAGAGCCCAGTGTGATATCAGTATCTGTTGTGGCATCTGTTCACACTCCACTGGATGGGGTGTACAACTAATCACAAGTCACTGATATCAAGTTGATAGAAATCAACAGGAGTACATTTCACCTGGGTCGTTTCTCTACCTACTGTCACTCTCAAGCCAGGCACCATACCGTGTCTTTTGTTGATATTGACTCGGCGTGGAAGTCACGATCCACGGATCGCAGTCGCATATTGTAGTAACCGTTACAGTCTTTGTGTTGCCTGGTATGGAGGACTCAAGTGCCACAGCTAAGAATTTGTCCTATGTTCTTATAATGGATATTGTAAAGGTTTTGGAGGTGGAATGAAAGTGACAAGGTCATATATCTGCAATTGACGTGCCCTGCGCTATTGATCTTGCTTGTTGAGGCAGAAGAGGTTATATTGGTCTATAGGGGTTACTATCCTGGTGTGTTTCAACCCACAGTAAACAGCACGCTGTGAATATAGGGAGGGGAATACGAGATAATATTGTGTTATCCACTGGATACTAACCTCACCTGGATTACTCCCTAGGAAGTTAATTAATCAGGTATGACCTGTTTTAGTTCAATGTTTATTAGTTGTGAGCATGTATGACATATCAATGACATGACAGCCATATTTTTGGAAGAGTTGTTGAATGGAATCGACCAAGGAAGTTATTATATGTTGGTCTGTGTGAAAACTTTGGTAAATTTTACTTAACGTTTTGAATATTTTAATAGATTTGAATATAGTTTACCTACTTGAGGTATCATAAGCATTTTCTGTTAACATTTGCTTCATTAAATAAAAGCAAAATATTTTCAATGGATTATTTTGCAACATGAACCAGAAAATAGCATTATTCCAGCTTGTTAAATGGTTTCATACTAAGATAAAAAAATTGATGGTTTGAAATATTTTCCATGGTTACCTGATAAGAAGTAAGCGCGAATTATTTAACTTCCATTAATGTTGAGGGGTACACGTGCTATGATACCAAGGGTAGGCTGATTATCTTTACTGTATAGTGGTATGGAGGCCAAGTGTTGTCATGCTGAAGTGCACAACGGTGGAGGCAGTATATCTCCTGTAATGGAAGTGAGAACAAATACCTGTTGGACTGCTCTGGTGCTGGGTGTGCGATCTTATCTACAGGATCAACTTCAGGCTTCTGTTTAACACCAGGTGATCAGGTGCATGGTTGGGGTGTTAGATGTTGGGGTGCGTTATGTATTGGAGTTTTAGAGTTATGTTTTCTTAATTAGATAAAATGTGTATGGGGTTTTAGATTGGTCAGATAATTCAATAGCACCAGACACTGATCGGATTTAATACCTTCTTTAAAACAAGTGTCAAACAACTGAAAAATGAGAAGTTTAAAGTTAACTTATGTTATAGATTATAGTTTTAACAGTCTAGATTCAAGACTCAGGCATCCGTACTCTATGTAAATGACAAAGATTTGTACATTATGAAGAACAAGGGTGTTGGTGGTTATATATGGTGAATATTATCTTATCTTATCTGAAGTATATTCTGAAGTATAACTACTCACAGCTTTCAATTAAGAAATTTTTTATGATTTTTTCTTTCTTTTTGGGGGGGTTGTTTCTTGTACAGTTTTTGTTAGATGGACATGGCAGGGGGGAGGGGTAAGGACAATAATCTTTTTTTAAATTTAAAAAGTAGAAAGGAAACACTAAACCCTTCTGCAGTTGATAGTGTAGATCATTCTTTTGTAAAAACAGTATATCTTTCAGTAATCATTCACTCACAATACACAATATTTAAACAATGGGCAAGTTGAAACTGACAGGTTTTCAACATCAGTGTAACTGTACAGATAACATGAGTTGTTGGTGTTGCCATGACTACAGAATCAGACAGATTCCTCCCTGAACATAGCCCAGCTGTCATACACACTGTGGAAAGGGCAAAGAGTGGTGTCATAATCTCCACCCTAAGTCCTCCTCAAGGGTATTTGTGGGGATATCTAGCAGACAGGTTATCAACACGATCCAGGTAACCTCTCGCCTATTGCTGTAGTATAACACATCTGGGACTTATAATGGGGACAGTTATGGCGTGTTTTGTGTATATTTGGGCTGTAAATATTGTTTTTGATAGTATAGAGTTGTTAGGGCAAGTGGTTTTGTGTCCTGAGTCAGGAGTTTGATACCTCTGATCTTCAGTGTGGATCCGGGTTAGAATTGGTCTTCAGCAACCCATGCTTGTTGTAGGTGACTAACGGGATCGGGTGGTCAGGCTCGCTGACTTTGTTGACACATGTCATTGGTTCCCAATTGCGCAGATCGATGTCATGATGTTGATCACTGGATTGTCTGGTCCAGACTCAATTATTTACAGACTGTGGCCATATAGTTAAGGTGTCTTTATAAACAGGGGTGGTGGGGTAGTCTAGTGGTTAAAGTGTTCGCTTGTCACACCGAAGACCGGGGTTCAATTCCCTATTTCTGGTGTCCCCCACCGTGATATTGCTGGAATATTGCCTAAAGTGGTGTAAAACTAAACTTACTCACTCATCCATGTATATATATGGGCAGTGGGGTAGCCTAGTGGTTAAAGCGTTGGCTCGTCACACGGAAGACCATTTCTGGTGTCCCCCGCCGTGATATTGCTGGAATATTGCTAAAAGCGTCGTAAAACTAAACTCAGTCAGTCAGTCATCCATGTATATAAACAGAGGATATTTAAAGTACATACAATACTGATCGAAGTCACAGCTGACATGGAAAGGTGTAGTATATACATTAGGGGTTCAAGTGAATACGGTCGTGAGCCCGAAAAGGCCCACCAAAAAGACTCTCCTATTTCTTTACTGATGGTGCATTTGTAAATATTCCCCCCTCCCAGATGATGGTTGTGTCTTCCCACAAACAGCAGTGTGTAGACTGAGAGACAGTAGCCTGCTTGTGGTTTACCTGGCCTGTGGAAACAGAGTTGTACCCTGAAGTCAGTTCTTATCTGTACAAGTGGCTTCTTCATGCTCTGCAGGGTGATTAGTTGTCAATATCACACAAGTCAGGGAGTCAATCTGTCATCTTCTTCTGACAACATAAGTGGTTAATCAATAGCAGGCTGATTTATGTCCATAACCGTAGAGAACTTGTACATTTCACACATGTTGACCCATCTGGAGTTGGCGGTTTTCTCAAGCCTACTCAGTACTGTCTTTAAAAGGTTGGATGAACTTTGCATCTTTTTTCTCGTGATTGAAGGGATTTATCTGGGTTTGTCTGTTAAAGGGGCTCACCATTGTTCTCATTGGGGGTCCAAGACATACACATTGCAGTCCCAAGCTTGCAACATGGGGCATATATTAGATGTAATGAAATTTACCGATGATAAATGCCTGAATCCAACGGAAGGAGATTTCAATTATAGAGTGAAGAACATTCAACCATTCACTCTCTGAACTTTATCATTCTTTATTTACCAGAGTAAAAATATCATCTGTAAGTTCAAATGTACATGTGGTCTGTACACCTGTGATAAATGTAATAATTCAGTAAACCATTCTCTTTGTTTGCATGTTGATTTGTTGTATAATGCCGCACTCAGCAATATTCCAGCTGGCAGTGGTCTGTAAACAATCGAGTCTGGACCAGATAAACCACTGATCAATAGCATGAGTATTGATCTACACAATTGGGATACGATGACATGTGTACAATGCCGACCGGTAATTTCAGCACCTAAGCACATCGTTTGCAACACAGCAGCTAAGGTCTCTTATTTTTTGTGGTTTACGTGACTAAACATGCTGGTATGCATCATATTTACCTAGAAATATAAGTTTTATTGACGACTATAAGATTCTAACGGTGCATTATGCCATACGGTTGACCTTACCGGCGTTCTGACGACATCGCTTGCTGTCCGGCAATTCTGCGCAGCAACTGATGCGCATAACATCCAGCTAGAGATCCGAAGTATGAAAGCGTATTAGGGCCAGATTATTTTCAAAAATCACTTCATTAATGTAAGGAAGTGTGTTTCATATTAAATCCAATTATGAATAATCAAGAAAAAGGTTTAGAAGTCTGAAGAAAACGAATTTTCATAAAACTGTCAATTTATCTGTCAGTTTACTGATATTTACTTACCTTTAGTGATTAAAAGCCAGTCCCTTGTAGAAATGTCCCGATTTCAAGCGTAAATGTGGTAGCAGACGATTTTACCTTCGATACGGAAGTACGCTATTGCAGCTGCACAGAATTACCGGACGCGCGGAATTACCGGACTCGCTTGTAAACCAAATCAGCAAGCCTGACCACCTGCTGAAAACCAATTTTAACCCGGATCTTCACGGATGTACCCATGCATGTAATCTTGAAATTGTTTTCTAAACAATGTAGAATTCCGCTAATTTAAACTGTTTACTAACCGTGGTCCGAATGATGTTACATTGTATGAAGCATGAAAGGTGATGATGATGCCACTTCAATATGTTTTGGTGCTGAAAGAGCCAAATTGCTGTTCAATTACCAGGGTAAACGAGTGAGTCAATAACGTATTGATTTCCCTGATCACCTAGGATTAGGCCCAACTCTCCCTGATATTGTAGTTGTAGTTGTAGTGGCCTGATTGTCCTGCGGTGGAAGTGCTGTCACCTGGTGTAGAGGAATACACAATGGTAATGAGACTGGCATGATGTATTGCTGTGTAATAACACCGTGGCACTTCCATTGCCAGGAACCATGTTGATATAGCTGATATACACTGGATTAGTGGCTCGGTTATTACAGGGAGTTGTGTGGAATTTCTGCTGGATTGGTGACACTGATATTACAGGGAGTTGTGTGGAATTTCTGCTGGATTGGTGACACTGATATTACAGGGAGGTGTGTGGAGTTTCTGCTGGATTGGTGACACTGATATTACAGGGAGGTGTGTGGAGTTTCTACAGGATTAGTGGCACTGTCATTACAGGGAGGTGTGTGGAGTTTCTGCTGGATTAGTGGCACTGTCATTACAGGGAGGTGTGTGGAGTTTCTGCAGGATTAGTGGCACTGTCATTACAGGGAGGTGTGTGGAGTTTCTACAGGATTAGTGGCACTGTCATTACAGGGAGGTGTGTGGAGTTTCTGCTGGATTAGGCTACTAAATGACATGTTTCAGGCATGATGTAAAGTAGGTTTGGGGTCATTAGAGAATCAGTGCTTTCATTTTTGCTGGTCAACCTTTATTTACCTTAGACCTGACCTGGCTCTATGAAAGGGATATTAGTGATTGCAGGAGCCTTAAACTCTCTCAAACTAGAAGCTGTTAGTTCTTCTACCTGGAATGTGCTTCGTCAATGGTTACCTCTTCATTACCTTTCAAACATTGTGATCTGACTTAGCTCACACTGAGGAAACTTCATGGACACTTCATGTGACACTTCATGTGTCAGGAGTTACCAGAAACTGGCATTGAGCATCACATTCTATATTCACCAGTCTATGCATCTTTTGTTCCAGGAATATGTAACTCTGAACAAGTGTTAACACTGACATGATGCTCCATCTGTCACCATCTTTCTTTTCTTTAGTGGAGTGACATCCCGCAAAATAGAAGCTTAGCTGGAAGTGATCGCCCTTGTTTTTTGTTTGATATGTTAGGCAGAACAACAAAACCTGTCCACTTACTGGACTTGGCAAGTAAGTTGGGATTGGCAAGCCAACACGCTCTGTCTCCCCATGTTTGCCACTTACAGGACTTGGTAGATACAGTACAGGAATGGCAAGCCATACCTTTCCGTCTTTCTTCCCCTCCCCTCCAGTGTTGCCACAATACATTCCAAATGCCAAGGGATGTGCTGTGTTCTGAAAAACACAGCAAAATCTGGAGGGCCTTTGTCAGTCCTAGTTTTGAAAGTTAATAGATAAGGGTCCAAGTTTCAAATACTAAAGCAGTACACGTCAATAATCCAGGTCCACCCTTAGTTCAAACACTTAAAGGTGTGAAGTGCAGCCTGCAGTGCTGGACAGATGGATGTCAAATAGACAAGTTGTCCAGTTGTATCAGGGAAAGATTTCAATGCAGCTGCTGCTGTGTCATTAGAGATTATTTCTTGGCCTTCAGCAAACCGTGCTGGTTGTAGTATGCATGGGATCGGGTGGGTAGGCACAGTGACTTGGTTAGCACCTGTCATGCTATCCCAATTCCATAGATCAATGCACATGATGTTGATCACTAGATCATCTGGTCCAGACTCAGTTATTTGCAGACTGCTGCCATGTTGCTGGAATACTGTTGATTGCACTGTTAAACAACAAACAAAGAGATTATTTCTGTTTAGTCAGCCCTTTGTCAGACAGTGCTACAAATGTCTTTGTATTCTGAAAGTGTGATGTCTCTTTTGCAGATTTTGAACCCAAGGCTCACTTTGTCCGTCCTGACAGCTACCAGGTGACATGGTGGCCAGGTGACCGCCCTGAGGAGGAGATCAACAGCGACAGCACAACAGGTAACTGTCACGGTAACCGGACAAAATCCCCCCCAACAAAATCCCCCCCAAAAGTGCATCGTAGGACAAAATCCCAAAGGAAAAATAATCAAACAAGTTAAAGATATCCACTTAATTATTTGTCAATATTTCAACAAGGTCAAAGAGCACATAGCACATATTTGAGCATATTCACATCATTCATTGCACATTTATTTTTATTTGACATATTTATATGAGCTTATATTTATTCATACATTATGTGACATTTATTCATTTGTCATCAATGTTATTTGATCATAGCATATCATTTCATCAAACATCAGTTCAAACATCAGTTCGCATACAGTGGCCAATACCATGCAAGAAATTTGGGAGCGGGATTAAGTGTTGATCAAAGATCAGGAGAACCAAGCTAAAGATGAGTAGGGGGGGATTTAGTCCGTTTTTTGCCAGTTCTATGCCAGTTTACACAGCTAAAACAATCTTCTCCAACTCTTCTACAATTGTTAATGAAGCTGTTCTATCAAAACACGATACCAAGGATTAAAGAGCCTTTAATCTAAAGCTAAAGATGAGTAGGGGGATTTTGTCCATTTTAAAGTTAAGGATGGGGGGATTATGTCCAGGGGGGATTTTGTCCAGGGGGGGATATTGTCCTTGATTCGTCACCACTGGCCCAGTTAAGATCCAGTGAGTGTCATGAAGACTTCCTTGGTAGCCAATGGCCACTTCTGGCGTCTCTGCTTAGCTTAATTTGCCTATCAAATTACCTAAAATCCTTCCTTCCCCAACTCAAAAAGAAACTCTGTAAAAACTCACTACAATAGGATGAATTTTCAAATGTAACAAATGATCACAAATTGTTATTGATTTCTACTCAAGTTGATGTTCTAGCCTTATCTTAAACTTGATTGGATGGTTTTGTCTGCTGCCAGCGTGACCAGATTTATGCATGTATTTGTTAGGATGAAAACCATGGCGACATATAATATGACATCAATATTTGGTATTAGTGTCTGTGGTATGAGAACTTTCATAAATGCTTCTTCCCCATACTTCAGTACACTAACATGAGCCAATGGTCCTGAATTGTGAAGGAGCTTTTTCTAACGCAGGCAAGCATTAAGCTGTACACGACTTTGAATTCAAGAATTTCAAGAGTACTTGACATAGAATTCACTGAGTACTTTCAGTTTGCTGAAGTTTGGCCTTTGTTTAACTGGGGGCTTGGCATGCTTAGATATGAAAGCATAGGTCTCCTTCACAGAAATAATATTCACATGAGTCAAATAAGATAGTTTCCCTTGAACAAATACTGATTGTTTCAGTCAAATACAGGTTTGTGATTTAATTCTTACCATTTAGTCAATGTTAAATATCATACCTGGTAAGGTTGTCATGGTAATAAACATGTGTATTGAATCTGGTTGTATGCTTATGGGAAGTAGTCTACAGTGTGTTGTTGAGATGGGAGAGAACTCTTGCCACTCACAGTTGTAGGAGTGTTATGTAAATCTCCTGTTGTTGATGGGAAGTGTTGTAGTCATGGCTGACAGAAGAGCTTGTATAAGGAATTTACTATATCACACAAGGAAGTTCTCTCCGTGTATGTGGTAATAATTTCTCATGAAGAATGTTGAAAACACTCTTCCTCCTCTCCTTACTTTGGGACTGAGATCTGAGAAGTAAAGGAGAAAAGGTTATGTGTGATGAAGGCAGCATGATGATGATGATCATTATTATTATTTGAATTATTATTGTTGTACATTTATGTAACTCACTTATTGAGCTATAATGCAGCCTATTTATCCCCATCCAGTGGCTCTGTATGCTTTCCAGCTATCAAATTCTCAACTCCCTGAGAAGTATATGCCTAGTAGTGCTTGTAGTTTTTGCATGCACCTCACATGTAGCCATTCCCTGCTGGGTGAACAGTCACATTTGAACATGTAATGTGTTGTTACAGAGGACCACCTGCTCATCACCAGTCTGCGGCCATGCACCTCCTACACCGTCGTTGTGGAGGCCAGGAAAATGGAGAAGTACACTGACATTGATGAAGGAACTTGTGAGTATAACCAAATAGGTCAAGACCTAATTCATCAATAATGGTCCTATGTTTTGAAAAGTACTTAGTTCACAGACCTGTGATTTCCATGCTTATCGTAATAGAGACTAACGGGATCGGGTTGTCAGGCTGGCAAACTTGGTTGATGCATGTCATCATATCCCAAGTTCATAGATCAGTGCTAATAATATCAATCATTGGTTTGTCTGGTACAGACTCCATTTTTTTGCTGACAGTTGTTTTAATGCTGGAATATACTGAGTGAGATGTTAAGAAACAAAGATTTAGCACACATATGCTACGAAAATGTATGGATCCTCATCCATACTTTGAACCTGTTCAAATTCATGCTAATTAATTCATCTTTATATAGTGAGAAAATTCATAGTCTGTCCAGCGTATACTTTGACCTGTGTAACGAAGGCATTGATTCATCCAGGCACAACAGAGACACCCGATGGCCTTAATGCATTTATCCTGACATCCAAGTCGGACCAGCTGTCTGTGAAGACAGCCTCCCCACCTGATGCTCCTCGTAACCTAGGGGTGATCGCTACCACATGTAACAGCCTGAAGATTGCGTGGGACCCACCCCAGGAGCATGGAGTGGAGGTCATCGGTGAGTCAGGGTCAGACATGGGTGTAATCTCTTGATGCTCTTTGCTTTGGAGTGGAGGTCATCGGTGAGTCGGGGTCAGACATGGGTGTAATCTCTTGATGCTCTTTGATTTGGAGTGGAGGTCATCGGTGAGTCGGGGTCAGACATGGGTGTAATCTCTTGATGCTCTTTGATTTGGAGTGGAGGTCATCGGTGAGTCGGGGTCAGACATGGGTGTAATCTCTTGATGCTCTTTGATTTGGAGTGGAGGTCATCGGTGAGTCGACATGGGGTCAGACATGGGTGTAATCTCTTGATGCTCTTTGATTTGGAGTGGAGGTCATCGGTGAGTCGGGGTCAGACATGGGTGTAATCTCTTGATGCTCTTTGATTTGGAGTGGAGGTCATGGTGAGTGAGGGGTCAGACATGGGTGTAATCTGATTTGGAGTGGAGGTCATCGGTGAGTCGGGTCAGACATGGGTGTAATCTCTTGATGCTCTTTGATTTGGAGTGGAGGTCATGGTGAGTCGAGGGTCAGACATGGGTGTAATCTCTTGATGCTCTTTGCTTTGGAGTGGAGGTCATCGGTGAGTCGGGTCAGACATGGGTGTAATCTCTTGATGCTCTTTGATTTGGAGTGGAGGTCATCGGTGAGTGAGGGGTCAGACATGGGTGTAATCTCTTGATGCTCTTTGATTTGGAGTGGAGGTCATCGGTGAGTCGAGGGGTCAGACATGGGTGTAATCTCTTGATGCTCTTTGCTTTGGAGTGGAGGTCATCGGTGAGTCGGGGTCAGACATGGGTGTAATCTCTTGATGCTCTTTGATTTGGAGTGGAGGTCATCGGTGAGTCGGGGTCAGACATGGGTGTAATCTCTTGATGCTCTTTGATTTGGAGTGGAGGTCATCGGTGAGTCGGGGTCAGACATGGGTGTAATCTCTTGATGCTCTTTGATTTGGAGTGGAGGTCATCGGTGAGTCGGGGTCAGACATGGGTGTAATCTCTTGATGCTCTTTGATTTGGAGTGGAGGTCATCGGTGAGTCGGGTCAGACATGGGTGTAATCTCTTGATGCTCTTTGCTTTGGAGTGGAGGTCATCGGTGAGTGGGTCAGACATGGGTGTAATCTCTTGATGCTCTTTGATTTGGAGTGGAGGTCATCGGTGAGTGAGGGTCAGACATGGGTGTAATCTCTTGATGCTCTTTGATTTGGAGTGGAGGTCATCGGTGAGTCGAGGTCAGACATGGGTGTAATCTCTTGATGCTCTTTGATTTGGAGTGGAGGTCATCGGTGAGTCGGGGTCAGACATGGGTGTAATCTCTTGATGCTCTTTGCTTTGGAGTGGAGGTCATCGGTGAGTCGGGGTCAGACATGGGTGTAATCTCTTGATGCTCTTTGCTTTGGAGTGGAGGTCATCGGTGAGTCGGGGTCAGACATGGGTGTAATCTCTTGATGCTCTTTGCTTTGGAGTGGAGGTCATCGGTGAGTCGGGGTCAGACATGGGTGTAATCTCTTGATGCTCTTTGCTTTGGAGTGGAGGTCATCGGTGAGTCGGGGTCAGACATGGGTGTAATCTCTTGATGCTCTTTGCTTTGGAGTGGAGGTCATCGGTGAGTCGGGTCAGACATGGGTGTAATCTCTTGATGCTCTTTGCTTTGGAGTGGAGGTCATCGGTGAGTCGGGTCAGACATGGGTGTAATCTCTTGATGCTCTTTGCTTTGGAGTGGAGGTCATCGGTGAGTCGGGGTCAGACATGGGTGTAATCTCTTGATGCTCTTTGCTTTGGAGTGGAGGTCATCGGTGAGTCGGGGTCAGACATGGGTGTAATCTCTTGATGCTCTTTGATTTGGAGTGGAGGTCATCGGTGAGTCGGGGTCAGACATGGGTGTAATCTCTTGATGCTCTTTGATTTGGAATGTTCTTTCTGATTTTCTCTGAAAAATATTTATATAAATGAACTGGATTTTGTATTGAACTGTCATATTCTGTTATCACTGGGGAGGTGGAGTAGCCTAGTGGTTAAGGCGTTCGCTTGTCACGCCGAAGACACGGGTTCGATTCCCCACATGGGCACAATGTGTGAAGCCCATTTCTGGTGTCGCCCACTGTGATATTGCTGGAATATTGGTGTAAAACTTAACTGACTGACTCACTCACTCGCTGTTATCAGTTTTTCAGAAACGCAATCATCTGAGTTACTGGTAATCAGCTTTGTATTGAATAATGTCAGATTGATCAAACATTTCTTCAATAAAAGTTGAATTGATATTCATTCAGTTAGTCAGACGTTTCTGCTAAATTCCAAATGTTTCCCCATCTCACCCTGTTCTGATCAATACTAACATATGTGTCTTGTGCAGCTATGCGGATTGAATGTGTGTCCCTCAACGCTAACGATCCCCATCATGTGTGTGTGGACACCATGCCGGACGCCAAGATGGCCATTGTTGATCACCTGCAGGAGAAGACAGACTATCTTGTTCGAATCATTGCTGTCACTGACGAGTATTTTGACCGTCTGCCAGACAAACACAAATACAAGAAGCACCGCTCTATACCCAAAGAGACCATGATCTCACCAGATGATTCCGTATGGCTTCCAAACTCAAGTATTCTGGCAAAAACTGCTGGAACAGAACCACCAACCAACATCAAGGTCTTACAATCTTCCACAACATCACTACGCCTGACCTGGACTCCGCCATTGGTGTACGGGTCAAACAAACTTCAAGGTCAGATCGTCCGGTGGGCAGACGTGAAGAAGGGCAGGTTAAAGGATGAAGATTTGGTTGTTGCTAGTCATGTAAATCTTCTCGCTACAGAGGACAGTCTCACAATCGAAGATCTTTCTCCGGGAGCCCATTATAGAATAGTCATAGAAGCTGTGGTAAGCATCAAAACTTCTCTGGATCCAGACAAGTGGGATTCTGGGATTGAGAAATATAGAAGGACAGCTCATGTTATGTCCAAGGCCCTGATGGCAAGGACAAGAGCCCCGATTGAGCCTCCCCGGCTCCTAGTGTCGTCCTACACTCAGAACACTGCCAACCTGTACTGGGAAAAGCCACCACTGATGTCTGTGATCGGCAAAGATGACGACGGTCGACCGATCTACCTGAGGAGGTACTTGGAGGGCTACAAGCTGGAGATCAATGGGAAGCTGCAGTGTTGTCTGGGGCCAGCTGCTCAGAGCTGCACTCTCACCAAGTGTAAGCCAGGGAAGATGTACAACGTGACGCTGGTGGCGCTCACCTGCACCGAGGACGCCAAGAAGGAGAGGAAACAGAAGGTGAAGGTCTTTGATAACCATGGAGAATTTGTAGGATTTCATCTCATGTTTTGAGATTAAAACATCAAATTTTAGAGTTTGTATAGATCAAGCATTTAAATTTTTGTCTTGCCTGGGATCTTGCAAAGATCTTAAGGAAAACTTTGTAAGAACATTTATTCTTGTGTAAAGTTGCCCCAAACAAAGTGTGTCAAGTACATATATAAGCCCAGACATTTTCCAAATTCTCCTAACTGACTACAGAGGCTTACAAATCAAGTTAACTCTCTGAAATAGGTTCATGTACATCTACTCTTATACATGGCTCTAGTTTGGAGCCAGAGACTTAAAATTGTAGACACTGAAAAAGTTTTATCAGTTATCAGTTTATCAGTTTAGTATGTAAGTTCTTAACAAATGGTTACGGGTCTAGTCTAGTGCATTTGGTGATATACCGTAATCATGAAAGGTTTGTTAGCTCCTCATAACATGGATGATTCTTCTGTACCCCAGTACAAGGGTTTCTTCAAGAATACTAACCCCCAGGACCTGGACTATGCCACCATCTTGGATGACCCAGAGAGCCTGGATGAGGCACCATCAGACTCTGCAGAGATCACACTGCCCAAAAACCAGGAGGGTAGGTAGTGCAAGCTGTCATTGTCTTTGACTCTGTCAGTAATTCTGTCTTGCAGAGATGGAACATCTGGTAGGCTTTCTAATTGTCATGGCATAGTGCGATTTTTATACCCTGACCTTGATAGTTGAAGCTGGGAGTCATGGTCTGGAGGTATTAGTGATTGTTGCTCACATTTTTGGCTTGTTTCTATGAAGATTTAGAGAGTGTTTTTTCTTCTATCGCAGGCTTCATATCCACACTTACTGCTGAGTTTCTCCACCAAGCTGAGAGAGACAACAAAACGTTTGGAGATGTTGTCCTGTCCTGGACCACTCAGGGGCAGATAACTCCACTCAAGCAGTTCAATGTTATATGGTATTGTGAAGACAGAGTTATTCAAACCAAATATGTCCAGCCCACGCAGATGCAGTGCACCATCCCCATCACCAGGATCAAGTGAGTTCATTCGCTATAACTGCTTCTCTTAGAAATGGCCTCAGAAATGAGTGTAATAATGAATGTATTGTTAGAACTATTGGGTTTCAAGTCTATAACAATTTCTTTTATTTCGTGAGTGCAACGTTTCAATACAGATTGATGTACTGTTGTCAAGCCTATATATGTAAATAGTGACCTGTGAAGATCCAGGTCTTCAGTAACCCATTCTTGTCATAAGAAGCTAATAACAGAATCGGGCGGTGGGGTAGCCTAGTGGTTAAAGCGTTGGCTCATCACGCCGAAGACCCGGGTTCGAATCCCCACATGGGTACAATGTGTGAAGCCCATTTCTGGTGTCCCCCGCCGTGATATTGCTGGAATATTGCTAAAAGCAGCGTAAAACCAAACTCAGTCAGTCAGTAATAACAGAATCAGGTTTTCAGGCTCACTGACTTGATGATTCATGTCATCATATCCAAATTGCATCGATCGATGTTCATGTCAGTCACTGGATTGTCTTGTCCACGCTCTATTATTTACAGACCGCCTTCATTTTGCTGAGTGCTGTGTTAAACAACTACAACAAAACTGTAATAGTGATGTTTTGGGACATTGTTTGTGACGATCAGTTGCTTCCATGAGTTGAATGATTTGACTGTTCCAGAGCCACGTACACCATTACTGTAGAGCCAGTCTACTTCACTGATGTCATCCCTCAGACAGCCCAGGAGATACAGATCATGATCCCTGGGCCACCTGATGCCCCCGAGATCTTCCTTAGAACAGTCGAACCAGAGGAGTTCATCATTGAGTGGGGAGAGCCCAAGTTGTATGGAGGGATCAGGGTTAAAGGGTATCAGGTAGGATAGATTATGGAAAGTGTTACCTAATAGTTGGGATTCTGGGTTCAAATACGTTGACAGAATTTACGATGAAACTACTTTATCTATTACCAATTTATGACTTGCTTCAGTCATGGTATGGCTGAAATATTGTCACTGTGACAATAAATCTTAACTCACTCACTCAAACAAGCACCAGCAGGCCATGCGGGTTGTAAGAGGTAACTAATATACTTACACCCGGCTCAATGTCACTGTGACCTGATTGTTGCTCATGATATCAGCCTGTGGTTTTCCTGGTTCAGATTCAAATGTACAGGTCCATGGTATTTTCCTAACGGCAGCACCATAAACAAACAAATAAAGGTTTTACTGATTGTATTTCTTCCAGGTCTACTTGAATGATAAGAAAGCAGGCAATGAGCTGAGTAGCTCCCATAGGAAAGCTGTGATTCCATGCAGGCCAAACCGGTAAGAATATTGTCCTTTCAACCGCCAATCTTCAGACTGAGAGGGGCGTTGTTGTAGCCTAGTGGGTAAAGCGTAGACTCGTCACGCCGAAGACCAAGGTTCGATTCCCCACATGGGTACAATGTGTGAAGCCCATTTCTGGTGTCTCCTGCCTTGATGTTGCTGGAATATTGCTAAAAGCGGCTTAAAACCAAAACTCACTCACTCACTCAGACTGAGAATCTCAACAGAATGAAGTTTTCAACTTCTTTTTGGCAACTTTTTTGGTTGGTTTAGTAATGCTCTTGTCAGATTTGTTTGGTAATTCCAGTGTTCAAAAAATATATATTTCTGTGGTGTTTTCTAAAGTGGCAAACTTTGGCGGGAATAAGAATAGACTTTCCTTGTCATATAGCTTGTCTTGATAAACAAACAATGGTGATCTCGGAATCTCTTCTGTCTAAATATGATTGTGGGACTTGGTGTGTAGTGTGTTCATTTGCTTTGAAGAAGGGCTGGGTTTGTACCCATTAAGTGTGTACATAAGTTGCCCCACTCTGAATGTCCTTTGTTGTAGTAGAACTGCTTCTTTGATGCTCATGATATTGATAACTAAATTGTCTGATCCAGATGCAGTTATTTACAGAACTCCGCCATATAGCTGGAATATTGCTGAGTGTGGCATTAAACAACAAACAAACAGATTCATCAACAATGCTGACGTGTTCTTTGAAGTTTAGATTAAGCCATTTGTATCTTTTGAATAAGATTATTTTGACCCTAAACACTTCGGATGTATAAAACATGCCTCTGTCATGTGATACTTCTATAATGAGTACCTGTGTCTGCAGGACGTACAAGATCAGCCTGGTGGCCCTGAGCTCCAACCCTGAGTACATGGACTCCCCCAAGTCTAACAGCCTGCTGGTGAACACATCGTCGTCTTCCCCCCGGCCCGGGGAGAGCAGCCTCAGTCTGGAGGACTGGTCGTCCACTGCTGATGACCATGAGGTCCCCCTCAAGGTGACCCGCATCTCTGAGAACTCCATCCACCTGGACTGGAGCACCTTCCTGGAGACAGAGGGCATCGGCTTCTACAAGATACAGTGGAGCAGTGTGGCACAGCCAGCGGTAAGGGGCGACTGATTAATACACAATGCCATTTAACGAGAAAGTTTTCTCATAGATAAAACATGTTACATTTGACCACTTTCTATATGGCATTGTGCATTCATAGCTTTCAGGGAGCCATGCCAATTTACACTTTTCAGAGGAGTACATGAAGTATGTGATATAGACTACCAGTTGTCTGACTTCCATTATTGTAGAAGCTGTGGTGGCTGAGTTGGTTAGACGTCTGACTTTCTGTGATGACATTAAGGTGCCTGACTCTGAGACTGTGGGTTCAAATCCCAGATTGGTCTCATCCTTACAAAAGGACTAGAATCTGTACTGTACCGAGAAAGTATTATCCATCCCAAATATAACATATGTGATGAGTGCTGTTAGCATCAGTAGCGACAGACCAATCTCTTTTTATTCATAAAACAAATTGGTCTGGCCATAAAAGGAATTACCCTAAATTACGATTTCAATAAACTCAAAGGGACCAGTGATTTAGTACCAGTGATATGAATTTGGTTAATTTTACAGATTTGAATAAAATTTAAGGCAAGTGGCCTGGATCCATCTTTCAGTTTGTTATAAATGTAGACATTGGATCTGTGCCTTCCAAGAGAAAGTTTCAGAAAGAAATGTGTAAAATTCAGGCCTAATAAAAGATTGAATTATTTGTAATTTTTGCAAGTATTTTAGATTACAATGTTACTCAACACTGTTTTCATGTTATTAATGGAGTGTATGAACTGAAACATCCCATTGCGTTCCATCCCTAAATAACTGCAACTTTGCTGATGTGTCCGAGGCAACTGTTGAATGTCAAGCATGTTGTTTTAGCAACGTGAGGTGCGTCTGTCTGAGAGGGACACCAACTGTGTCATCAACAAGTGTCTGCCCGGCACCACCCACTTCGTGCGTCTGGTGGCATACAATGATGAGGGTCAGATCATGGACAAGTCCAAGCAGCTGACTGTCCAGACGTCTGCCCCACCAGATGGCCCAGTGCTGTCCATCAGGTGAGGACATAGTGAATTCAAACTTACTGTGGAAAACTCTGTCAGAAACATTAATAAGGAAATTTAAACCTAATTAATTATACTGACTTGGAAAGTCGCTTATTTCTATTTGCTATTTCTTGTAAGAAAATGAAACATTTCTTTCTTGTTCACAAGAAGAGATCACATTTGTTGACAGATATGACATTGCAAACAACCAATGCATTTAGTCAGTATGTAGGAACCAAGGGCCTCACAGAAAATAATTTCATTAGTATATGGTCATCAGTTGTTGATTTTCAATTGAGACAAAACATCGAAAAACATTTTGTATTCATTATATGTCATGTATCAAGTGTACGTACTCTTCCAGGGCGTGCAACTTCCGCTACATTGCCATCCAATGGGACAAGCCCAATACATATGGAGATGCTCTAGTCACAGGCTACAAGGTCTATGTTAACGGAATTGTTGAGGCCATCTTGAATGCCGACCAGCTCAGCTTTACGTTCACACATGGCAAATGGTGCCAGGAGTATTCCTTCCAAGTCCAGGCCCTTACTGCCACGGAACGCCTCAACAGCAAGCCCTCCGAGCCCTTGGTGGTGCCGTGGCCTGGGGTGAAGCCACCAGCCATCTTCCGCATCCCGTCGGTCAGCAGCTCCACCCTGAGAGTGGGCTGGGAGGCTCCCTACATGACAGAGGGCATCAAGGTCAAGCACTACAGGGTGAGTCAAGCCACGATGATGGAGGATGTATATATTGCACTGGCTGAGTGACTGTTACTGCAATCTTTGCTTCATCTTTTTGTTACTTTTCTTGTGTGAAAGAACATCCAGACACATGCAAGGGAGCGAACCCACCCATTTTTGGAATATTATAAACATTAACACTTTCGAAAAATTTATGAATGGATGAATATGTTAGATGTAAATATATTACAGCACTAGAGTTATCTCGTTTTCTGATTAAGTAACACAGTATAATAGTGACAAATATTAAAATGCTAACCTTATTTAAAAATATCTACATACACTCACATAAGGCAGTGAATTTGCCAGAGACAAATATATGAATGGTAAAGATGGGGATAAAGGCAAGACATGTTTATGGATGACAACTTTTTATTTCTTTTACAATGTCACGTTTTGGTATAGACACTTGTACCGTTGGATGTAATGGTATGAGGATTTATACCCAAATGTTACAGTCATTATGGAATACAGAAGTTGTGATCCATACAAGTATCTTACCCTTATTGTTAATCACGAACATCTGAAATCCCAATCAAACAGGTAAACAGGTATTCTGCTAGTTGTGTGTAACTGTCCACACGTGTTTCAGCTGTGTTGTGTGGAGGAGGACACAGAGAAGCTGGTGCAGAGTATCGGACCAATCCACCCTGACACCCGCGAGGCCGAGTTTAAACATCTCAAGAAGGGAAACTACTCTGTCTACCTTGAAACACACGTGAGTTGCCATGGTTACATGATCCCTTTGTTAGGACTTAATTGTTGTAGCTAGTTTACTGGGTCACTTCACTGACGACAACAATGTTTTTTGACGTCTGTAAATAATTGAATCTATACCAGACACTCCAGTGATTGACATTATGAGTACTGATCCGCATGTTTAGGATACGATCACCTGCATCAACAAAGTCATAAACACCTGGTACCATTAGTTTCCTCTTTCAACATGCAAAGGTCACGAAAGGCCAATTCTAATCTGGTTCTTTTGGGGGTCCCTTTTCACAGAGAGGAGGTGGGGGAGGGGAGAGAGACAGAGAGAGGGTGGTGGGATAGGGGAATGTTTCAGCAATATTCACTGTGAATTTAGAGCCAAGTTTTGCAAATGATATAAATTGGAATAGTGTTTACATTTCTTATGTCTCATGAAATGACCAGATTATATTGAAATGTTTGTTTGAAAAAATGTGTAAGAAAACACCCTGGTGTATTGATATATGAATGTAGCTGCCATTGTATTGATTCTGCTGGATCCGACGACCTTCCTTTCTTGCTGATGTTTACCAGTGTTTACTGGATGTGTCTTGTTCCAGTTATATGGGACAAGTGATGTGGTGAGGTCGGACATGATCCGCATGCAGCCTGCGCTGTCCCCCGACCCCCCTGTCATCAGCAGCACCATCGCTGGCCTGGAGGAGCGCAGACAGATCGAGAAGGTCACCTGTGACCTCGTCAACAAGCGAGACAGGTGAGAACATATTACAGATGCGCTCCATCAAAACAATCATTAGAAATTAAGTTGGAGGCAATGAGAGCACACACATTCATCGAGTCAAGGAGCTTCTGCTGCACTGCTTCAATGCTCTGAAACATATTAACAGGTTTAAAGACTAAATTAGGCCTGCTTCAATGGCTGTAAAACAGTTTCATTCCACAGCCTCAACATGTGATACTTTCATTCCAGGTTGATACGAGCCGTAGGACATAAGTTAAAGAAAATTGGTGCCCTGGCTCACCCAATCAGAGCAGAGAAAAATGATGTAAGTACATTAAGATGTAGGTGAATGAAAAGCCCATGGACTGATTAGGGCTGGCTTGTTACAGTGTGTCATGTGATTGAATGTAGATCAAATTGTTCTCAAATGGGTAGGACCAACATCCAAAGCATCAGCTGCTGGTTTACCTCAACACTTATTTCAGTGTTATATATTCAGTTTATGTCTTGATTAACTTGCCATAAAACAATGTTCACTTAACTCAAGGGGCGATGGGGTAGCCCAGTGGTTAAAGCGTTCACTCGTCATGCCGAAGGCCCAGGTTCGATTCCCCACTTAGGTACAATGTGTGGAGCCCATTTCTGGTGTCCCCCGCCATAATATGGCTGGAATATTCCTATAAGCGGCGTAAAAACCATAGTCACTCACTCACTTAACACAAAATCTGGAAGTAGAGTAGAAGATAGGATTGTTGAGTCTGTGATCAGGATCATCCCTATCCTGTGTTGCAGGACATCATCCTGGGAGCACACACACTCACCCGAGTCGAGGAGCTTCTGGAGGACTGCTTCAATGCTCTAGAACAGTACACAGGTATGTATAGGATGTTAAGCTTCAGAAAAAATTGTCTTGTTTTAATGTTCAGTAAAAAGGAGAACATGTTTCAGGTGAACAAATAGGAGATATCAATGAATGAATTCATAGATGTAGTGGCTTAAGATTTCAGGTTCACTTACTGTTACACTTTGCACTTTTGTATGAGACGGTAGAAGTAAGTGTGCCGGGTGTGTTGCAGGCCACCTGATTGCCCATGTGAGCTGGCAGTGCCCACAGTCCAACCCCGACATGGCCATCTCCAGCTACAAGGTCCTCATCGACGGCAAGCAGTACGGGAACGCCATGCACTCCGGGGTCAAGACAGTCAGGATCAAGGTGAGGAGGTCTATCACAGCTGCTCTCTGTTCTTAACAACTGTAATGTATGCCTTGAACTCAGCAGAGACAGGTGCAATCATTGATTTTGGTAATCTGCTTCACAATTTGTTTGCTTAACATATCATACTTGGGATCATTTTGACCCCAGACACAGCAATTCACAGAGTTTTGTCCCTTTTGCACACCAGAATCCTGTTACAGGGAATGATTTGATTGTTTCACCAAAGTGGGAAACATTTAAAGTCTGCATCACTCCAGTCTTTGCTTCCACATTAAGGCAACACAATCTGTAACTGAACTATTGTTCAAAGCATCATTAAACCCTACTGACTGTATGACTGATGTGTTTAGTTGCCATGCTGACTGCATGATGTGTATGACTGCATGATGTGTGCGTTGCCATGCGGTATGACTGATGTTGCCATATGACTGTATGACTGACGTTGCCATGCTGACCGTATGACTGACATTGCCATGCTGACTGCATGATGTGTGATGTTGCCATGCTGACCGTATGACTGACGTTGCCATGTTACAGCTGGGCCTGGAACAGTCCAGCTACAAGCTGTCCCTGGTGTCCATGAGTGAGAAGCCGCAGGGCACCAGCGAGGAGTCCAACACGGTGGAGCTGCTGGCCACGCCCTTCAAACCCTTCTCCTTCTACTGCTACCATGCCATACACAACAAGGACACAGCGTAAGTCAGTCCAGTCTCATGGGCAGATCTTCTAACCCATCCCATCTGTCAGATCAGATTATTAAATTTGTCACTGATGAATGAACTCATCTCTGAAGAATGTCCACACCCCAAAGGCTTCATTTTGAATAACCTCTGATCTTCCACATGTTTTAAGCACTTTTTTATCTGAAGTGTCTTATATATTTGGAAGAGATTCAGCTATCACATGGCCGGTGGAGAGCCCTATGTCCTGACTTGTTTCTGGTGATGATGACGTGAGGAATACGTCCATGGCTCTGATGATCAGGGGTTTGCTAGAATGTGTTAACTATTGGCAGTATGTGTGTCCTCTACCCTGAAATCTTGCCTGCATTTTGACATGATCAGCCACTTGTCTGTGTGTGTGATCAGTAACCATAGAGTTATCTCCCCTCCCATGAGTGTTTCTGACCTTAGTTGAATATGAGAAATCTGCATTGTATTGAAACATAGATCCTGAAGTGCATGTTTTCTTAAGCATATAGTGGGACTGCAATTGTGACATTTTATCCAGTTGGCCTACTTACAACTGGTTACATTTACAGCTTGCTGGGGTATTATTAATTACTGCCACTTCAGCGACAAGTCAGATACAGTAAGAGTCTAGGGCATGACCCGGTCATATAGCATGTTGTGTTGTGTGTTGCAGCTGGCCGTCGTACGGCTGCTGCAAGTACCAGGACTCCATCACATATGAGCGGCAGGTAGCCAAGAAGCTGGCCAACCAAGGCCTGCTGCAGAAACACGTCCCTCCACCAGCCTGCAGTCTCCTAGATGTGTTCGACGGGGTGTTCAAGCCTCTGATGGGAGCACACAAACCCCAGCATCCCACTGTGCTACTCTTCTGGACACCATGGTGAGGAAGCTTGTGTAGTGATGGGTAGTTTTGTTCTAAATTGCCTCTGTACACCTGGCAGAAAATGGGTACCATGTGGGATAAGTCATATTACTATTAACCTTCTAGCACCTCACAGGCTGCTGGGGTTATGCAGGGTAATAATGTCCATTATCTTGAATGCGCTTAGAGCAAGTCTGTCCCACATGGAGGTCAGTACTATATAAGTGTCCTGATTATGATGAAGAAATTAAAAAGTAGACACAAGTTATGGATGACAACTTATTTAATGTACTTTATTATGAAGGCATTTCAGTGTAAATCTTTACACAAGTTATGGATGACAACATTTATTTAATGACAACTTATTTTATGTACTATTATGAAGGCATTTCAGTGCATTTCAGTGGATGAAATCTTTACACAAGTTCTGGATGGATGACAACTTATCATTATTATGTATCTTTACACAAGTTCTGGATGACAACTTATTTAATGTACTATTATGAAGGCATTTCAGTGTAAATCTTTACACAAGTTCTGGATGACAACTTATTTTATGTACTATTATGAAGGCATTTCAGTGTAAATCTTTACACAAGTTCTGGATGACAACTTATTTTATGTACTATTATGAAGGCATTTCAGTGTAAATCTTTGTACTATTATGAAGCAAGTTCTGGATGACAACTTATTTTATGTACTATTATGAAGGCATTTATGAAGGCATTTCTATTTTATGTGTAAATCTTTACAGAAGTTCTGGATGACAACTTATTTTATGTACTATTATGAAGGCATTTCAGTGTAAATCTTTACACAAGTTCTGGATGACAACTTATTTTATGTACTTTTATGAAGGCATTTCGGTGTAAATCTTTACACAAGTTCTGGATGACAACTTATTTTATGTACTTTTATTCAGTGTAAATCCTTACACAGTTGTCAAGCAGGAATGAGTGATCTATGTATGGTACAGACTTAATAATGTGGTGTGTGAAGGATTAATTGTAACGACAATTTACATTCTTGAAAGAAAAGGACAATAACCAGTAGGGTAACAACATGGTTGACAGAGCAGTATTGTTGTGAACCCACCATCTATGTTTCAACATAATTTGCCACATTGTCTGGTCAAGATCTCAACTCTACTTTTCATCTATACAGGTGCCTGCCTTCACAACAGATCATGTCTTTTTACACAAGATTTGCCAGGGAAACCGCTAAAGAGGTAAAACTAATTATGTTATTACAGTTGGTAAAAATAGTTTGTGAAATTGTGTATCTAGCCATGTATAAACTTTTACCTTTTATTATCATTCAGGTTGAAAGTCCCTGTATGACTACTTTCCAAATCTCAAGATGTAAGGTTTTCTTGGATTCAAATGCGTTACCAGTAGACCTCAAGATCTTAGGACTGCCACAATAATGGTTAACATATTTGTCTCTCTGTTTTACAGTTCACGTTTGTTGCTGTAACGTGCGGAATGTCTGGTGTGTCTGTGGCAGACAGGAAGAGCCTCATCCATCTCATCACCTCCAACGGTTGGCGCGAGGACGGCATGGTCTGGCACTGCACCAGCGAGTGTGCATCCAACGTCTACGAGGCTGCCAACAATGTCCGCAAGACACCCACTGGTAAGGAGGCAACATGATTTTGGACAAGGATTACAGTAACAAAGTGTTTACTGTAACATATGATTCTCAGTTGATTAGCAGATGACATAAGTACTCCTATTACATCACCAACTCAACTCAAAAGCTATAACAAGAGATATCTGAGATCTGGTTACATTTTGTATGTATTTAGTCATTGTTCCTTCTGATCAGCGTGTAACCATAGAGTTATCTCCCCTCCTATGATTGTTTCTAATGTTATTTGAACATGCGAAATCTATATTGGTTTGAACGGTAGATTCTGAAGTGCATGTTTTCTAATACATATAGTTGAATCGCATTTGCAAGTGTGACATTTTAACCAGTTGACAAGGGAAATGTGTGATGTGTATGGTCTTGAAGGAAGCTATAACAGAGTAGGAACTGTGTGTGTGTGTGTTGTAGGCATGAGGCTAGAGAGTGACGTGGAGGGCGAGCGGCAGATGGAGCTGACAGAGCTGCTGGGTATCGCAGGAGTCCCCACCTTCCTCTTCCTTCATCCTGACGGTAGGTGATGGAGAGTTGTTTGGGGTGCACTGGAATCAGGGTCACAAAACATTTCTGTGGCTTCAAATCTGGATGAATGTCAAAAACTTGCTGTCATTCATCTTTATATGCATCATCAGTGGAGTGTGGACTACATTCTTCATATATCCAAGAATGAAAATCCCTGAAACACACATTTTTCTGCAATGTTAAACGAAGCAAGTCGAGAGTTTCATCAGGTTTGGGATCTGATTCTCACATCTCCTTTTCAGTTTAAATGGAATTATTTGTTATGTCATCTGAGCTTTGGTGGATCTCTCGGCAGAGTTAGCCATGGTAGTATTTAGGGGTGTCGCTATGCATCGATACATTTTTACTGACGATACGATAGGCGATACATGCTTGCGTGTATCGATTCCTATTTTAAAACTTTATCGATTCAAATTTTTATGCTATATCCATCTCCGTCAAAGTCTTGATAGTAAAATTATACGAGACCGTTCTGATAAATAGATGTAGCTAGCTTTACTTAAAAAATAGGTTGGAAACTAACAGCTTTTGTGATTGGCTAGACTATTTTGATGGACCAATCAGCGAGCGCGTACGTTGCTGGTGAGGTAATGCTATGAAAAGGTGCGAAAATTATGTATCGCGATACGTATCGTATCGTGACCTTAAAATCGTGATACATATCGTATCGTGAGATTGGTGTATCGTGACACCCCTAGTAGTATTTCAGTTTACTACCCTTCAATACAGCTGTATGTGTTCACGGGTCATGGAGGAACAAAGTTTTTCTATGCATTATGTATAACAGAGAACTGGTTTGTAAGCAAGACAGGGAGATGAGCTGAAGTTCCCGGCAGACATGGAAGTAGTGTCATGTCGTCAGATGTTCAAATGTTTCCTCATGCAGTTTTGTTTTTGGTCCCCAGGATACATCGCCTGGCATGGTCGGTACAGTGCCTACGACTACTCGTCATTCTCCGCCTTCATGCGCCACACCATGAGTGAGGTGCTCCACCAGCCCTGCCCTGTCTACAACTGTGACTGCTGCAAGAACGACATGACCCTGGATGATGAACTCTTCAACTCAGGTATTGCAATGTTTCCTGGAATTATTTGACTTACATAAGATTATTCCTGATAGTATGCTAAAGGTTTAATATAGTGAATTGTTTTGCAAGTAATGTGAAGACAGATTATCTGTTCATAAGTCAAACTTGTAATTTGTGGGTAAGGCTTCAACATCCCTCTACATCCATCTTCTCCTGTGCTTTTGGTGTGGTCCGACTTTCTCACTGATCTCACCAGGCATGGATGGTGCACATCTTGTCTCCTCTGTCGCTGGTCTACCTAATCTAGACTTGCTTGTGTACAGGTCACTGTGGTATAGCCTGAATATTGTTGACTGTTAAACATCATTAAAACACTCACCTTCACCTTCCAAGACCTGTGAAGATCCGGGTTAGAATTGGTCTTCTGTAACCCATGTTTGTCTTAAGAGGCGACTAATGGGATCGGGTGGTCAGACTCGCTGACTTAGTTGACACGTCATTGTATCCCAGTTGCGTAGATGGATGTTCATGCTGTTGATCACTGGATTGTCTGGACCAGACTCGATATATTACAGACCGCTGCCATATAGCCGTAATATTGCTGAGTGCTGTGTAAAACAACAAACCAAACCAGCTGTTGGTCTGGCAGTCTAGGGCCTTGTTACTGTCAACCATGTTTGACTCAACAAGCCACCTGAAAGAAGACCTTGAAGTATCCCAACAAATGCTTTCACTTACCAGCTACCTTTTCCTCATTTCAGGACTTCTTTTCTCCAATGAGAACAGTCGCCATGGTTCACCAAAGAGTGTGAGCATCATGTTGAAGGAGGACACGCCCCTCCCAGTCCCGGGGTCTAAACACAGCCCATCCCACGAGCTGAAGTACCTCCCACACAACGGGTATGCCAACAATGCAGCAGGTACAGACAGGGTGTTTCTACGCAGGAAGCAGTCGCCCAAGAGGAAGAAGACACGAATCAGCGTCAACAATCGGCCGTTCTCAGCCTCGGCTTCTGTATCCCCCCCTCAGTTACAGAACAGTCCTTACCTCGACCGTCTCCGCCCAACATCACCCCGATCTTACAGGACACGGAACAGGCCAGTCAGCGCTAACAGACTCAACCATTATGTATAGACCTGTCCATGAGGTCTTCTCAAGCTAATTATGCAGTGACTACTGACTTTGAAACCAGAGAATGTGCTTAACTGCATATGAAGATCTATGCATGTTCATGACTGATACCATTTCAGTAGTGTCGTCAAGAAAAGATCTGGACCAGAATTATGTTCTTGGAATTGCAAATATATTTATTTTGCATATACCAAGTGTGGTCTTTAATTTTAAGGCAGCATTTGGAGAATGACCTGTGCCAATAGAATCAAATGTTTTCACATCAGATTTTGTTCTAGAGCTAATTTTGCCATGATTTGCCGTGAAAGGATTTGATGCAAGTAACTGCTGAGCCTGCAGGTGGAGCTAAGATTCTGATAACAATTGTGAATCATACCATTGTCAAGACAATCGAGGGGTTTTGTACACATATACCGGTCACATTGTAATTATCACCGGTACAATGACTCCGGCAAATGATAGTGAGAACAATGGTACTGTGTCAGTTTAATGATTTCTTTTCAATAATGAAATACCACCAGATGTCTGTTTGACATCAGGAGAATTTGTTAGATGTTCTATGCAAAATATAATTGCTTTTGGTTGGAAACAGCTTTCAGGGATGGCAACAGGAACCCTATTTTCAGTTGAGAACTTAATATTGTGTCATCGAATGGGGGGGGGTTCAGTGGGATTCAAGACTCAGATGATTCACAGAAATGATGTTTGAAAAAAATTGGCGGAAATCCACCGATCAGCAGAAAATTGCTATCCCTGAGTTTTAGAAAAATCAGAAATCATAACCAGATGCCAAAATAATACTAGCCTATATTTTGGAAACTATTGTTTGAATTTCCCAATTATCAAAACCATTTCATGATTTGGACATATCCAGTTGTTTTTAAATGATGCAAAGAATCTTTCATTACCTTGATACAACTATCTGTGATATTTATTTATATTTAAGATTTATTACATTTTGTCTGTGATACTGTTTTACCAGCTGTATATTGTAAATATATATTCTGAATGTTGAGAGGCCACTACTGCAAGTATCATTAATGGTCTCCTTATGCCAAGAGCTAGCACACATATTTGTAAACACAAATTGTTTCTCAATATTTACATGACACACACAATACTAGAATGTTTAGTGTTAGTTCAATCTACCTCACATCCCTCCTCTCAGAACACCAGTTTCATTGATCTGATTTGAACTACATAAGGATGTAATACATACACAACGTGACCATTTCTCCACAAGTATGTGCTGCCTGAACTGAAAGGTTTTTATTGAAGCTAAACATACACAGCAGTGTATGAAATAAGCCAAAATCGCAGCCAGACATCAGGGTGAGTAACTTCAAAATGTTACCAGCCCAAAATGGATTTAACCAGACAATCCGATGAAAATAACTCAGTTGTTAGTTACAATGAATAATTTGATGTCCTGAAAATAGATTTTATGTCATAATGATATGGTGGATTTACTCCGATGTATGAAACATGTTATCTAAACTTTTTACCAGACCATCGGCCTGGCTAGCTGTAAATTTAGACCATATGTCAGAAATTTAGTCAGTCTCGGGCTGTCGGACGGGCCGTATTTCATACACTGATACACAGATACAATAGCATTATGCCTTTGCTAGGGTGTATCAAACAGTTCATTGACATTAATCTTTGTAGACTGACTTATCACCTTTGTTATGTTTAACAATCATATCTTTAATACTAGTGAGCTGTATTGAGGTAGATAGCTTGTATTCCACAACCAGTGAGAACGATAGTTGGTTTGTTAACTGCTGTGATATAGTTATATATTCAACTCTCGACATATAACGCCAAGCCTGACAGTGGCTATAATCAAAACATGAAGCATACATGTAGATTACAATGCTTGTCTCAAACAAGAGGAGGGTCACCCTTTTCAGTTCTTCGTCCATTTCATGTCTATTGCTGAGTGATGTGTGTTAACTACAGCTGATTGTATGGAATATGGCATCTTTGATGCAGAAAGGTGTCAGTTGCTGATTTTGAAAAATGTTTACAGGATATCACCTGCTGTACTCATTTTATGAATATACAAGTATCTAAGATCCTGATTCTGTGATGAGTTTTCACTTCATTAATCATATGATTTCATCCTGCCAAATAAGCTGAATCCATGTGTGTATCCACAGTAACATGCTTAATGGCACATTGCTTTCAAGATAACTGTATATCATATTATTTTTGTATCATAGTGTAGACACTGTATATTTCTATTTGATTTGGAATCTGAAATGTGCAAATATACTTCCATAACTGTAACATTGTTTGATTGATTGCTGGAGTGACATGCGTCCGATACCCGTTGTTTCTGTGGTGTTGTGATGTATATAACACACAGGGCCCCCTAGAATGTCACCTAACAGAATAACTACCATTTATCATGTATTAAGCTGAGTATAAAGTTGTTGAATAAAATCTTGCAGTTGTATGTATGTTTTGTTTTCTTCTGATGGTAACTCCCATACTGTGCTTCAGTCTGGCTAGTACAAGCAGCCGCACATACACATACTGTAACATAGACTTAGTTTGTCAAGGAGCTAAGATCACTTTGTGCAAGTGGACCCTGGTCACTAGTACGAGAAAGGTGCAGCGAACATCCATAACATGAAATTGCAGAGATGAATAGTAGGGCTGCAACAAGTACACTATGAGGCCAATACGATATGTTTTACAAATATATAGAAATATGACGTCAATGAGTAATTTGTCCTGAATACATTAAGTTTAATATCATGAAATTAACATAATGTCATGTAATTGCTTAAGTTGAAACATTTACCCACAAATGATATTTTCTGTAAAGCAAAAACAAGCAATACACTGTCAACAATGCAACTAGTCAAATGACGGTGCTGTAAGGGGCCTTGGCAAATTAACACATGTTACAATACCAAGTGGCTTGGATATTTTCAATTCCGCGTATATCACTTGACAACAAACTAGTTCCAAGTAAAAACACTGGCTTCAAAATATTAGTAAATATTTGATTCTAGTGAATAATGAATTGAATTTATGAAGTGATACAGTTAGATTCACTGAATATGTGAATGAATCGTAACAGGACTAAGGAATAATAATAATTGAAGAATGTTTGTTGTTTAACGTTACACTCAGCAATATTCCAGCTATCTGTAAATAATCGAGTCTGCACCAGACAATCCTGTGATCAACAGAATGAGCACAAATGTACACAAATAGATACGATGACGTGTCAACTAAATCAGTGAGCCTGACCTTCCAATCTCAGTCGCCTCTTACGACATGCATGGGTTGCTGAAGATCAATTCTAACCCCATCTTCACAGGTTTGGAAGAATATGTACACCAAAAAAACAGCCGACTCCATCACATGTGGGAGATTTTAGGAGGACTTCTACAACATTTAAATAAACTTAGGCTCAATATTATTTGTTACACTGCTATACTGAGTCCAACAAAACAGTCAAAAGGTTAGCTGATGACCTTTAGGGTTTGTTAGACAGTATGTATAACAAATAATACTGAGAGTCTTAGACAACAAAGTCTTTTCCTAGTAGAAGGTCAAGACTGGGACATATCCCAGCTAACCTTTGAGCTACCTATGACCTTCCAATCAAATGCAAGACCCTAGTAGAAAAGGCAGCTAACGGATTTCCAATCAATCAGTTTATTCAATCAGACAACGACTACTTGTTGGGGTTCGGCAGGACTTACAAAACGGTTTTTGGATTTTTTCTTCCCTGGTCGCTGACACTGATCTATCAACCAACAAAAGTCCGCATAAAACACATATATCTGATTCTGACCTGCAGTATATACGCCTAGGGGTTTCTAATGACATGGTTACTATAAGCTTATACTTTCACAAGATGACATCCTTGAATATTGACAAAAACGCTATTTTCAGCAACTGTTTTACTCATTGCGTCTCTCCATGTGTATCATTCGGAATCGATCGTGAGGAAAATAGCATTCGGAATCGTTTGAGTTTTTGAGGTAAAGGATCAAACGGTATGTGCAAATGTTAACTTTCGCGATTTGGTAAGCCTTTTTCTGATTGGTCAGTCCAAAAGGTTAGCTGATGCGACCTTCTACTAGGGTTTGTTAGACTCAGTATAGCAGTGTAATGATAGACTGTTACTCAATGTTAACCCCGTCCAACCCCAGAGAAGTGAATGTTCATCACATGGAATATCAGCCCTCTAAGCTGAACAGAATAGTTGTAGCTGCAGCTAGAGCATGGGCGAAAGCATGATCAGTGAACAAAAGACTCTCAATGTAATTCTTGTAAACTGATTATCTCCCTTTGACCACATAACCCTGGATCAAATAAAAACATGCTTCATCGTTGATTTTTGCTAAACTTACTTTTTAAATGCACTGCTGTCAATATTATACACTAGTGCTTTAGTATGATGATATTCCATTCCTGCAACCGAAGAAGTTCTCTCCCTTTGACCATATTTTAAGTCGTGAGTGGCTTAGGTAATAAATTACGACACATCATATATGGAGAAAATGTTTATTTCTACATCAGAGAATATAAATAAATATCTTACAAGCATGCATAATTGCTACCTGAAGTTTGAGTGATTATGGTTTAATGCTGCTTTCAGCAAATATCAAAGCTAATTCACAGCTGGGGCCTCTGAAAATGGGCTTCACATGAGTCTACGTTGGAATTGAACTTGGACCTTCGTCATGACAAGCAAACACTTTAACCACAATTTGATTAACCACAGGGGTGCAAATAACTGGTAGTGTACTCCGGTATAGTGGCACATGTAAAGTCACATGCCCTTATTATTTTTCCACTATACCAACCGTTTTCTTGCTGATTTTTAAAAATAAACAGCATAATTAACATTGGAAAGTCAACTGGACAACGGTACAGTGTGATATACAAATTTGCTTGCCCGACAGAAAAAAACACTGGACTCGGACGTCGGACAATGGGTTATAATTTCAATATAAAGTACAGTGTTTGGAAATATCTTTATGACTTGTGTAAATTACACTAATGAGATACTGACTTCTTTCAAGCTAGTTTCTACATCTACCATTTTACCAAGGATTTTATTCTTTACCAAATCATTTGTATTTTCTGTCTTCAAGTAATACTGCAAAGTTTCTTATTCTACCATGATCTCAGACAGAAACGACAAGGTTCTATATTATCTGAATACAAATTAGAAAAACACTTTTAATTAGGTCCATTATTATAATGAAAAAATAGGTGATTAATTTTCCCAAATAGTTTCGTGAAATCAAATGTTCATGTTGACACCATTGAAAGATTTATGTGGTAAGAACAAATTTCAGTCAGTGCCGATTCAAAGAAACTCCTATTCAGATACTTAAAACTATTTATATAAAGATACACTATACAATTGTATTTGAAATTAATATTACAGCACCTCCATCTATTGTATCATTTCAGTCTCAGTACACAGTACTGAATTTTCTATCATTGGAATAAAATCTTACACCACCATCAGACACATCAATGTTTTCCTTATTGAGTAAAATCTCCACCAGTAACTGCTCCAACTGATTACCTTAATAATACCCGCAATAATTAGATAAAAAGCACTACATGATTGACAGTTGCACAAGCTGACCACTACAGTATGGTGATACTGTCAGTGGCTCTTTGAAACATGGACACAACACCTGATGGTGCAATTATTATTTCCATCCAAATTTATTTTCAAACTACCCAAAGAACAATCCATAAAACCCATTAAATCTTAAGTACAAAATGGAATAAAAATATAAAATGGTTTGGAGAACACCACAAAAAGTCTAAAATATTTAGCATGACAATGTTTGTATCAATGTTTATTACTTTAAATCTGCACAGGTATGACTACAATCATACAGTATAAACAATTGTTTCAGGTCTCCATTCAGTATCAAGGAGACATACTTCCCCAACCCAACCCCACCCTTGATTCTGAAATCTTAAAGTCATTACACTCACTTAGCCAAATAGGTATCATAGTCTCAATCGAAAAGTACTGGCTGTCATTATGACACGGTAACACTGAATCTATTTCAGAGAGATGTAGATTTTGAACAGGAACCCATTCTGCTTCAAGCAGTAGTTGCTAGGGACTACAGATGCAACAGGTGTCTTGAAACCTGCTACACAGTCTTGGGTTTGAAGGTTTCAATTCTGAAAAACAGTTAACAGATCAACAATGAAACTGTACACGTGAAAAGCCATTGATGATTCACTGATGGGATCATGATAGAGTCTCTCCTTTCGTAATCTGAAACAAATATATATTTCTTTTAAAAGATAACCATAATAACATATTTGAAATTCAAGCTGTGTACGAAAAACATTTAGATTTTCGAATAACAAAAATACAAGCTTTTCACAAAACATTAAAACTATCCCCTCACATTTCTTGTCACACTCAGCACTATTCTGGCTAGATGATGCCTTCCTGTACTAATGGAATGACGATGATAATGATTGTGTATATCTGCTTATCAACTCACTGATACCAGCCACTTCGAAATAACACTGTTTGATTGTAGAAGCGAGAAGAGAAAAGGCGGTGGAACAATGGGCTAATTCAGAAATGAAACATGTTAAACTATCAGCTTTATTATTTAGCTTTAGAGAACTCAATAACCTTACAGCTGACAAGCATACTCGGTGGTAAGAGTCCAGTGGTCACTGATAACAGTACAACATTTAAGTCAACTCTATTTCTAACATTGAAGTTGAATTTGGGACCATCAAATTTCAGACATGGCATCTAAACCTGCTAAAGCAAACCATGTAAACATGGGAAAGCAAGTCATTGAATTACATCAAATCTCTAGTGTATGGAAATGTTTAATAGTTGTATCATATGTATACTAGGCACATAAAGAAACTGTGCATAAAAAAATTTAAAATCTAAATTTATCAAACCTGTGTAGGCACATAAGGATTTAAACTCAGAGATTAGTGACATGTATCCAACATGCATGCACATGCCACATTCCGTGACGTCATTGGGTTCATCCTTGAGACGTGCAATACGTTGTTGCACGTGCATTCCGGGAAAGAGAAACAGAGCAAATGAATGCCACACAATACTGTCACTTTGGAAAGCTCAACCCCTGCCCTTGCGATCGTTCAAAAAATTAAACGGCTATTGAAACGCATAGCATGCCAAGGCTCACGTCTGCACAGCATCATGAGGCCATTGGGATGGTCCGTGGGGTAATGTCTCAACGACAAGTCGCTGCACATTTCCACTGCCACCGGAACACCATTTCTGCACTGGCGAGACGCTACCAGAACACAAATGACGTCTTCGATCAGCCACGTTCTGGAAGTCCACGTGTAACAACGCCAAGAAAGGACATATGGATATGGGTGACCCATCTTTGCCACAGGTTTCAGACTGCAGTGATGACTGCCCGAACCATCCCAGGACTTTGCCGTATCCACCCCAACACAGTTCGACAACGTTTACGTCATCACAGGATCAGACCACGACGTCCCGCCATACGGCCTATCCTGACACAACGTCATCGACAAGTTTGCCGAATGTGGTGCCGAAATCCTGTCCGCAGACCCTTGTTTTGGTGGAGAAATATTGTTTTTACAGATGAGTCCAGGTTTAACATTTCCCATAGTGATGGACGTCAACGTGCCTATAAACGTGGGAGAACGTTATGCACAGGTCTGTGTCTTGGAGAGGAATCGCTTTGGTGGTGGTTCCGTGATGATTTGGGGTGGAATAACAGCACACCAAAGAACTCCTTTGGTGATTGTTCAGGGCAACTTAACTGGTGTGGGCTACAGGGATCAGATTCTTCGACCTATGGCAATTCCTTTTCTTCCAACAGGACAATGCCCGCCCTCATACGGCAAGGGTTGATATGGATTTTTTGCAACACCACAATGTTGACTTACTGCCTTGGCCTGCAAATTCACCGGATCTCTCCCCGATAGAGCATGTTTGGGACGAGATGGATCGACTTCTACGCCGTCTTCCTCATCCGCCAGATAACGTCCTTGACCTTGCAACAGAACTTGAGATAATCTGGCGTGACATCCCACAAGCCTTCCTTGCACGTTTGATAGGCTCTATGGATCGTCGATGCACTGCTGTTCTCAATGCCGATGGTGGACATACCCATTATTATGCTTGTGACATGGTCGTTTGACCCCTGTCCCGCTTGTGGACTCGTACGTCATTGTGATTGACTTTTCAATTGAAATTCTCCCGACTTGTTATGGTCTCATGATCCCTCCATAAAAGTATATATGTACCTTTGACATTGTTATCGTACTTATCAACTGGGATAATACTTTGACAATGCACAGTTTCTTTATGTGGCTAGTATATAACACTTTGATAGCAGATCAGAATCTGTGGTATTTCTGCAATGTATCCTTTTCAACTTAAAGACAATCTATTAATCAATAACTCAGTATGCTTAAGCACTGCATTAAACAGTGAAACTGTCCAAACAGATTTCCATGGTAACATTAAAATGATTAACACATGAATTTCTTTAATAAGCATCAGAAGATGTATTTACCCTCGCTTCAATGTACTCCACCCTTCGCTCTAATTCTGACAGCTTCTCATTTAGAGTGGCAAGTCTTGAACGGCATGACATGTCTGAAACATGAAGGATCACAGAATGCTCAATTATAGTACACATCAGTGGAGTATATAAGACATAGGGGATGAGGCAAGAAATGAGCAGTATGGCCTATTTGAATAGTATTTCCATAATCATGACAAAATCAAAGTGTGTAAGTCTAATGAGGGAGATAGCCAAATGTGATGCAGGTTTCTGAAACCTTTAAATACACACAAGCTAATTATCTATCCATGCCCCCTAAGTTAAGATAATTATAGACGTTTTACCAGTGATGAATGCGTGAATGGCTAGGCGTTTTGGGCCATTTTTAAAAATATTCAAACATCATGGAAACATGCACTAACAATGAACAAAATGATGGACCTTACACTTTGAAAAGAATCAAAGCCAAAGCCTTCAGCAGTGTTCAGCATGACATACTGTATAGTGAATACCGTAACTACTTGGATTACTCCAGTCCCTTCATAATATGATTAATCTTGACAATACGTCTGATATTCAGTCACTGATTCACTTTTTTCGTTGTATATGACTATGACATGCTCATTCTAAAACTCGAGCATTATCATGATCTTAACAGCTGATAAATACACATAATGTTCTTATAAAAAACTAAATCAGTACAATCATTACAATGAAAAAGTACAAGTACAGTGCTCTATCATATCCTTGGTTTGGATTCAATTTCACAACCTTGAAGAGTAAACTATGGTTATAAAAAATGAAAGGCAGTATCAATTTTATTTTTTTTATAAACGTTGATTGCTATACGCATTTCGACTAAAAAAAACACAGAAAGTCCCTGGGACCAAAATAATCTGGCATTTTATTGTAAGCATTTTTGTTGTGTGTGTGCACACACACGCACGCACACACACACACACACACCTAGCAACATGATAATGTCACCCAACTGTTGAAACTCTGAAAAATGCAAATATACATTAACCCTGTCTACACTGCAGTAGTTCCATGCGTGAAAACAAGCTACTAAGTACTGTCAGCTTGCTAAGTATGTTAGCTCATATACAGTGTCCACAGTAACAAATAATAGACTTATATTACACTGTAGTTAAAAATCAAATTTGCTTCTACTTGGGCAGCAGCTTGACTCAAAAACGCGTCCCTTGTGTCAAAACTATGAAAGCAGTAGAATGTATAGGTTCTCAACCAATGTGATAATGTTTCAATAGTTTCATTGATTTGTGACCCGATCATTTGTCATCAAGCATTGTTGACCATGTTGACATAAGTCTTTTCAGGATGTGTAATTGTCAAAACAGCGTCAAGTGTCAAGGACCCACACGAAGTCAAGAGCATGCTTTTGGTAGATACAAACTGGCTCACCAAATGAATTCAAGAAATCAGATATTTTCTTGATGCTACAGGTTATCACTTCTATGTATTCTCTGTTAGCCCAGTCTTGTTGAATTGGCCTTTGATGAGGAGCTGGTTGATGGTGAGTCGCCATGTTTCCTGGTTTCCTATGCTAAGTATTGTATCAATGACTCCAATTGGGTGAAGATAATATATGAACCAATCAAAAGGCAGCTACTAAGGCGATGGGTGTTTTTGCTCAAACCATCGGTGATTGGTTGCAGTAAACATGATTAACCAATCAAATATAAGGTGTCTCTACACGGAAAACGCGTCTGCTTCTAACCAACTTACTCAAGGAAGAACCTGCCTTGTGTCTTAGGTGAGATCTATTGTGTGGGGGAAAGGTGATTTCGGTATCCTATTATATCCAGTTCAGGTAATTCCTTATTTTCCGTAATTTTATATTCGAGATTTAGTTTGTAAACTTTTGATTCTGGCGTATTTCCTCTATTACTGACAAGTGTCAACAACACGAAGTTGTGGATGAATCGTTTTGGTCTATCGAAGACTCTAATAGCCATGATCGACTTGGTAGCTAATATTAGTGAGTCGTTGTTCGGCACACAAAAGCTTCCATTTAATTGTTTACTGCAAGGGGATGCCGTATCAGAGAACGAACTCAATGAACCAGTTTAATGGATTAGTAACATGTTCAGTATCAGAGTAGTTCATAAATGTATGAAGCTATATTTCTAGCATATGAATATTTTTTCCGACATGTACACCTTTAATGTGATGTCTCGTGTATAAGATCAGTTATGTCCTTGTCTGGATGGGGATAGAGGATTTGGTTAGGATTATATTTGCTGTGGTACATAAAAATTAGAAAATATATACTGGCTCAGTGGTAGATCTATTAGAAAATACATATTTATGAATTTGTTCAGGTAGGTTACCTCAATTCTACCCATGGCTGTTGGATTCTGAACACGATACAATTCATTCTCATTGATTTTAAACTAACTGAAATTGTCATGTTTTACATGTTGTTGTTTATGTTCTCTGCAGTGTATATGATGATTTAGATGCCTCTATGATATTTCTGTTGAATTACAGAGAGAAAAAGAGACTTTAATATGTGAATGGTTTTCACATTGCTGAATTTGTAGCAGTAAAACATATATGATGGCTTTCAAGTCTCTCTGGAACAGACGCTGGCTCTCCACAGACACATACAAACCACCTGAAAAAGATGAGCATGTGATGGTTGCAGATTCTCTCCTGTCAGAGCTGGAGTTTCATATACGTGATATTGATAAAAGGAATCGAGATAAGGAGGATGAAGATAAACGCCGTACAACAGGAGTGGATTACTCTTGGCTAGTCAGTGTTACACCGAAAACTTATGAAGTACCTCAGCTTGAACGTTTGGAGCTGGAGGAACTATGCTACAAGGTGTCGTCTACTGAATGTGGTAAAATCATCTCACTGTTTCGAGATGCTGTGCTTCGTGAACGACCTGTTCGGGAGCTGCCAGGTGTGATGAGATCGTGCGTTCTACAAGTCATTGAACAACGACCGAGGGAGGAAACCCTCTCTGAATGGGTTACAAAAAGGACTATGAGTCTCACAAGTCTTAAACTACGACCAAATCCCAAAGTTGCCCCCAGTTCTGGGATTGAGGATGTCGAAATGCAAGAAGGTGTTCCCAGAGAAACGCGTGCTATGAGCATGCCTGACTTTAGTGTGGAGAGATCTACAACATGTACAATGAGATTCTGATTTCCTGAATCAAACCTTTTTAAACAACACTCCAGTCATATGCCTTGCTCAAGAGATCAATATGTATTTTGTCCATTTGCCAAATATATTTATCATGATCTTTCATGTTATTTGTTTCAAATGATACAGCTATATGTCTACACAGTTGTTTTTGAGCATTTTGTTTAGGCATGTACAAATATGTTTCTTATTTACTATAAGTAGTATATGAAAGTATTGAACAGTTGTCTCCTGGATCAAATAGAAATTACAATATGTTCTTATTTTTTCAATAAGGAATGAAGGAAGGTTCTTTCATAGTGCCAAAAGTTTTGAAAGACATCATGAAAAGATGATGAACCAGACAAGCCAACTTCAACCTTGTGTTTTGTTAAGATTGTGTAGTATTTAAGTTCGAACTGTTATTACCATGTTGGTAGACTCAGTAAAATCCTCAATATGCATCTTACAAATTCAAAGGGCAACAGAAAGTTAAGATATATGTTAATTAACCTTCTCATCAAGTGTCACACAGAACAAAAAGGCTTTCAAAACAGTTAAGTTTTTATGACATTGGTTGATATCCATCTGAGGTGTCCTCTGTATTTCAGTTTTAGTAATGGTACTGGAGAATGATTTATGAAAATTTTATATAGAAAAACTTAAATTATCTGAATGGCATTCTTGTGTCGTTGGCATGATCAGTCATGTTAAGATTGGAAAAATATCAACAGTTCAACTTCATGTGATGCCATGACATGTGTATCATGTAAACATTATGAAGAATATGTGTAATGAATAAACATTAGTATTCAAGAAATGTAATAGTGGATGTATCCTCTGTCATTGTCTATTACCAAGTATTTGTGTTCTGCCATGCTTAAGAATAAGATGGTTTCTCTTACTTCTTCCGTTTTGCTAGGTAACTGTCTGTTTAAAATATTGTATCACAATCTCCCAAACTGATGATTATGATACCATCTGTACCCAAACTTCATTGATATCGTAAATCATGACAAACCTAGGTTTCGAGATGTATGATCCAGACAGTATTTAGAATTTAGGATTAAATCAAAGGGTCATTGTCAAGAGTTCATGTTCAAGATGAAAGGTTTAAGAGTACCTACAGTATATAACACTTATCTATGCCATTTTTCAGACATTTCAATTTGTGCCTTCAGTGAACCTGAGACCATGTTTCTATGTAATTAGGTTTTATATTAGCCAAGATATTGACATTGACATATGTTAATCAGAAAGCAAAGTGATGTTTTAAACATTTTCTGTCAAATTTGCTAGGAATGCCTATTTGCCCAAGCCAATTCTGCCTTCGATTTCTGACGGCTAGATCAACTGGAAGATTTTGTTCACATGAGACATCTATAAATACAGACATAATAGATAATAATTAAACATGTAACAATAATTAAACATGTAACTGTATCAAATGACGGGAAATTCTGCTTCCAGTCGTCTAAGTCCCGATTTCAAGGTGATAACCTTATTTTGAATATTTTCAGCATTTAGCAAATATTAGGCTGGATTATATTTGCTCTTCCTGTCATTCATAATATTTGTTGTTCAGCTTCACACTCAGTAATATTCCAGCTATATGACAACAGTCTGTAAATAGCATGTTTTTACTGGACATTCCAATGATTAACACTATGAGCATAGATCTACGCATTTAGGATACATACATCATCCAAGTCAGGGACCCAGACCACACAATCCTGTTTGTTATCTCTTGGAGTGGAGTGTTCAAGACCAGTTCTCAGATCTTCACGGGTCTCAAAATACTTGTAGTTAGGTATCACCATGTACATTACTTAAGATAATGTCACTGTTTTTTCATCAGCCTTAATAGGCTTATCTATGATGTCATTATCAAAATCACCTTAGAATGTGCAATAATCGTTCATGCATCCAATGGCTAGTGAATATATTTAATATAAATCATAACTGTAAAGAAAATGTGATAGTATCTGTAGCATCCTTAGTCATGTCAGCATGGTGAGGGACCTAGTATTTATTATTCTGAGGTTGGTGGAGTGGTGGATATTTGTTGGATTCATGTTGTGTTTGTCACTTACCATATATTTTCTCTAAGAGAAAGATTCGAACAATATGTTGTGGACGCAAGCCAATTTTGTTCAAGACGTTCAGTATACAATTATATATATTTTTAGAAATTTGAGGCAAAATGATTTGTTACCACTATTTTCTGGAATAGTATTTTTGTCGTGGGAAAATTGTGGGTTCGTAGAATATCAAATGGTTGTTCTTTCAGTGATATAGTACAAATGTAAAACAATATGTTTTACATGTTTTGATAAGTGATGACTTGGGTTTGATAAATGTAGATGGTGTAGTACTTGACACATCTTGAGTACTTAAGTATGCAACTCGATGTGTCTGTTACAACATGTATGTTATTGATGTTAATATTCTTGTTATGTAGCCATGGTTACATCATGGACATGATGTAGTAATAGTTTCCCTAGAGATGTTCATAAAGCTGAAGAGCTAAACAAATCCCAGATAGTAATATAATACAATACATGATACTCTACATGTTGTATTTGTCATATCATAGCAGTACAACTACAAGCTGGTACTGATCAACAGTTTAGTTCATATACACTGTTTATGTCAAGTGGAGTATGATATGTAGATTGCTTCATGTATTCTATCAAGACAAAACATTTGTTCTTCCTACTTCTTAAAGGCATTGTCAACAAAGAGTATGAAAACTATTAGTTAGAAATGAAGAATTTCAGGGCTCAAATCCTGCAATAAACAGTTTCATTTCAGGATCTGTGTCAGTATTTCAGATCAGTTCTCTCTAAAACATAATCTGTTTGTCGTACAAGTATTTCTGAGGATTGTTTTGTTTTGTTTGTTTTATCAGTAAAACTATTATTCTATTTAAGAATGGCCAATCATAATGAGCAAAAATAATTTTAAAAAGTCTTCTTTTTTGTTGTCTTACATGTACATGGTAGGGCATGAGCTATGTGATCGTTGCCTTTTTGTGGGAGAAGCTCAAAGCTCCCTTTGAACTATGTTGATTCGATATCTGACATATTCACTTGTTATGTTCACAGTGGTTAAACATGTCATATACATGTATTTTGGTGGACTGCACTTTTCTGAATCTTTTTGAATAACATCAAAGGCATTACATGCATCAGCTTTTATCATGTGTATGCAACATAGGAAGTCGATATGAATAGTCAATATTTTGTGATTTTGATTTGATGTAAATCATTCCTGCTTTACAATTCTACCATTTTGTATTTACAAAGTTTATCAATTGATTATTCCCTCCATTTGCCAGATCAGTGTTGCTTGGTTTACAATATTGTTTGTATGTTTACTTGTAAATTATGTTTTCTTTAAACAATTTGCATTTATATTTTTGTCCTATATTTTTCTTTTCACTAATCCCTAGTATGTTCAATACGTTTCCCAAGTTATTCTGTAATATATTTTGTCTATTTATACAATATTTTGCTTGCCAATAGAAACCACATAAGCTTGATATATGCATGCATTGTTTTTGTAACCAATACTAATTGTTTTTCCTTCCGAGTAAACACAATCTGAATTGCAGGTTGAAGGGACTTGACCATAAGGTGAATTGCAGGTCTGAGGCTCTTGGCCATGGTATGATGAAGTGCAGGTCTAAGTTACTTGGCCATGGTATGATAAATTGCAGGTCTGAGGCACTTGGCCATGGTATGATAAATTGCAGGTCTGAGGTACTTGGCCATGGTATGATAAATTGCAGGTCAGAGGTACTTGGCCATGGTATGATAAATTGCAGGTCTGTGGTACTTGGCCATGGTATGATAAATTGCAGGTCTGAGGTACTTGGCCATGGTATGAGGTGCTTGGCCATGCAGGTCTTGGTCATGGTATGCAGGTACTTGGCCATGGTATGATAAATTGCAGGTCTGAGGTACTTGGCCATGGTATGATAAATTGCAGGTCTGAGGTACTTGGCCATGGTATGATAAATTGCATAAGGTACTTTGTCATGGTATGATGAAGTGCAGGTCTGAGGTACTTGGTCAATGGTATGATAAATTGCAGGTCTGAGGTACTTGGCCATGGTATGATAAATTGCAGGTCTCAGGTACTTGGCCATGGTATGATAAATTGCAGGTCTAAGGCACTTGGCCATGGTATGATAAGATTGCATGTCTAAGGTACTTGGCCATGGTATGATAAATTGCAGGTCTGAGGTACTTGGCCATGGTATGATAAATTGCAGGTCTAAGGTACTTGGCCATGGTATGATAAATTGCAGGTCTAAGGCACTTGGCCATGGTATGATAAATTGCAGGTGTACTTGGTCATGGTATGATGAATTGCAGGTCTGAGGTACTTGGCCATGGTATGAAAAGTTGCAGGTATGAGATACTTGGCCATGGTATGATAAATTGCAGGTCTAAGGCACTTGGCCATGGTATGATAAATTGCAGGTCTAAGGTACATGGCCATGGTATGATAAATTGCAGGTCTAAGGCACTTGGCCATGGTGTGATAGATTGCATGGCTAAGGCACTTGGCCATGGTATGATAAATTGCAGGTCTCAGGTACTTGGCCATGGTATGATGAATTGCAGGTCTAAAGTACTTGTCCATTGTATTCTTTATTTGTAGTGACTTAAACCATTTTCACACACATGGATAACAATCAAGAATGTACAATAATCTGTAATCATTTGGGAATTCCTTGAAATGAAATAACGTTTGCAGAACAATGGAAGTTGCATCATTCAGTGTCATCATTCAGTTCACACACTTTCAGATATTTTTGGCCCACGTTTTGAAAAATAATAATGACTGAAGGATTGTGCTTACTTCAAGTCAAACTTCATATCAAATTGTTTTAATGTAAAGTGGAAACTGATAAACTCTTTTCTAATAAGGATATGCCAATAGGTTTTGTCTATGTTCTGTTACTTGACATGTTTGCCATGACAAAATGTGATATTTGCCTTGCTGTCACCAATGAAATTGGTAGTAGGTATTCATTGCCAGTTCAAAAGATACATTTACCCTCAGTCATTGTAATCAGTATGGATTTCCTCAATAAAGATGTTTCTTTTATGACTGTGTCCTATTATTTGTTGTCAAGTCTGTCCATTTTTCTAAGGTCCATGCTTATAGTTCTATGCTTGTCTGCACCATGTGGTTGGACCTGGGGTTCACCCATGTTGTAAATGTCTGATATCAGCATCACTGAAGAGATTCCTTCCACAGTAAGGTTTGAAGCCATGATATGACAGGAATACTGTTTAAAGTGGCATTAAAACTCCATCACTACCTACAGACAGTACTATGATAGAATAGGGTTGCTGAAGCTAAGGGTGGAGGTAGTTTCATACTACATGCTTGTCATGAGGACTCGCTCACTCACAGCCCCAAATCAGTGTGTCTTTTGCATTTCATATATTTTGAAGCTTATCAGATATTATTTAGACATAACTGCACCAGTGGCATATCCAGTTATCAATATACTGAGCCACATTTATGATCTCTAGCGATTGGTAGAAATTGTGCAGTGTAAAATAATGATATACTTCTTCCAAATGTACAGATTGAGATGCTCTCTCTCCTTGGAAGGGCCTCAGTAGCCCACGGTCTAAGGTCCCACATTTCACAGTGCAGAAAGACATTTGGGTGGCAGAATCCTGCGAATGTGTGTTTGAATCTTGTTTAGCCCAGCATAGGTTTCTAGGAAAGTTCCAAATTAGAATGGGCCTCAGAACCCAATGCTTGTAAGATGCCACTATCCTTTTCATATTAGGCAATTTATATAATAAAGGGATTGGTGAATTTGCAGATGCATGTCATGGTATCCCCAACATCGATGCTCATGATATCAATCACCGATCATTTGGTCCAGACTCCATTGTTTTAAAGACCTCTGACATACAACATGAATGTTGTGTAGTGCTGCATGAAACAACAAACAGAACAGTCAGCACCATGTCCCTGTTTAGGGTTTAGAGACCTGCATAACTTGTGATCTCTTCCCACATTAAGCTGACAAGCACTGATGTACTGTTCAAAGCCTGTCAAACCCGACTCAATCACTTTTTCCTCAAAAGTTTAATTTTGACATTTAGAGATCCTTGAATTTGGTATTTAGCCTCAACAAAAACACTTTGTAGTTATTAACATTATTTTTGTCACAGCTGGAGTGCAAAAGGAAAATTTCGTCTGTTTTTTTCCCTCTCTCTGAATCTGCTTTGGCTTCATTCATGAAGCACACATGAAGCCTTTTAACTGGCACCATGTAAGGAACATGGTTTAATCAGCTCTGAAATGGTATTTTTTAACTCTCTTTCCCATCCCTCATGTGGATGTAGCGGTAAAAGCAGGGGAGGATACGCTCACGATAGACGACAGTGCAGACAAATCAGATTAATTTCGATCCTGGTCTAGGAAACGAGGTTAATTCAATAATATGACTGAAAGAACAATTAAATTGGGAGAAGTGCTTCAGAACCTACAGGTCGGTCAGGACATTTTGATGATTCAGCATTGGGTGTGTCATCCAAGCTTGTCATTTGAACAAGTGGGGATCGACTAATTCATAAGATTGTTGGTTTTCTTTGTAGGTTTTAAAACAACCGTTACATAAATTGGTCCGTGGGATAAAGCCTGGTTGTTGTAAGGTTGGTTGATCCAAATACAAGGATCAATATCTCACATTAGTGCCGAGTCCATTATAAGGTTATTCCCCACTGTGATGTCGCTGGAATGGCGATACGACGTAAAACTACCGTAAGTCACCACTCAGAATATCTCATTTCTCATGATATCCCTATAAATCACACACTGATTTGTCAGAAGTATTGAACTGAGAGAGTTCAGTTCAGTTGCATCTGGAATGAAATATTTTACACCCACGATGGCTACTGCCACGTATTGCACATTAAACCACTAGTTGCGTTCAGGCGTGAGAATTTGGGTAGCTTTTCGGAGCACTTTCAATCTTGCACTTTGTACTGTTTTCGATAGTCGATATTCTTTTCCCCTTCGAGTCCCTTTCAGGAATACAAGAATAGAATTCATTCATTTCTGGTATCCCCGCCGTGATATTGCTGAAAGCGACGTAAAACGGTACTCAATCAATCCCTTTTGGTAAAAAAAAGCATACAATCACTATGACTTCAGCATAAACATGTTCTCCAACCTTTCGTCACATCCAGAGACTGGCTCAATAAGGGCACCGGGATGTAGAGCATCGTCCCTCTTCAAGAAATGCAAATGATATTTTAAAACATATATAAAATCTATGAAAATATTATTCCAAAAATCTAAAAATTATTCAACTTTCTAACGAGAATGAATGAAACACCAGTTACTCGAAATAAATGGCTCTGATGAAGACAGAGGTTGACATAAGTCGGTGGATGTTGGAGTAGAGCTACATTAGCCATGTAGCGAGATGCAGGTCGATATCACTGAGGTCATCTTCGGCATATTCCGATTCTTAATGCAATTCCGCTCTAAGACGATGTCTCGACGCATATAGACTTGCCATTGTTCCCGTCAGATGTGATTGTCTCACTGCGGATAGTATTGTCCTCTCAACTGGAACGATAGAAAGAATTCTAAGAAGGAACTGCTATGTCGAAATTATTTTATCGACAATCGCATGTGTCTCATGAATATTTGCTCGTCTCTGAAATGATGTTATATGAGTGTAGAATGGTTCTGTGATTACACATGCCATGGAGTGTCTTGTGTGCGGCCATAAACATTCCATCTTGTATTGATTCGTAATAAAACTGCGACTTTACTTGCAAAACAGATTCTAAACTTCTAGCCTTAATGTTAGCTTTACACTTCGAAATCGATATCACCTCCGAAAATATTGGCGAAAGGATTGATGTTCATTTTTTGCGACGGAACTAATATAGATAATTCCTTTCAACGATTTTTCTCTTCTCTAAAAGCCATTTAAATTTGAAGACATGGCTGTTTGGACGTGGTTCAAGTGTTATTATACCTCTCAAGCATATCGCAAGTCTATAAGGGAAGAGCCTTATCAGATACCTAACTCAGTCTATCGATTTCTGGTAGTGCAGGAATTGAGTCTTATCTTAGAGCTCCAACCTCCATTTACAAAACACAAGCTCTTGTTTGTGGGATCAGTCTTAGAAACGTCAAATCACTCCCGAATGCGGAACGAAAATAACACTGTAGCTATTATCGGTTCTATAAAATCTGATTTAGGAGAATAAAAATAAAGGGTACTTCGAAAACATGGAATGAAAAAGGATCGATTGACGTAGAACAGGGGAGTGTTAGAAGATGCTAAATCTGTCTGTGGTATTTCTGGAAACATTCTGGTCTATTCACGCTGATATAAGCTGTAAAAAATCTCCATTAACTCAACCTCTGCGTGTTTATCGGACTCGCTATGTATGACATTGTATTGCCTGTTGGAACAGACGGCGTATAACTGCGGTTGTTGTTTGCCGACGTCATAGGGGATTGGATCGTTACTTTGCGATAGATTTTTTAGTATAAATTGCTCTTTCTGTCAGCTTCCCACTGTCTTAAATTGGTCTTAGATAATTTTAAGATTTAAAAAAAAATTCCAATTTTACTATTTTTCTTAACATGGTATAAGAACACACTCTGCCAAGTGGTCATATGTAAGAAATGTTATATTTGGGATTACACTTTCTCAGAAAGGTACAGATTCTAGTATTTTGGGGGGGTTGAGTCCCATATGGGATTCGAACCTACACTCTCAGAGTAAGGCATCTAATCGCCAGCGCTCAAAGTCAACGATCTAACCCACTCAGCCTCTACGGTTTGACATAAAAAGGAATTAACAGGATCGCCAGACTCGCTTATTTGATTGATACTTGTCACCGTATCGCAACCGCGAAGATCGAAGAGATCAGGTGTTTTGACTTGGATGATGCATGTTATTATATCCCAAATACATAGATCGATACTCATGATGCCAATCACTGAATTGTCTGGTCCACATTGTTTACAGACCGCCATCATTTAGCAGGGACATTGCTGAGTGCGGCGTTCCCGGTCCTTTTAGTCGCCTCTTGCGACAAGCATGTGTTTCTGAAGACCAATTCTATCTAACCCAGATCTTCATGGGTATAATGTGCCTCTCGGACCATGTCCCTATAGTGTTTCACAGGGCTGGCTAAAATGGGGATTGGTTGGTCATGTTGTGTGTCAGTATCCCTCGGCAGGGATAGACGCTCATGTTCTCAGTCATCGGTTTTCCTTATCAGACTCCACCATGTAAAGTCTGGCGAGATATAGTGAGTGAGTGAGTTAAAATTTAAAGTCACTTTGGCAAAAATCAAGTAATAGATTAATATAAATTAAAGGTAAATTATAAATACCTGTCGACGAAGGACAGTAAAACAACTAGATATCACAGTTAGAAATTTAAAACTAGCAACTAAATCTAAAACGTTTTAACTATACAAGACAATACAATATAAAACAGGCTATAGATCGCCAAAAACTGAAGGTAGATCGCCATACTAGGGACCATGGGGACTTACAGTACATTTGCTTCCTGCATGGACCCTACCTGGATTTACATCATCCCTTCAGCTGTTAGCTATTTAAACACATCTAGCCATACATTAAATAAAACACATATTCTACGATTAAAAAAGAGGAGAGTTTCAATTTACTTTGAATGTTTTTGGACTTGGCGAGATATAGCTGTACGCACTATTGCCGCTTACTAAACTCTTGCAATTCTTTTTAATAATTTTGTATTTTTGCCTATTAACGGCTGTCAAATTTTACGCGAACCTTCTCAAAGTTTGTATTTTGTACGACCTTCATCTCTATGGCCCATAATACCCCTTTTGTGGGAATCCTGGAATGCAGAACGTAACCTGATACACAGACAGCCAGTTCGTTGTTAGACAAACCTGACTATGGGATCAGTAGCTTTGTATCTGTATTCACATTACATGGAGATTAGTTTATGAGACGTAATTATAGTCTGTGAATGTGATATAGGATATACTGACGTTCCTTAACGCTACCCTAATATACTGACACAGCGATAGATAGTTTAGTGAGTGAGTTTAATT